CTTTATATACAAATTTTCCATTCACAGACATAATAGATTACATCATTATTTTTAAAACTTTGATATTTTATTATTTACATGTACTAGAATATAAAAATATTAATCTCATTTAGTTTTCTCCAGTGATGAAGTGAATATTGTTGTAGCTACATTTTTGAGCATGTATCCTTCTAATTCCGCTGGATAAATTCTTCAGAGTGGAATTTGGGGGTAGAAAATGAAGTAACAATTAAGATTTTTAATGAGTATAGTTAAATAACCATAATTAGTTATAACCATAATGAATATGACTGTTAAACCCCAAATATTGCAACAACATATATTCTCACTAGCCATTTATTATAGAGCTGCTCACACTCAGCCCCTCTGCCAAAAATTAAGATAATATTTCCATTTACTATTGTCCCTTTTGATGCCCCTACGAACATTGTGAGTTTCCTTTACATGGGTCTTGAAATATGCATTTGCAGCTGTAAACCGTGTTGCCTGCTCCTGAATCTTACTTAGAAAAAACCCATCAGCCTCATTGTATTAATAACATTGTTCCTCTGAACTCGGCTTCTCTGTGTAGATATTTGATTTTGCGGTGAGAAGAGTTCAGTTCAGTTCACTCAGAGTCTGGGAGAAGAGCTCAAGGACCCCTGCCCTTCCCTGTGGACTCAGGTTTTTGGAAGCCAGACCTCCAGCTGGGTAAAYAGGAAACAGCTTTCTTTTGGGTTGAAATCACTAGGTGATAACTTCAGACACAGAGCTGAGGTGCCTCTGGCAAGAAAGCCAGAGCTGTTCATTTCCAAGTTGTGACCTTCCTCCCTTGGCTTTTCTAGTCCCAACCACCAACCTCTACTGTCATAAGTGGTGTGTGTGTGTGTGTCTGTCTAAGGATAAATTCCTTTTCAGGAGCACAAAAAAAAAAAAATCAAACTTGATTGAAGTTTAAAAGATCTTTCATGGGTAATGCCTTTAAAGTGGCAATTTCTTATTTCCCCTGCCTAAAGATACTACTCTTTTGAAAATAGGAAAAAAACTAACTTGGAGAAGTTATTGTTTCAGTTTGCTCTGAGGCTCAAAATAGAATGCAGGTTTTTGGCCACCAAGCCCTCTAGGTGAGCGAAAGGAAAAACTGGAGAGGTATACTTCTACTGTTTCTTTAATTTTTACATTTCTCTCATTATCCAAATATTCAAGGTATTTGTGTGTGGTAACTATTCAGCATTGTGATCATCGACATTCACATACATTATTCATGACATCCTGAACAATGGGCCTTAATAAAATCCATGTCTTATGCTCTAGAACCTGTGAATGTGTCACTTTACGTGGCAGAAAAGACTTTGCAGATGTGATTGAATTAAGGACCTTGAGATGGCACAACCATCCTGGATTTTATTCAGGTAGATCAGAGTCAGAGAAGGAGATGTAGGGTGTGGAAGTGGAGGTCCTAGAGAGCCAAAAGGCAAGAGGGTGAGAGCAAAAGAGAAAGATGGAGGGCGGCTGGTCTTAAGGATAGATGGGGCTTTGGCTGTGGAATGCAGAAGAACCCAAAGCTGGAAAAGGCCAGGAAACAGATTGTTCCCTGGAGCCTCCAGAGGAAGCACATCCCCCACTGATGCCTTGATTTTAATACTTCTGAACTTCATAACTGTAAGATAATAAATTTGGGTACATGCTGGGGGTGTAGCTCAGCAGTAGCGCTAGCCCAGCTTGTGTGAGGCCCTGGGTTCCATCCCAGCACAGCAAAACAACAAAACCATTTTAAGTCACTAAGTTTGTAGCAATTTGTCACAGCAGGGATAGGAAACTAATCCTACTGCATTATGGGCTAAACTGTATCCCCTCACAATTTGTGTATAGACATCTTAACCCCTCAGTAACCTCAGAATGTAATTGTACTTGGAGATAGGGTCTCCAAAAAGGTACTTGAGTTAAAAAGAGGCATATGAATGGACCTTGACCTAATATGATTGGCGTCTGCATAAGAAAAAGAGATTAGGACACAGACCAGTACAGAGGAGAGGCCATAGGAGGACACGGTGAGAAAATGGCCCTTTACAAGCGAAGGAAAGAGGCCTCAGAGGAAACCAATCAGCCAAAATCTTKATCTCAGATGTCCAGACTCCAGAACTCTGAGATGATACATTTCTGGTGCTTATGCCCAGTCTGTGATACTTTGTTATGGCAAGCCAAGCACACTGTTAGCATGTGTCATGTAATTTTCACCATCACCATTTATAGATGAGGACACTGAGGCTGAGAAAGAATGAGTGACATGCTAAGGGTTTCAATAATACTCTTGACCCTTCCCACATTAGCCAATCTCCATCATTATTCTTGCCTCCATGCCAACTATTCCTTCTCTCACTTCTTCAACAGGTAGTCAATGAATGCCAGACACATGGGATACCTCCATGAATAAAGCAAAGACCTATCTATGCTGATGTGGTGCTCCTACATTAGAGCTGGGAGGTGTGGGGGTGGAAGTGGAGGTCCTAGAGAGCTAAAAAGCAAGAGGGTGAGAGAAAAAGAGAAAGATGGAGAAGATGGTCAAAAACAATAAACATCACCAATGAGTAATCCGTATCACCCTGCATGGTGGGGATATAACTTTCCAAGAAGATAGCACGTGTGGGTATTACACAAAGGGTAGTTAGGATGTGGGTCATTCCATCCTCATACTCACTGAGCTATCTTTGCGGATATGACTGCACCTTGAAGACACCCCCAAATGCCAACTTTTGATAGAAATTCCTCACTGTAGTCTTTGAAGGTCTGAGGTGAACAACTGTTGGGGGCACTGGTGGAGGAGGGAACAAATTCTTTCCATGTATGTAGCACATCTGGTTTTCTGAATATATCATCAAGAGCTTGACACCAACACTTAAAAGCAGCCCTAGAACAACAAAAAAAAAGCATCAAGTGGTATGTTTTCTGAGACTGGTCTTCAAGCCCACTTTCCAAAAAGAAAAGTAAATAGGGTGGAAAAATATTCAATGAAGACATTAGAAAATAAATCTATACCATCCATTGCTCATAACGGTTTCTCTCAAGTAGCATTTGATACTATAAAATGAAGCATGGTACAACTAAAATTTATGAAAGACAATATTTTTTCCTAATTATTAAAATATTTTGCAAACAAAAAAAGTTAGCCCTTGTCCTATTAACTCCTAAAAATCTACCTTTTCTTTTCTGCAAAGATGAGAAGATTTCCAAGTGTATGCAGTGCCTGAACTTTAAGACTTCTTTGATTGCTGGCATGGAGAACATCTGTATTTTTAATCAAGTAAAAGAACAAATGTCAGTTGCAAGAGAAATATTTCCTTTTTATTTGCAAGAATATTTTAAACTGAATTACTCCTTAACCGTGTAGATTGCAGAAAGAAAGCTTCAAGTTAATAGTGCCTTCAAATGTCACACTATATTTATATACCCAGAGAGAGCAAACCATGTTTTATTTGAACACATAGGAACAGGAGGTTGGGATGAAGTCAGACAGAGAAAGGCACAGATACTTGGGGATGATGGGGATGACTGGAGCACATTTTTCTTGAGAAGGTAAACTGGGAGCCTGAGGACAGAGGTCGGGTCTGATTCTGGAGGCCTCTGATGGCCAGGTGCTGAATTGTGGAGGTTGCCCTRTAGCAACTGGGGAGGCCCAAAGAGTTTGCTTTGAGCAAAGATGTGACAAGATCATAGCAAAGCAGAATTTTTTCTTTTACCTAAATCCAGAAAATATATCTTCAATATCATGCAAATTTGTTTGTTTTTTAATAAATGCGTGCATTCAGGAAGCTAGGAGGCCAACCAACATGGCAGTGGTTCCTCATGAGGCAGTACTTACTGTCTTGGAGGGCATTTTAAAAATTAAAGGAAGGGTTTTGTTAGTTGTCACATTGGTGCATTTTCTGGTATTTTATAGGTAAGGACCAGAGATTCTGAATGGCCTATAATACACAGAAACTTCATTGCAGTAAAAAAAAAAAAAAGTGCAAAATATATTTAAAATTAACTTGGTCTGATATCTAACCTAATTTTACACATAAAAGAGTATTTTTGCATGATTTTAAACATCCTCAATTTTCTAGAAATACAACCAATGTAGAACTTTGTTTTGTTCAGAATGTTATCAAGACTTATTTGCCATTTTAGAAAATCATATCACCTAACTTAATAATGCTAATAATACTTAAGTCACCAATACAACACACCTGTGTCAGTKTATCCGTAGCTGTCATATCATGGTGATTGCACATAGAGGACAGAAGCATCTGACCACCTCTTCACACCTTCTAATGCCTGAGCATTTATATGCTAACACAGGAGTTCTTTTATTATAAAGTGATTTTGTTTAATTTATCCTTTACTTTATGAGGCAGGAGGCAAGATATAAAAATAGGTATAAAGGAGACTAATGGGGTAGAGAAAAGCAACTGTCACTTGAAACCTAAAAATCTTCAAGAGCACCACACCTATAATCACAGCTACTCAGGAGGCTGAGGTAGAAGGATCACAAATTAAGGACAGCCTCAGCAACTTTACAAGTCCCTGTCTCAAAATTAAAAATCTCGGGAGACACTCAGTAGTACAGCACTTCTGGGTTCAATCCCCAGTACCATAAAATAAAAAAATAAATAAAATCAGTAGCTCCTTGAATACCCTCACCCCAAACCTATTTTCCTCAAAGCCTGAAATCTTGCAAATCTAGATGATTAATGCCTACATACATTGGTAGCTTACACAATATACTTTTCTTTAGACTAAATAAAACTAAGAGAAAATATTGTTAGATACTTGGGATATGGGCACATTTGACACATTATCTGCTGACTGGATGACATCAAACATAGAGATCCTAAAGAGAATCAGACCTCTGTGACCCACCCTGTGCTCCAGGAGTAAGAGAATAGAGCTCATCAGGCTAAAGTTATCCCCATGCACTTCTCATGATCAATATTTACAAAGTTCACTTTAAAAGAAGTGTCCAACACTCTGACTTGAGCCCTGGTCATTTTCAGAGGACATCTCATATGGTCTCATTACACCCTTGAGCATTAAACATTGAACTATGGTTATTCCCCTTCAGAATCAATTTATTTCTCTACCCAAAACTTCATCTGTCTAATCCCCTTTCATTCATGTTGTTGATATTCTGTCAAACCTTGTATCAAAATACTACAGGTGTTATGAACTACAGATATACTAAATAGTTAATAATCAGAATCAGGGAGAGTTTATTAAAATGGCTTTTAAAACAGATTTAAAAAGAAGATCCCAAGACCCCAGATTCATGTCTTACTTTCCATACCTACACTCTTTCCTTTGAGAGTGTGTCCTGCTCTGTTGATGCATGCCTGAATCAGCATTGCTCTCATGAATAAATCTTTGTTTGTGTCTTTTTTATACATCCTGAAATTCCTTTCTGCAGCCTAAGTCAAGAACCTGCAAGGGTACAGTTGAGGTCCTCTTTCTCCTTTCTGGGAGACTACTATAACCCCTAACTGGTGATACTTAAAGCCCCATAAAGATTTTGTTGTTGTTTTGTTTGATTGGGTTTGTTGTTGTTGTTGTTGTTGTTATTGTTGTTGTTAGAAATGTATATGTAGGAAGAATGTGATAAATATAAATTTTACTTCAGTAAAATATAAGGGGAAAGAGAATCATAAAACATCAACTGATGTTTTGTCCAAAAAGGGCAAATTGGGTCTACAATATAGGTTGAGAATATATTACTGAATTTGTAGAAAAGCCAAAAAAGGAAAATAAACTCATCTGAGACCAAGAAAAAGCATATATAAGGGCCCCTTCCCCACAAGGTGTTCACAGTTGCTATTAAAGAGGGATGGGCAGAAGGATGGCTTAGAATCTCACAAGGATGACAACCAGGCTGGGGAAGTAGGTCACAAGAGGAGACTGAAAGTGTCTTCTGTATTCAGACTGTTGTGTCACAGCCTATGATAGTGTGATAAATCGACTCTATGTTCAAGATCTTTCGCGCTACTTCCAAGGGTAATGTCTCAGGACCAGATGCAATCTCCCTATTAATTCAGAAGGCCATATAGAAAATGCATACACAATGGGTTAGCCTTACCAATACTTTGGTGATAAGAAGAAATTACCAATCCCAGCTGTGAATAGGGAAGTTTGCTTTTCTCCACTGAACTAAAAACTCTGAAGTGCTCCTGAGAAAGATTAGGAGGTGTTGACATGTGCATCTCTTCTGTTCCCAGACAAAATTCCACCTTCCCAGGCATGAGTTTTAAATTGTTGATTCCTGTTCTATCTCCTAAATTTGTGAAAACAAAATTTAAAATGGTGAAAGGAAGGAAACAGATGGGGAGGGAAAGGGTAGAAGAAACTGAAAGGGAAGAAAAGATTTTGCATACACATGGGAATTATTCGAAGTTTGAGGGACACTTTTTCCCTAAACTTGGTATCCAGGATCATCTTTTAAAGACACCCCGGTGTGGGAGGATGGGCTCTATACCCTTGTTATTTCATAAAGAGAACTACAAAGGGCCAGTCAACCAGAAAGTTAATGTTGAGATCATGCTTTGGGGAATTGGGGGAAGTTATACAGTATGAGTTCGCCTTTTTTTTAAYAGCTTCAGACAGTAAGATGTTCATTTGCCCCTGGGGCAGAAACCTTTGAGATAGAGTCAACTCTTGCATAGTTCTGGCCTAAGAAAGAAAAAAAAATGGGGGGAAAAAACCCTCTCTCTTTTTAAGATCAGAAAACACACAGGGAAAAGCAGAGGAAAAAAAAAATATGTCAGGGAAATAGTCAAAGTAGCAGAGAGAGAAGCTAATATGGATTTTGAAGTCCACAGCCTGAAGACTGGGGATAAACTACTGAGAATATTTTAGTACCAGGTGAGATTCAGGGTGAATTAACAGAATCATTTTTAGGAATRAATTTCCTTTTTCACTCTATGCCTTACCCATTGTTAATGTATAGAGTAACTGAAAGGAGGTAAAGGAAATCTGGAGGGCTAGTTGAACATAATGTGAGTCTGCAGACAATACCTCCAAAAATTTTTAAATACTTTTAAAAGGAATGCTCTTGGGAGGTTAAGGGSTGGCCAAAAATATAATAAGCAAATCAGTAAAAATAAATAAATAAATAAATAGATAGATAGATAAAACTCTGTTCGTGGTTGTAAAAACAACTGACCAAATTTCTAAAAGGTAAGTTCAGTGGAAATTAGCATCTTATTTAAGGGGTGTAAATTAAATCTATTTTAATTGCTTCAGAATATAATTACTGTGAGTTTATTCTCATTACTTGGATAAATTTGAGCAGCAAAGGGCATAAATATAAGWCAAAGTTTTAAAGTCTTAAAATAAYCTAAGTACAGATAGTTCAGGATTTTTTTTCTCAGTCTAAATTTTACACTGTTCTTTGAGTTTACCACTTACCCACTCAAAGCCCTGCCTTGATTGAATTCACAAATTGATAAATGTTGATAAGGAAGAAAATGAGTAAACGTAATATAACCAATAATAGTGAATATCTGGTTCTAAGCTAAAAGAAAACTCTAAGATGAAAATTTATGGGATTAGTAAGAGGTCTTAATGGCGCTTATTTTAAAATGCACCCATTTCTTTGAAATGGGTGAAGTGGTCCTTGGTAAAAGGTYCTAGTTAACTCAGTATGCCTTACCCATCCACTAATGGAAGCAGAACATGAGCACAGTCCTAGACCTGCAAAGGCAACTGTGAGGACAACAATGTACAGCATCAGACAATTAATGAATATTATTTCCACATGTTTTCCAGGGAGTTGGCTAGTTTCTCAGAAAGCATAAAAGCAGGTGAGTGAGAAATTGTCATAGTGCGAATGAAGTGTAGAAGGAAAGGATCTTACCAGATCCTTTAGACAAGGGGAAGACAGGGAAAGGCAGCCAGGGTTGGGATGTCAGTGGGGAAGGGGTCTGCAGGATGGTGGCCCTACACAAACAGATCCAGGGACATGAAACCACCAATTACCTTGTGTCTGTGCCAGAAATAATGAAAGCAACTTTCTGCTGTGTCGGATTGATCTGTTATGGTATTTGGATTTTTCCAGGGTCTCTCTAAAGCATCTCAAAGTGTCTGTCACATCCACGGGCACACAGATGATCTGTTTGGCTCTGTTATACTCTGGAAGGAAAAAGAAGGGGACGCTGGGGATGAAACACGGCACAGAGCCAACTAGAAGCAAAGAAGGCTCTGATTTCTTGGTCCCAACCTGAAGCTGCTAAATTCAAAGTCCCCAGATCAGCAACATTCAGGTCATTTTTTTTTTTCTTTTGGTATCTTTGAAAGTTCTTTTTTTAAAAAGAAACTTAGGAAAGTTCTGATTCTTATGAAATGCAAATAACTTTAGATCTTGTCAATTTCCTTATGAAGCCTCCTACTTTTTCTTTCRCTGATCATAAAAAATGAAATAATCTACTCCTTTTTTAGCAAACTTCTTCAAAGCAAAGGTACCTTGGGAAAGAGACTAAAGGAGAAACAAAGAATCCTAGAGTCAGGCAACTGCTCTCTGAAGGGAAGGGAAAGACAGGTTCCTAAGACTTGAGGGTGCAAAGGAAAAGGTGCATGGGGGCGGTGGGTGGGTCCGGAACCAACCAGCAGCCTTGAAAAGTTCCAGGAAGAGGAGATGGTGGGTTGCTGAGAGGTTTCTGGGGAGCGAGGGGTGATCCTGGGAATTAGACTCCAGGTTTGCAGCATACACCAAGAAGAAGGAGAGAAAGGAATTGCCAGTTTCAGAATTAGAATAACAAAGAACACGTGGAAGGTGTCCAAGTGGAAGGTGTCCAAATGGAAGGTCTCTTAGGCCAAAGAAAGAGGTCTGTTTTTCTGTTTTTCAAATTGTAAGCAATCACAAGATTGGATTTTTGTCTTTTTTCCTTAGAGAAAGAAGATTTAAAAGCATCTTAGCTCAGGCTGCTGTAAATGCATTACCATAGACCACACAGTTTATGAACAATAAAAAATTGCTTTTCACAGATCTGGAGGCTGGAAGTCTTAGACTAAGGTGCCAACATGGCTAGGTTCTGGCGAAGTCTCTCTCCCTTGTTTGCAGCTGGTTTCCTTTTCACTGTGCCTCTTTCACATAGCAGAAAGGGGGCTAGAGAGAGCATTAATCCCCCATCTGTGAGGACTCCACCCTCATGACCTAATCACCACCCAAGTCCCTGCATCCTAACAACACATCACATTGGTTAGGATTTCAACATCTGAATTTTGAGGAGCCATAGATATTCAGCCCCCAGCAGGGAGCAACAGGAAAGGAGGAAGACTGGAAACTCTCACATATTAATGAGACAATTACTTTCTCCAGCTTTAAACACTGTTTTAACACACATGTGAAGCATCTAGTATAGTGCCCGCCACGGAGTAAACACTCAATAGATAGAGGCTCACATTATAACTGTCAGTCACTTTTTTTTTTCTTTTTTGGAACCAGGGATTGAACTCAGGGGCACTCGACCACTGAGCTACATCCCCAGCTCTATTTTGTATTTTATTTAGAGACAGAGTCTCACTGAGTTGCTTAATGCCTCACTTTTGCTGATGTTAGCTTTGTACTCGTGATCCTCCAGTCTCAGCTTCCCAAGGCACTGGGATTACAGGTATGAACCACCGCGCCCAGCATAGTCATATCTTTTAAAAATATAGTCATGTGCCACATAATGACGTTTTGATTATTGACAGCTCATGTATGTGATGATGGTCCCACAAGATTATATCACCTACTGACTCATAGCCATGTTAGTTTGTGTAAGCACACTCTGGCATTCATATAACAATGAGGTTGTGCAGTGGCATATTTCTTCTTGCCATTGAGCTTGACTGCATATATTGAGCACTTTGAAGTACCAGACACCACGGCAGGCACTGAGGAAACACAAGCAGACACAATAGACATGGCCCCTGCTGCTCTCACAAAGCTTACATTCTAGAATAAAACCTGGAAATATGATTTATAATAAAAATAGTCTGTGGAGTGGCCATTCCAGTATAAAACACAAAGTCCTGTAAATTATCCTGAATTAAAAKAATCATTCAATGTTCAGAAAAATTGGCAGGTCAGGATGGAAACACAGATTTCTTTAGACATGAGTCAGTGAGGTATTGGTATGTTTAGTATCATGTTTCTAAGACGAAGTCTGTTCTACCTGTGGCTGTGAATGAATCCCTGTGACGTCTTAGAAAGAGGAATTGGATTAATAAAAAAAATCTTCCAAGTGGAATTTTTATCCCTTTGCAAGAAAATTTCTGGGTGAAATTTTAATGGAAATGATGCATGAGGGGTAAGAAAGAGACGTGTATTAACAGTTAATAATTTTGGTTCCCTAACCAGTTTAGCCTGCTCAATTATTATGAGTAAAAGCAAATCACGCCTGGGGTCTGTTTTGGCTGGTTGGATGATTATTATACCCAGAGAAAACAATCAAGTTACAGTCCTTCACTGGCTATCAGTGTTGTACCATAATAACACAAAGCTGCCAGGAAGTTCTGATAATCGTAGTAGTTGATATCGTCCTTTGCTGTGTTTTCTTGGAAGATTGTTTGCCTTGGCATTATAAAGCTTTATCATCTTTAAAAAACACCGATTAAGTGAAAAAAAATAAAAATAAAAATAGTCTGGAGAAAATTGTCCACCTGTCTCTGTATCAAATATCTGCCTATAACTCTTCTTCTTTTTTTTTTTTCTAAACTATCTTTCCGTTTTTTCAAGCCCTAGCATATCTTTTCTCTTGAAGCCTAATTAGGGTTCTGTCAGGGGTGGTATAAAGCAAAGAGGAAGCATCAGAAGTTCAGAACTTCTTTCTGAAAACACCAATGGACAGAAAATTCAAGAAGCTATTCCAAARGTACTAGTAGTAGCACCTTCACAGTTTAGAACAGGTAAGGAGGACCAGCACAAGATGGAAAAGGAAGGAATTATTATGTTTTACATTGTACCAATGTAGAAACAAAAGTTGAAATGCCAATGATTCCTCGGGGCTGGGCCAACCAGGGTGGGAACCCAGGGAGTGGTCTGAAATTTGGGGCTGCTTTCTACACACTTGGTCATTTCCACGATCAAAGGCCTTAATAAAACACACCTGACAAACAGTTGAAAATTTCAACAGACCTGAGGACTGAATGATCCTTTCAGAGAACTTAAATACTGATAAGGTCAAAACTCAAGAAAGAGACTCCAGGTGGAATGCAAAAACAGTTACAATAAAAGGCATATCCAGGTTTATCTACCCTGTGGAGCTTAACAAGCAGGAAAGTTACTCATCCATACAGGAATAATCTATAAAACGTGGTACTCTCACTTCTCCAAATCCTACGGAGACGATACCAAATTACATATGCATTATTAAATAGTTGAAGGGAGAATAGGATGCTGTTAAATAATGAGAACACCAAATGTTCCTAGCCACTGGGGCATTACAATATCTGCCGTGAAGAATTGAATGTATCAAGCATTACCACCAAATGCTGTTATGACAAAAGAAAATCTATGAGGTTCTAAAGCAGCGAGCTGGTGTGGAAATCACCATGAGTATAGTCAGTCTTTTAAAAGAATTGCATACACATCACGGTGACATACATAAGACCCAACACACTTATAAATATGTTAATGATCTGAGCTTAGTATATTGAGAAAAATTCAGCATCCCAATAATTTGCTAAATAAACTCAAAAGCACAGGCCAAAAGATGTTTCCAGTTACAGAGGTCCTAGAGTCTTATAAAGAGCTATAAGTTGGAAGCCAAGTTTTTAACTGTTCAATGTAAAATGTATAATTAGTATACAGGGTCATCTGAACATTACTCTGCTATTACAATAAGTCAGAATAAAGTGCCTGCCCCATATGACCACTGAAATACATCAAATTACTTCTTGAATGCTATAAATTTAGAGAAGATTCTAACTGAAAGGAGCAATGACAAATGGACTTGGTAGCTCAGAGGATCACTAGTGAGTGGAGCAATTAGACAGACCAGAATTCAAATTACAGACCCAGTTTATTTTTCTCATCTGCAACACGAGCAAAATAATACCTACCTCCCAAGACTGTAAAAATTATAGAATCTAAATATAGTTCCAGCTTGATATTATATTGCCCTTACAATATTTCACATTCTTCTCTCTTCAAATGTTTCTGCCCTAATCAGAACACACACAGGCTATACTTCATCCACAGTTGAGAATAACTCAAAGGATGACTGTATACTGACTGCACCTACCTTCCCTTCTGTCCCACCTCCACACCCTGCCTGACCAAATGTAGCTCTAACAAGAAGCAAGCAAAGCTTTGCTGACCAGTGCATCCATCATCAGTTAAAAAAAAAAAAAGCCCTGGTGCACAGGATAGAATTTTGCTAGGTATATTTCTCTTATTCCTTTGCTGCTAGTCACCATTTTGATAACAACCATTTTGATGCATTTACTCACATTAGTTGCAATCCTCTCCAGGATGGAAAGGATAAAAAATAATTATATATTTGAGGAAGGACCCAAAAGCAGGGGAACTCCTGGGATTTTACAGACAAAATCAAGACAAGGAGAACACAGCCAGCATCACACTCTATCATTAAAACTAGTCACACAGGACTGACCACAAGAAGGTGGTCCTCCCCTTGGYAATATGATTGATCACTGGCAGTAAAACCTACAGAGTTTATGGTTACCAACTGCACTCCACTCCACTCTACATAGCTCTCTGATCCTTCTCCCTTCCCTTCTATTTTCCTTAATGGCCAGTCTCCTTTTTTTAATATTCAAAACCTCCCACCTAGCAACCTTGGCTATGTTCTCAAGCTCCTGCTTCATTAAGAAAATTCCCAGTTCCCATGAGAATACCTTCAACCTCTACCCTTACTACCTACAAACCTTCTTGCATCAGGCTTATTCTCTCATCCTTCCTCTCTGCCCTCAGGGGAGCATCCCATCCTTCTGTTTGCATCCCGTTTCCTTCCTTGTTTCTCCTCAGAGTCCTAGCGCTATCAAAAATCTTCCACTTTCTAAGCTCACCCTCTCTACTGGCTCTTTCCATTTAGTGTTTAAATAAGCTCCTTCTCTTCCATGAAAAATACAAAGCACAGCCTCCCGGACCCTCTGAGCTCTGCATTTTCTTCCAGCTTCTCTTCTCTCTCTTTGGTTCTCACTCTTACTGATGAAGACATTCAAACTGTCTCAGTGACCAAAACAATGATCCTTGCCCTCATACAGCTTACACGTTAACAGGAGAAACAGACTAGTGACCAATAAATACAACAAAAAATCCTTAATTAAACAGTATGATGCTACGGGAGGGGAAAGAAGAGCGCAAAGGGAATTGGCAGGAAGTAGGCAGGGTGAAGTTTCAAATAGAATGGTCAAGTTGGGCTTTGTTGAAAAAGGAGATGAACACAAGGAGTGAAAGGAGAGAGGGGTTTATATATAATCAGACATCTGGGTGTTGGGGAGAGCATTCAGGAAGGGGAAACAGCTCAAGCAAGGTGGGGGTGCCCCAGCAAAAAGGCAAGTGACAATGACCACCCATTTGCCCAATACAATAAGACTGTCAGTCCCCATCTGACACAACCTCTCTGCCTGCCGACTGCTTCCTCCTCCTTAAAGCTCTCCCTTGCCTTGGCCTTGTCTCTATCACTCTCTTCTGGTTTATTTCTCAGTCCATGTCCCCAGCTCTCTCACATACTGCTCTTCTTGTTTGCTCCCATGACCGGCATTGATTCTCTTCACGTATGCTCTGCCTCTTCATTCTGAGTATAGAGTCAGGACATGCTTCCCTACCCCTTTGAGTTGGAGTGTAGCCATGCAACTTTGGGTAATGAAATGTCAGCAGACATGACATGTGTCACTTTCTAGTAGCAGCTCTAAGAGCCAATGCATGATTTTTCTTGTCTGAAAAACAGAAACAATAAACCCATCTCATTAGTTGGCTATAAGCTAATATTCACAAAGCCTTTGTAAGTGTGCCTGATGTGCAGTGCCTGACTGTGATTCTTTTATTGGGATGGTTATAATAAATAATAAGAGAATCCATGTAAAGCCCTTACCATCAAACACACGTGTGGTTGGGTGAGGCTGTGCCCAGAAGCACTCACTACTGCCTCTCAGTGGAGCTCCCTGGGAGGGCAACGTCAGAGTTCTGTTTCCTGACTGGGAAGCAACTGTTCAGGCCACGTCAAGGTGGACATGGCCTCATCATGGGCAGCTCCCAGTTCTCAACCTCACTGAACACAGTAGCATGAGCCAGAGATAGTCTTGCCCTTGTGTAAAAGCTATGAGACTTGGGGCTATTTGTTAGGGCTCTCTAGCCCCAGCCTACTTTGATTGACAGCTTCCTCACTGTTGGTGTTGCTCAGGTCTACACTCCACATAACCCACTCTGGGTGACCTCATCAAAGTCCCTGACTTCAACCACCATCAAGATATTGATAACTTAAATACAGATGTCCAATTCAACTCTCCTCCACAGGCCCCATCAATRTAACCAACCACATCCTGGAGAGCTCTGCTCAGTTATCATCCAGGCAAACGGGATGCTCCAAAGTAGCTTTTCTCTGCCTGCAGTTTCCCTATCTAAGCAAAGGCATCTCCAGTCTAGCCCCCAAGCCAGAGAGCAAGACAACTGGAACTCCTCCCTCCTGATCCATCCCCCATACCCAGTCAGTACAGGACACAGGCCTGGGGTCTCCCTCCCCCTTTCTTTCATTTCTGTTCTCCTCTCTACTCTGTCCAATTCTAGGCCATTATAATGTCCACTTGAATACACAAGTTAAGCGTGGCCAATCTCCTACTTCCACATAGCCTTTCAGTTGATTTTCCACATTACTGCCAACCCTTTTAAGAATGGGAATATGAACATTTCACTTTCCTTCTTTAAATCCTTTTAACTTGTTCCCCTCAGCTCTCCAGACAAATCTGCATCTCTTTATCTGGCTCTCTAAGACACTTTATCTCMTAATTCCTGCCAACATTTCTAACCTCAGCTTTCTGCCTTTTTGCAGTCTCTCAAAAGCAGATACTAACTGTTCACTATTATTGCCGTAGCAGTAGCAGGAATAATATCACAGAACTATCACTCTCTATATCACCTCTGGTTTATTTATGTGCTTTAATTCTTCTTTAATAACTCTAAACTCCTAGATAACACATACATCTCTGTATCTTTAGTACCTAGTACAGCACTTAACACATAGTAGATACTCAGGAAATATTTGCTAAACAACTGAATGGCTGGCTGGCTGATTCAATAAATGAATGAATGAATGAGTGAATGAATGACTACACATATTCACATGGACATCTATAAAATAAGAGGTAAAGTRAAAAAATCCTAACACTTCAAAGACTTACATTTTCTTCCAAAGCCAGAAACAGAAGACACATAAAAAATACAATACAGAGCAAGCGTCGTTTCCATTTCACCTTACTCTATAGATTCATTCCTACAAGTTGCACTGCCAAAAACATTCTGCAAGGGCTTATCAGCTAAGCACAAACAAGGCATGATGTCCCCAAATCTTCTGTGCTCTAGTTAAAAGACCAAGAACTGAACAGATTTAAGCCAGCAGAACAACCTATATTGACCATGGCAAAGGAAATTATGGAAGTCAAGACAGAACAAAGCAAACAGAAAAAGGTCAAATAGCAAGAGTTCCCCAGTGAGACAAAAACAGCAGAAAATGTGCAAGACAGCTTTTTTCCATCTCTTTTAGCCCCATCAATCTCCTTTTTCTTTTGTTTCTCTAGCTTACAAAAAAAGGTCAAACTTTTAAAAAAGTGCTTTAATTTCCCTGACATTTATAGCAATATAAAATGGTAAATATCAAATGGATTTTTTTTCAAATAAACTAGCAAAAGAGATTCTTACAGATATCCTAATTACGGAATATCTGACWTGGGGAAGAATGGCAAACCCTGATTTAAAGAAAACACAGATTCAAGCTAAAATTGATTCTAACCTGAATAGATAATCACTTGTAGGAAATTTGTACCATCCCCTATATCTATTGTCTTACTGATTGAAGGATCAATCTTGAGCTGCTTTCCAATGAAATTTCGGCAGGTAATCTTTAAGAAGAAGGGAAAAAAATATGAATTAATCAAGTACTCATATTTAAAAATGTGGCTTACTTGAAATGTTTATCTCATTTTTCACTTGTCAAAATAAAGAGACACAAAACAATACTACAAAGAAAAGTTGATAGAATAGCATTCATTCATGAGAATTTCGGGGAAAAATGTGGCTGCATAATTTTTCATATTTCTTTTGTACAGCACAGCTGGAAGCAGAATATTAGGCAAATTATGTGGAGCAATTAGAGTATGATTTTATGATATTTTATAAATTTACTAGTCTAAATATATCTACTATTATGTAAGTTGAAATATATTTAAAATATCAGCTGCTATTCCAATAGCATATTTTTCTAGTCTACYCATAATTAATGCAATTTTAACTTTCCAGATGAAAATTAACTTCCTCTGTATTGTTATTATTATTTTTTTGAGTTGTAGATGGACATATACCTTTATTTTATTTATTTATTTTATCTGGTGCTGAGAATTGAATCCCATGCCTCACACATGCTAAGCAAGTGCTCTACCACTGAGCCACAACCCTAGCCCCTCCTTTGTATTATTTTGACAATTTATTTTCTGACAGATATTTGAGTTCTCAAATTTAAAAATCTGCAACATGTAATTTTTAGACAGAATGGAATTCTTTTAATGAATCTTGAATTTATTCTTCTATTTTTTCACTCCCATCCTGTCAGCTAACCTATCACTCAAAATACATCCCTCTTTGAACCCCAGTCTAATGTCCCTTGTGTGTATTTCCATAATGAGATGCAAACATTCCAGTAAATGCAAATGACTTCCCACAGTCTAATAAGGACWTGTAGGACCTGGTTCTCCCCACCTTTCCACCTTCACTAAACAGATCTTTATTGAACACTTATTACGTGCCAAACACTGTTCTAAGCTAAAGGGATGAGATAGAAAAAAACAAAATGAACAGAAATTCCTAGTCTTAAGAAACTTATTCTGGTGGGAGAAGAGAGGAAACAAACAAGAKGGTGAAACACATTGTATAGCATTTTAAAGAGTTATAACTTCTATTGAGAGAAATGGAGAAAAACAGCATATAATTTTCAAGACAGGGGTAAGAAAAGGCCTCAAAAGAGAAGGGAACATTCAGCAAAGACTGGAAAACAGTGAGGGGGGAATCAACCTGGAAATCTGGAGAGGGGCATTTCAAAGGGATGAGAGCAAATGCAAAGACCCTGAGGCAGGCATATCTTAAAGAGCAGTGCAGGGAAGTGATAGGAAACGAGTTACTACAAATCACAGAGGGAGAAATTATGTAAGACAGTTATATTAAGGCCATGGTAAAGCTTGTCACTTACTCTGAGTCAGATAGTAAGCCGCCATAGAAGAGCAAGCCAAAGTGTGACTTGCCTGACTTGGGTTTTTAAAAGGTTATTCTGTCTGCTGCATTCCTAGAGGTAGTGGTATAAGGTAATGAGAAAGTCACTGCATTAACCCAAGCAAATATAACAAGGAGCTGGGCACGAGGGCACATGCCTGTAATCCCAGTGGTTCTGAAGGCTGGAGGCAGGAGGATAGCAAGTTCAAAGCCAGTCTCAGCAATTTAGTGAGGCCCTAAGCAACCTATGAAGCTCTGTCTCAAAAAATAAAAAGGGCTGAGGATGTGGCTCAGTTGTAAGCGCCCCTTGGCTTAATTCCACACATATGACAATAATTAGATCAGAGGAGTAGTAGTAGAGATAGCAAATAGTCCTATTCTGACTGTATTTTGAGGGCAGCAGATTTGAAAACCAATTTGCGGTGGGATGTGAAAGCAAGAGAGAAGTCAGGGAGTCTCCAAGGCATCTCACTGAGCATCTAGGACGGGTAATCACCAACTGGGGAAGACTTGGCAGAACAGGTTTGTTTGAGATGTGCTAAATTTAAGAAGTGTATTAAACATCTAAGAGATGCTSTTGATACTCAGGTAGTGTGATGGGTTGGGTGGGGGTACTTTTTTACCATATTTTTTATTGCTGCATTATAGTTTTACATAATGGTGGGATTTGTTATTACATATTCTTGCATGCATGCAATATAACAATATAATATGGCCAATATCACCCCCTGGCATTCCCCKTTCCCTCCCTTCCTGCCTCCCTCTGGTTCCTTTCCTCTATTCTACTGATCTCCCTGATTTCATGAGACCCCCCACACACACACTCACTTTTCTTTTCCTTTTTCTTCTTTAGCTTCCACATATAAGAGAAAACATGACTGCTGACCTTCTACGTTTGGCTTATTTCACTTAACATAATGTTCTCAAGTTCTATCCATTTTCCTGAAAATGCCATAATCTGACAGTTGTTTTGTRGATCAAATAGTTAGAGCTAAACTATGAGGGGAAAGTAAGGGAGGCATCCTTTTTGTAACATATCTGCACCTCATCCCAGTTCTTCAATCAAATACCTAGGTGCTCTGTAAAGGGATTTGGCAGATTCTAAAATCCCTCATTAACTGGCTTTACATTAGGGAGATTATCCTTGGTGGGCCTGGCTTAATCCAATCAGCCCTTGACAAGCCAGCCATTACCAGGACTCCAAATAACAAACATGAATGGGGCCTATGACTGCTCTACCCTCACAGACTATCTGTGAATAACAGCATCTGTCCATGCCTCCTGTTCATGCCTGCTCTATGGATTTTGGACCTGCTTAGCCAATCCCTACAATCATATAAGCCAATCCCATATAATAAATCCAGAGAGACATATACWAGTTCTGATTTACTAGTTCTGCTTCTGTGGTTGAAACTTTTTGATAAAGGCACTTAAGACATATCATTATAAAATTCAGAAGAAAGATCTGGAGTTGCAATGTGATTTCAATAGTTATCATCATAAAAATGTACTTAAAGCCACAGGTGGAACTAACTTTCTGAGAGAGTGTGTGGATAGAGAAGACAGGAGGTCAGAGAACAGTCTTGGGCACATTACATTAAGACATAGAGAAGAAGAGGAAGCAGTAACAAAGCCGACCTACAAGGGGCAACCCTTCTTTTGGCCCTATTATCTGCTCCATCCCAGCTAGCAAGTCTCCTTCCGTCCCATCTCAGGGCCTTGTTCTTCCCTGGGGCTGYAAGGATCCTTCTCTAGATCTTTGCATGGCTGGTTCCTTCCCATTAAATGTCACCATGTGGAAGGCGTCTTATTGATCACCCTTGCTTCAGTTTCCACCCCTAACCCCAGCCAATCTCTATCCCATTGACCTATGTTATTTTCTTCAGAGAATTTAGAATGATCATAGATCTGCTTAGCTRCCTGCATGTTATTATCTGGCCCCATCCCTACTCCTCTGAAATTAAACTCCATGAAGCAGGAACTCAGACTGTATTCTCCCCTCCATAGAATATGCAAAAGGCAAGGCTTCCAGTGGGCCAGAAGGAAACTGTGWGGAGCAGAAAATGGAGTCCTTGCTGGGAGAAGGCCACAGCCCAAGCCCACAGACAGCTGTGGACATGGAGGACAAGGTTCCAGTCCCACATATACCATGGCCTCTGAGCAGGACACACACTGTACACCTGTATGCACTGGTTCTGATTAGGTAGTCAATACCTATTTGTTAAATTTAGTTAAACAATCAACTTATCTCTTTCCTCCATCTGATTCCAACTGTACCATGATTTCCACTGGCCTTGGGTATTTTCTGCATTTACCCATTCCTCYATTAAAAAAAATACATATACTAAAAATTACATTTTATGATTATATTGGTTTAAGTAGAAAAATACTAATAGTAGATAATTAAAACATTTTCTTTGACCTTAGTGTTACTTTTTTCTTATTTTTAAAGAAATMAAAAAAAGAATTTTTAGTAGGCCCCTAAAAATATCATGAGCACTGTCCCATTGTGCCTAACAAAAAGTCAGCCCTGACCGGAATATAAGCTTCTCATGAACAAGAACTTAATTTCTGTTTACCTGGAAAATACTGATACCTGGCAGATTTTCAATAACATTTGTTGATTTTAATAATAAATGCCTAAGTGAAAATAAAATTTATCTGATTCCTAAATCTGTCTTTTATGTAAGTACTAATTTTAAAAATCACAACTGTAGGAATAATAGGGCAGAACTTACCTTCTCTCCATACTCGGCCTCATACCTTGCACAAGCTTGCTGGGTAATATCTGGGCCYTTGAACTTCTGTATTCTCAGAAGCAATTGGCGCTGTGCATATACCAGAAGTGGTGTCACCTGCTCTGTGTACCTCTCACTAGACAGAAGTAAAGAATACATTAAAAAGCAAACGTTAGTTAAAAAGACTTTTACTCTAATGCACTCTTTTTTTTTTTATTGCCCATATAGTAGTAGTACGTACTGTGAAATTATGTTGAATTGAATGGCAAGTGATACTAGTGTTTCCCATTTTTCCACTTGATATAAAACTTCCAGAGATTTTAATACAAAGTCATGGATCCATTTCAAATCAACCACATTTACATCATCCAAAGGATGCTCAAAAGAAAGGCTAGAACCACCATTATCATGTTTAATATTCCCATAACAGCTTGGAACAATGAACTCTCCTTTGTCTTCAATGAACTGCAAGTAGAAAATCATAATAATAATAAAGAAAAAATAAAAAGGGCTAAGGATGTAGCTCAGTGATTGAATACTCCCAAGTTTAATCCCCACTAACAGGAAAAAAAATAATAAACTGCAAGTAACATATTGGAAAAAAAATGTGTCATTTCATATTTTACTACATTTTTTTCTGAGAAATTAAATTGATAATATAGCATGAAAAAGAACTGAATAGAAAATTTAAAATGTTCCTTTTATTCAAATAAAAGCTTGATAATTTGAATTGGTAGTAATGTCCAATATGCTGTAATATGAAAAATGTGCTATATTTGTGTTGTTCAATATAGTTCCAATCTAGCCACTAGACCCGTGTCTACTGAACTATTGAAATGTGATTTTTTTTTTAATTTTACTTGATTTTAAATATTTCCAACTTAAATTTAAATAGTATCGCTAATGTTTCCTATGTTAGACAACATAGTTTGAGGTCTGTACTTCTTAGTATACAGTCAGCATCCACTTAAGTAAGGATATTAAACCAATAGGGTAAAGCTTCAGGAAAATTAAGTTTTAATAATAAATAATAAGGTAAAAATGAACAATAAAGTTTTGTGCATTAACTTGCAAAATGTTAYATATAATTCTTTGATGTAAAGGTCAAACCTATAAAAAACTAAATCTTCTAGAAGGCACTCTTTTTGTCTGAAATAATATTGTAGTTAAAATAGTTACTATTTTAACTACAATATTATGTTCATTTCCCATGAGTCCCTGATGTATTTGTGCATTTCTCTGAAAACTCTTTAGGCAAAGAAAGCAAAGCTTCTTAAATCAGGTTAAGGGCCAGGAAATAACTCCAAATGGTTGAATAAATTAAGTCCAAGTATTCCTATCCCAGTGACACCAYTAAGAGGAACCCAGGCACAGGAGAGGAAAAGTAGCAAAAAAAACAATAATAGTAAAACTCTTATACAAGTTTCATTAGATATATTCTTAGATACCTGAAATTTTGGATGATATTATAAATGGCATTATTTTAAAATTTTTATTTTCAAATTGTTTTCTGCTAGTATACAGAAGTACATTTACTTTTATATATTGAACTTATATCCTACTATGTTATTTATTAGTTCTAATAGTTACTTTGTAGAGTCCTGGGAAGTTAGAGTTCTCTATGTTAAAAAAACATATATCATATACACAAATAAAGTATTTTTATTTATTTATTTCTGATCTATGTTTCTTTTGTTTGTTTAGTTTGTCTTATTGCACTGGCCAGGATCTCTAACATGAGGTTTGATAAAAGTGAAATAAGCAGACATTCCTTGCTCTGTTCAAAAATCTTAGGGAGAAACGTGGAATATCTCACTATTAACCATGATGTTATCTGTAGATACTCTTTATCAGGTGGCAAAAGATATTTTCTATTCCTAGTTTTCTGAGAATTTTTAATTTTTTTTTATTAATGCATACTGAGTTTTCGAAATGCTTTTACTGTATTTATTTCAATAGTCATATTATTTTTTCCTTTATCTTGTTAAAATATGGTAAATTACTTTGATTTATTTTTAAATATTAACTTTACATTTCCAGAATACACCCTACTTTATCATCATTTGCATATTTTGATATTTGTATATATTATATCATTATTTGCATACTTCATATATTATGGTGAATGGTCTGCTAACATTTAATTAAGGAGTTTTTGCCTGTTCATGAGGAATATTAATTCATATTTTTCTTGTTTATGTATCTGTCAAGGTTAAGCTGGCTTTATATTGAATAAAATCTGGTGTAAGATTTATTTTTTCTTCCATGTATTTTTGTTGAAATTTCTCCAGGAAAATATCCTGAGTCTGGAGTTTTCCTTATGTGAAGGTTTCTGATTTTGAATTTAATTTCTTGTTAATATATTTAGGTAGTTCATATTTTTTATTTCTTCTTGTGCAAGATTTGTTAAGTTGTGCTCTCCAATAAATGTGTCCATTTCATCTAACTTGTCAACTTCATTAGTAAAAATTAATCTAATATTCCTTTTTCTTTTAATATCCATAGTGTCTATCATTATATTCCTCTTTTATTACTGATAACAATAATTTATGCTTTCTCATTTTTTGTTCTTGGGAGTATTCCACCTTTAATAATCTTTTCAAATGATTCATTTTGACCTTATTAATTATCTCCAAGTTTCTTTTTGTTTTGCTTGATATCTAATTGCTTTCTGTTCTTATCATTTTCTTCATTTCTTCTTATGTCCTTTCTTCTTTTTACTTACTTTGGAGTTAATTTGCTTTTCTTTTTCTAGCTCCTATAAATGGGCACTTAGATAACTGAGGTTATCACTTCCTTRTTTCTATAAAGCTATAAAGGCACTGCCTTATTTGAATCTCACAAACTTTGATATACTATCATCAGTTTAAAATATTTTCTAATTTCCCTTGGTTTGTTTCCCCCTTTGGGTTATTTAGAAGTGCAGTATTTAATTTCCTAATATTTGGAGATTTTTCTTCCTATATATGTGGCAATCTACTTATAATTTAATTCTGTGGTGGTCAACAAAGATTTCAGTCTTTTAGCTTTTATTAAGACTTATTGTTTTGGGCTCTGCATAATGATCCAATTTGATGAATACACAAAGACACTGTGCTATTTCCATTCTATGTGGATATATTGCACTTCAATTATGACCTTATCCAGAATCAGTGTCATAATACTGCCTTCTGTTCAACCACGAGTCTCAGRGTCACTTGCTCTTCTAACTCAGCTATAAAATCACGTGTTCATTACACCTTCAGGGTGGAAAACTCACTAAATAACTCATAGAACTCACCTGAAGCACTACACTATGATTACAGCTTTATTATAAAGCATACAACTCAGGAACAGTGACATGAGAAGATACACAGGACGAGATCTGGGAGGGTCTGAGATGCAGAGCTTCTAAACACTCTCCCCCACGGAATCAGGCCATGCTATCATGCTGTTGCATCAATGTGTTCAACTACCAGGAAGCTCTTGAAGCTCTGGGTGTCCAGAATGTATTTTCAATATCTATTATTAGAAGAATTTCCAGAGAGCAGAACATACAGGTTTTTGTAGAATACTGTGCAACTCTTTGTGTAAATGTATATTTTGTCTAACTAAGGAACATTACTCTTACCTAGCCCTGTAAAACCAAAACCTGTTGATAAAATTCAAACAAAAGTAAAGGTTGTGGAATTAACATATTACAACCAAGTTGTTATAACTGAACCTGCTTCATGTGAACTGGTTGCATCTTTTTTATCTGATTTTATTAAAAGAATAGACATTGTATCTGACTGGAAAATGTCTCCTATACCTAGTATTGTAAATTAAAAGGCATGGAAATCCACCCTTCTAAGGAATATCAACTGGGCATTCTAAATGGGAACAAGTAAAAACTTCCCAAGTCTACACAGTGGACAGCAGGATCTGGTTTGGACAAACTCTCTGGTGTATACTATGTGGACTATGGCTTATGGCAAAAGCCTATGATCACTTCCCAGCCACAACTGCTGGGACTTTTCACTACAGAATTTGCTTTCAAGGAGCAGTTACTACCTTGCTATCTCTGTGGCTAAAGCACATGAAAAAATCTTGAAACCTGAAACACCCATGACATCTTTTATGATGTCAAAAATAGCACTCAAATTTGGACAGCAGTGCCCAAAAGAGCTCCATAATAAGACAGAAATACCTGGAGAAGGCAGGAAGAGACACTCATAAACAGGGAGCTTCTTTTCCCTTAGGACTAACCCTGGAACTGTGTTAGCAATGATTGGATTCTATYTTCACTTGAACAGTGCCCTACAAATGGCTCTTGACTGACCAACAAAGAGCTGCTTGGTGTGTAGATGGTAGTTTTAAGGTGAACAGACAATAWCCATTGGGAAGGATGTCCCTCTAATGCTCAGTAGGCAGACCTGCATGTTGAATACCTGAGTAGTGGTAAATTCCCCTGAGTGTGAGTTCTTACTGACTCATAGGCAGTGACCAAATGAGTTTGCTTTTTCCTACATTCTCAGACCTATTTTAAGAAAAACAACAAAAATTAGGATTTCTGATAGGCTGTAAAAATATTTCACACCAAAGAAAATGTAAAACCAAGACAAATTCAAAATTGGAGGTACTCCAACAAAACTAGGCATCACAATATATCTAGCCTTTACCATAGCAATCTGAGATTATTACCAAATCAAGATTAAAATTGCCAAGTCTTTTTTTTTTTAAAGAGAGAGGGAGAGAGAGAGTGGGAGGGGAGAGAATTTGTTTTAATATTTATTTTTTAGGTTTTTTTTTCGACGGACACAACATCTTTGTTTGTATGTGGTGCTGAGGATCGAACCCGGGCCGCACGCATGCCAGGTGAGCGTGCTACTGCTTGAGCCACATCCCCAGCCCCTAAAATTGCCAAGTYTTACCTTTGAATTTCCTGGTATTAAGACCAATTTTAGATTATTTTTTTGAAATGTTAAAGAAAATCTATAAAATTATTTCAGCAAATAGAATTTTATTCGGTGCATACATATTTATGATGGGCATGTTTAAAATCCTTGCTTTTAGCTTTTTTGAAATATGTAGTATATGAGTGTTGTCTATAGTCACCTTTCTGTGCAATACAAGTATTATTGCACAGACATTATTTCTCCTAACTTTTAGTACCCCATTGACCTCTTATCTGCTTCTTTTCCCTCCTTTCCCAAGCTGGGGAAACCATCATTCTACACTCAACTTTTATGAGATCAACTTTCTAGATTCCACATGTGAGTGAGAATGTATGGCTTCTGATCTTCTGTGCCTAGATTATTTCACTTAACATAATGTGCTTCAGTTCTATCAATGTTGTCACAGATGACTGAAATTTCATCTTTGTATGGCTGAATCCATTGTATATATGTACCACATTTCCTTTCTCCATTTATCAGCTGGTGAACACCTAGGTTTTTTCCATTTCTTGGCTATTATAAATAGTGCTACAATATTGAAAATACTTCCAGCATAAAAATGCTGAACGAATTCATCCAAAGTTTCAAGTCCATAYCAGTAGATATTATCTCAAAAGTAATGTATTGTGCTATATTCTCTAATATCATATGGTCAACCCTATTATCTTAATGCTCTTCATTGGCAAGAGAAATTAAAGAAGCTGGGATCAAGTTCAATATGTTGCTATTTACTTTGAATTCTAAGTTGTGCTTGCATCCTAAAAATTAAAATGAGCTGCAGTATGAATGAGAATATAAATTAGGTTGATGTTACCATATACTAAAAATAAAATACTAAAAATGAGAGAATGAAGAGACTTTGCTAGCTGAAAATATAAGTTGGTTGCAATGATGCATGCTTATAATTCTAGTTACACAGAAGGTTGAGGGAAAAGCATCCTAAGTTCAGGGCCAGCCTGAGTAACTTAAGGAAACTCTGTTTCAAAATAAAGTAAAAAGGGATGGGGATGTCATTCAGTAATAGAGTGCTTGCCTATTGTGTGGGAGGCCCTGGGTTTGAGCCCTGGTATTGAAAAAAAGGAAAAAAATGAAAAGAAAAATGGGGAAAAATAGAGATCAGTAATGGTATATTTTAACCTTTTGTTAAAACTCCAATTGTAAATAACTTTTGAATAGTGCTACAATAAACATGGGAGTGCAKATGTCTCTTTGATACACTGMTTTTATTTCCTTTGGATATATATATAGTAGTTGGATTGCTGGATCACTTGGTGATTACATGGTGGTTAATTCTTGAGGTACCTCCAAACGTTTTATATACTATTGAGTTGYTYGAGTTTCATATAATTCTTATCAGACATACAGTTTGCAAATATTTTCTCCCACTTCATAGGTTCTTTTAACTCTGCTTTTTATTTCCTTTGCTKTGCARAAGCTTTTTGGTTTGATAGAATCCCATTTCTCTATTTTTGTTTTTGTTTCTTGTACTTTTAAGGGGTCTTATAAAAAATATGCTTGCCTATTCCAGTGTCACCTTTTTCTTACATTTTATTCTACATTTTCACATTTGCTGTTTTCATAGTATATCTTTTTCCATACTTTTATTTTCAATCTGTTTCTTGCTATTCAGAGTACTTCACCTATAGATAAGAACATATTTCTTTCTTTTTTATCTGTCAGATAATCTCTGCCTTTTAATTGGGGTGTTTAGCCACTTTGTATTTGTTATTGATAGTATTGAATTAGTTTTAATATTTGCTATTTGTTTTCCATTTGTTGCATGTGTTTTTGATTCCTTGGCTCCTTCTTTCTTTCTTTTTAATATTTATTTCTTTTAGTTGTACATAATGCCTTTATTTTTATTTATTTATTTTTATGTGGTGCTGAGAATCAAACCCAGGGCCTCCCACTTGCTAGGCAAGCACTCTATKGCTGAGCCACAACCCCAGCCCTCCTTCTTTCTTTTAAGTTCATTAACTATTACTTAGTCTTGCTTTTTACTTTATGGACTTTTTACCTATATCTCTTCTGGGTAGTTACTCTGAAGATCATTGCATGTATCCTTAACTGATCACATTTTGCATAATATCATACCACTTTATATGAAGTATGCAAAATTTAAATATTAATTTTATTTACCCTCTCGGTCTTTTGTGCTATTGTTGTTATATATTTTGCTCCTGAAACATCATAAACCTCACAGCTCAATGTGTTTATATACTTATTAATTCTCAATACATTTTGGTTATCTCTTATATTCGCATTGTTTCTATTTTATTTCCGTAATTTAAAACACAGTGTGCTAGACTCTTTAAAACTGCAAATTCTAATGGACCTGGAATAACAAAACAGGAACAGGTAAAGCAGTGGAAAAGGTCAACTAATGAGCAATGTTATCTCTCATGGAATCCATTTCCTTTCTATCTGTCAAAAGATTTATATATTGATTAAATACATTAAGATTAGTTTATGTAGGAGCTAGAGCTCAGTTAATGTTACTTTCCCTTCCCTTCAAACAAACAGAATTTTTAAGCTAAAATATTTTTCATTGATATTAATTYAAGTTATTGTGAGCAAAATAATACTGAGAAGCAATGAAATACAGACAAATCAATGGGAACTCAAGAAAAATATCAATTTGGATTATACAAAACTGCATGGCAAAAGATATTTTAAATTGAAAATACAATTTTAAAAAATTTCCCAAATGCTCTTACCTTTACAGAATCAATATTTTGTAGATGTATTAACATGTCAATAAGTAATTCTGCTCCCAAATAGAATGGTAAAACTGAGATACAGAGGAAAGCATCCTGGCTAACAGGAAATGTTTTATAAAGATCTACTGCCTGTTTAAGAAGTATTTGCAGCTCCTGAGTAAAGTTCCAAAAGGCCCGACAGCAGTTCTGAAGCAGAGTCCAATAGCCACCACGATGAGCAAGAACCTAAGACAAACACAATGTCCAAAAGACTCTAAAGTTTCAAAAGTTATAGTCCTCTGAAAAACTTTACCTTTCTACAAATCTTACATGTTAAGTGCATTTGTTATGTGCTTCTCATATGCTAGATACTGTGATAAGATATTTGTATGCACTACTGGTTTAGTTCTCACAATTCCTAAAATAGGTTTACACTAATACTCTACACAATGAGGAAATAGAAGCATGGGGGTTACTTGCCTAGTCATGAATCTACTAAGTGTGGAAGGAGGAGATGCATGTGAATGGACTGAATCCAAAAATCCCATTGTTCTAGGATCTGGGAATAAAGAAGTAGAGCAAGGGTAACTGGATCTCCCCTTATGTTTCCTAAACTTATTAGAGAAGACCAACTAGAAAAGTAGACAAAAATATTATTTCAGGGAATAATATGCTTTATAAAGAGAAGTAGGTAGGGACCTGCTAAGATGCGAGAGGACATGTTACTTGAGACAAGGTGGTCAGGAAAGAGGTCCTCTATGMGGAAGTGTGATATTTGAGAGGGGACCTGAATGGTGAGTTGAAYAAGTCACAAGTCACATGAAGGTTATACTGGTAGGGCTTTTATTGGTAGGAGGAGAGTATTTGAGGCTCTGGGAACAGCAAGCACCAAGGATGGAGGGTGAAAATAAGGACTAAAGATAAAAAAAGTTTAATGTCATTGTTCAGAACCATGAAGGCAGGAGTATGCTAAATAAGAGCAGAAATAAGAAGAAGTGAGTTATACAAGGTGAGCAGGGCTTGGCTCTTTGAAGGCCCTGAAGTTTGTGGAAAGGAAGATAAAATTTGATGCTCATGGTCAAAGGGAAATGATTTGGRTTTACTTTGCATTTTGTAAAATCACTCTCCACTCCGTAGAGAATATGGAAACTTCAGTGTTCTTTCCTTGACTAGACAGGAAAGAGTCCCKTCACCTCTTGGAAGGTTTGAAGCATATACTCTTCACGCTATGATGAAAAGCAAGCTGTTTTTTTATAACTAGTAATTCYGATTCTGAGTTTAACAATTTATCACACAATATTTAAAAGGAAGAAAAGAGAAGACACAAGGGAACAGAAGARGGAGGTTGGGGTAGGGGCAAGACTTTCTGTAGCCTAGAAAGACCTTCCTTGGTTTTAGAGAAAAGAAAGAGGGCTATGGTACTCCCCAGAGAGAAGCCTATGGCATCACAGAGGATCTCAGGTCCCACCTGTGCATGAAACCAGTGGAGAGGTGTATACACAGCCCCAGGAACTTCATGAAGGCCACCTAGGCTGTGGGTGGATGGGCAACACATGACTAAAGGAACATACTTTCTCTTCCTGACAATTTGACAGTGCGTAAGACTTCAGTGCCTTAGCAGGCAAACCTCAAAAGTTGCTTAGGAGGAAGAGGTCTCATCAAAGCTAAAATTATGTATATTATATAAATAAATACAATATATCTTACTGGCCTGAATTTATAAGCTGCAATTTATACCCACTACCTTAGTAAATGAAAAGGATCMCATTACCATGGCTCTCCTGCAATATAAAAAGATTCTCATAAAAGAATCCAGTTCCAAATGTGCTCGGTCCTTTTCTCTGACACTAAGAGCTGATTGAGAGTCCAATTCATAAACTGGTTGTGTCTTGGACATATTATCTTCACTAGCTTTGGAATTCACAAATGTAGAAAATTCTTCAGCATCTATAGTGCAAAAATAAAATATGATTTAAAACATAGACATCAGTTCTGGAAAACACAGTAGGAAATAAGCATCAAATAAGTAATCCGAGGAAATAAATGCTAGTTAAACTTGAAAAAATGATGGGACTGGCCRGGACAAAAAGAACCAGGGGAAATTTCCAGAGCAGAAAGTTCTTAGGTTTTAAAGAATGGGATAAGTTGGAAAAATACAGAGAACAATAATTCAGGCAAAGATGAGGATAAAGGGAACAGAGGTAGAAATGAACTATGTTTTAGAAGGAAAATGATAGGATCCCACTGTTTGTTAATTTCCAAGCAGGCCATCTCCAGGACACATACACTAGCAAGTAAGTAGCAGCTCCCTAAGTTTGGGAGTGCAGCAACTCAGCCCACTAGTGCAGCATCAAAACAGGAGCACTGCTTCTGCCACAAACCTTCTCTTCCAATCTGCACTATATAATGTCTTTTTTWAATTTTTTAGTGGTAGTTAGACACAATACCTTTATTTATGTATATGTGGTGCTGAGGTCGAACCCAGGGCCTTGCACATGTCAGGCAAGTGCTCTATCGCTGAGCCACAACCCCAGCCCCACTAGATAATGTCTTAATAGCAAAATATCTTGACAATTTCATGGTGGGTTGTAGGCAGGGAGCCAGTTTAAAAACAAACAAACAAAACAAAACAAAAAAGCTCAGGAAGTTACATRTTATTATCTATATACAAAACTCATATTCCATATTATGGGATTTATTTTCAAATATTTCAATACACACATTATATGTACAGGTACCAGTTAAAACTAAGCTGCACCCTTGAAGCAACTAGAAAGTATGCCAAGTACCTCAACATGAGTAGACACTACTTGGACAGTTAACTAGCATACCAAGGACCCCAATCAGCAATAAGCTGCATTGCACTTGAAATGCCATTGTGAAAAAATCTATGTAAATGGTTTATAAAAGAAAAAAATTACTAGAAATAACTTTTGACAGTGTCGCATGCCTATAATCTCATACCTGTAATCATGAGGCAGGAGGATCGCTAGTGAAAAGCCAGCATCAGCAACTTAGCAAGGCCCTAAGCAACTTAGCAAGACTTGTCTCAAAATAAAATATAAAGGCAGGGGTTGTGACTCAGTGGTAGAGCACTGGCCTTGCACATGTGATGCCCTGGGTTCAATCCTCCGCACCACATAAAAATAAATAAATAAAATAAAGGTATTATGTCCAACTACAACTAAAAAATAAATATTAAAAAAATAAAATATAATATAAAAAGTGCTGGTGATGTGGCTCAGTGGCTAAGCACCCCTGGGTTTAATCCCTGGTGCCAAAACAAGAAAAAAGAAAAGAATTAACTTTTGTTTGTGAAATCTTCAACCACCAAAGCCTACCTATGCTTAACAAAAGAACATTACATTTATTGAATAGTCAAACTGCTTTAGGTTGTAATACTAAATAGGTATGTCCAGGTATATATGGTGATACCATAAAATGCAAAATTTTTCTCTTTTCTTTTTTTTTATTTTTTGGTACCAGGGATTGAATCCAAGAGTGCATAACCACTGAGACACACCCCTAGTCCCTTTTTACAGTTTATTTAGAGATAGGCTCTCAATAAGTTGCTGAGGATGGCTTTGAACTAGCAATACTCCTGCATCAGCTTCCTGATCCACTGGGATTACAGGTGTGCACCACCACACCTAGCTAAAATATAGAATTTTTTAACAGAGCAAACAAAATGTCCTATTAAAATATCAACTGAACTAAATTGCTGGGATTTTGGAAAATTTAACAACTGAACTAAATTTAACAACTGAACTAAATTGCTGGGTTTTTGGAAACTGGCATGAACACAACTATAGAGTCATTCAATAGTAAGTCAACATATTTATTTTACCTGATGGTAAGTTGGCCTTTCTTCTTTTAGCTGTAAGTAGGAAATCAAGCATTGTTTTATAATTTTCCAGAGTCAGTTTTGCCGTTGGCAATACTGTTCCTGAATTATATAGTGAGAACATATTAGGATCACATGATCGGAAACTGCAAAGGGAGAAAAATCACATTAAGAAACAATTTAAGCAACATGGAATGAAATCTGTCAAATAAAATCTATTTTTACCTTTTAAATATTTTGAGTGCTCTCAAATTTTATATCATAAAATATTTTAACACTTAATAAAAATCAAACATTTTACCATTTCATTTTTTAAATTATACAATATAATCTTGACATTGGGAATTTTAACATCATTATCTATTTCCCTAAAAGTGCCCTTGAAGATGGAGATGAAAGATCTATACTCCCTCTATGAGTGCTGAAACAATAATTTTTKTCACCTTAAAGCCACCTAATTTTAACACAATTCAGTGAAGAGGCCTACTATATAGAGCAGAGTGTTCATAACCACTGTTATTTCTTTTTAAAAATAAAATTTAAACAGTAAATGAACACACTACCAGTGAAACACCACATCATGTATAACCACAAGATTGGTATTCTAATTAGAATAAGTTACACTCCATGTATGTATGTCACAATACACTCTACCATCATGTATATCTAAAAAGAACAAATTAAAAAGGATTGTAAAAAATAAAATAAAATGTACAATTTAGTAATTAATTTAACACTGAGTATACATTAACAGCTTTAATAAAATTAAAGTTATCAGCAAGTTACTCTGACACAAATTTGATCTTTGTGTTATTGTACCATCAAGTGATCATGGTTAAATGGTGATTGGAAGCTCCAAGATTTCTCCATGTCCACAGAATAGTAAGGAAGCCAATCTTTTCCCTGGCCTGGCCCCAAGAATAGGTCACTTAGTGAGTTAACTGCTTCTTGAATGCAGATCTGGTCCACATAGGAAAGGGATCTATCCACAGATGTTTTTGTGATTTTTAACCAAAATACTGGAGAAACTGACACCAGAATCAAGTTCACTGTGAATTTCGACCTACATTTTTTTCTTCATTGAATTATTGAAATAAATACCCTCTTAATTCATATCCCTGTCTTCAGTCTTTCCTCTCTCCAATCTATTTGATATATTGCTGCCAAAGAAATTTCTTATGACAGTCCTGTTCAAAAACCCTCAATAATCTCTTTGTGTATATAAAGTAAAGCTCAGATTTAACAGAGATGGAAAATTCTCCATGATCTGGTACCCACTTACTTCTCTAATTACTGCACACCACTCCTCTCATATGCCCTAGATTCTAATCAGACTATTTGGACACATCCTATGTGTCCTACCCAGGCTCTGACCTTCGCTCTTCCAACTATCACCTCTGCACATCCTCACAACTATCTACCATCTGCACACTTCTAAACCTGCTTATCCAACAAGACCAGGACTGCTTGTCCCTTCCATGAAACCTTTGCTGTTAGGTCCAGCTAGAGTAAAGCCTATTATAACAAAGACTTCATATGTACTTGACATTCTACCATTGATTGCAATTATTGAGAATGTTTATGATAACTCTACCAACTCTAACTTGTGCATCCTATTCATCTTTGTATGTTCACTGCACCTAACTCAGTGCTTTGTAGCTAACAGGTAATCAACAAGTTTTTTTTTTTTTAATGAATGATTGACTCTGTATCACCTTTCTAATGGTGTTACATATCTATCTTCAATTTTTATCTTCCTTGTTACATATCTATCTTCAATTTTTATCTTCCTTGTTACATATCTATCTTCAATTTTTATCTTTCACAGCACTTAGCTGAAGACATTCAATTAGAGCTCAGAAATGTCTGTTGAAATAGCTATAGAAAAGCTTACATCATATGAGAAAATAAGATCTCTATTTATAGAGGCTTCAAATATACCTCTAAATGAAATCAAGATCTGTCTAGTGTCTGCTAATACATACACTTATAATACAATTCATGCTAAATTTCTCTTGGAATTAGCCTTGCCCTGAAAACTATACCAACAAACAAATTCAAGATATATGCAAATTAGCACAGCACCTGTTTGACAGAATAGATTCTGAGATTTAAAAAAAAATGTAAGAAATGCACCAATGGCCAGTATCAAGATATTYTGTAAGCCTATTGTTATAAATATTGAAGGCTTGAATATAGAAACACAATCCATGTTCATGAGACTAAAAAAGTACAACTGACTGATAACATACTATACCTGACCATTGTGTGTGAAATGCCAGGTTTTGTCTTCGTGCACTCTCCTAGCTTTTGTAAAAGCAGGTTGTAGCATGTGATTGCCAGATACAGGTTCATCTGAGCTCTCCAGGGCATCTCTTCAAGAACTATTTGATGAAACCTTTTTCTTTTAATATAATCTAATATTAGAGGATTCATGTGAATCATCAGGTATCGTTGTGCTATTTTTCTAACATCRGGTCTCTTATTTCTGCCAAGGGAGAAAGCAGCTTTGGAATTATACAAAAACTTCCAAACCCTTAATAAAGAATAATGATTCCAATTTGTACAAAATACATCAAGAAGTCACTTGACTGCCCTTATGCAAAAGTTTCTGGCTTATTTATCATTTGCTCAGTGGTAAAAATGTGAAATAYGGTAGAAAGGAAGGCACAGAGATAAACACTAGAGACAGAGAGACCACAGAGTGCCTTCAACTCCCCGCCCCCACCACCCATGTTTCAGCTCAACCAGAGCTTTTCTTTCATAACCAAATGCCCACTGGGATAAGACAAATAAATTATGATATAATGTTCACATTCATCAACTAACTTCAATATTAAATGAGAAAATCACTTCTCTGTATTGGTCTTTAAGGAAAAACAATTGAGCAAATTTTTGTCTAACACTAGACTTGCAGAGGAACTAAAATATCAGACAAATATAGATTAAATAACTTCATATATGCACATTCAATATGCTCCAGAAAAAAATTCAATTTTTAACCAGTAGTTAAAAAGTAATTCCTATCAAAACTCAAAGTAGCCTAACTACTTTTTTTTTTAGAGTAGTTATGCAGAGCATAACCTCATTTCTTCAAAACACTTTTATCCATTTATTTGGTACCATGGGTAGAGTTGCTCCCTCACTGGCCTGAACCATTCTACCTGATTTATATTAGAGAAGGGAGAGAAGAAAAAGAAGAAGAAAAACAGATGCCAACAGGTAAGTTCAAGTACTCTGCTCTCTTACACAGATAGCATTCTGAATCTGAAGATTAAAGGAATTAGAAGATAAAGAGGAGAGAGGAAAGGCAGGCAGGCAGGAAGGCAGACACGCACTTGCAGCAGAGATGCAGCCATGTGAAGAAGAAAGGATGCAGAGAAGCTTCCTTTGGGCAAGCATGTTTTACATTACCCCTCAGTTCTAAGTGTTTGGGATTTTGTTGATTACTTCCTTTTAATTCCAGGTTTCTGGTGCTTTTTGTTGTGCTTTGCTTTTTTTTTTTTTTTAGTGATATGCTAATGGTTTCCCAACAAAGATGAATTGTTTTAATAAGTATTGTGAAAATTAAAAATACCATTTCCAAAATAAAGATTACTCWTGTCCTTATATGAGGAGGCCAATCTCCTCAAAATCCTAAGATGAGCTGAGACAATTAGCTGCATCTTTCCCACCACTGAGGGTGAGCTAGTTCAGGGAATGGGTGAGGAGACAGGCTTCCTGCAGGTATCTTGGCACAGAACTGACAGACTCCAGGGAGCTTGGCTGGGAACTAACTGTCAGCCCACAGAGAATGCAGAATGTTTCTCCTTCTATCACCTGACATTTCTTAACATTTAGGAGATTCCAACAACTGGATCTATCACTATGGGGATGGTCATCTAAGTCCTACAAATTGCAGAGAACTAAACCCATACTCACACACACAAACACCCATGCACGCGCATGCATAAAAACTGCTGTAATCTCAATAAGGTCATTGGATTATACTAACATCAATTTCTTAGCTGTGACACTGTATTAACGTTATATAGTTACCCTAAGTGAAGGAGTTACACTAAGTGAAGGAGAGATGGGGTAAATTTCTTAATAACTAGGTATTATCTGAAAATAATAAGTATTTTTAAATGCATGTTACAATAAGTAAGTTCATTATCACAAATTATTTAATATTGAGGTCTTAGTCTACATGCTAGACAAGAGAAAAAAAAGAAGAGGCTTGAGTTTTAGAAAGAAATAAGCAAAACTTTCATTATCTGTTCACAGCATGACAGTCCACACAAAAACCTGTATCTATGAATAAATTATCAAGTTGTTTAGAGGGTATGCATCGAAGTTCTATTATTACTATACAAAGACTAGGAGAATTCAAAATGTAATTTTAAAACACTGTATACACTAATTTCACAAAAACACTCCTTGATGTAGCTGGCAAAAGATGTTTAATACCTTTAGGGGGAAATCATAGAAATGTAAATTTATTAAAAGGAATTATAATACCTAAGACCRTGGTCTATCTATTAGTAGATAGACTCAATATTGAGATTGAGACTAAAATTACAATATTGAGATAGGCTCAAAAAAAAAAAAAACAACTTCCTAAACCAGTGTATCTATTCAATTCTATCCTTATCAAAATCACAATAGAATTTTGTAATATTTGACAAGCCATCCTATTTTGTAAAAGATTATCCAAGATTTACATGAAGGAAAAGAACAAGCTRGAGAGACTTTCTATCATACAGCAAGATTTAATTTAAAGCCAATGTAATTATGATGGTGTGATATTAACTTAAAAGTAGATAAMTAGAGTAACAGAACAGAAAAGAGAGCTCCAAGCTATCTACATGAATACTTGCTAAAGGACAAAGTTGAYAGTGACAACAGAATAGAATACTCAATAAACACAGACATTTATAATATGTCATAATATAAATAAAGAGAATGAAGGAATTATCAAGAAAATAATAGGCAAATGCAAACAAAAGAATAGTAGAAGGGGCTCTATTAATATCTCTGTGGTGCRAATTAAGATTAAAATCACTAAACAGTAAAAGACATTATATAAATGAAGGTGAGATGTATAAAGAATTATAAGAATCATAAATACATATTCATAGAAATAGCAGCTGAACATTTTGCCATGGTAAGTTTGATAATCAGAACATTAGGTCACGGATATAGCCACAATGGCACATTGTATGGCAGTTCCTCGAAAATAAAAAATACAAATGYCACATTGTTGTTGTTTGAATCTTTCATATTCCCCCCAAAGCTCATGTGTAGATAATGCAGGAATGATCAGAGGTGAATGACTGGATTATGAGAGCTGTGGCCTTGTCAGTGGATTAATTCATTTGTTGGATTGATGTCTGAATGGACTACTGGCTGGTAACTRTTGGCAAACTGGGCATGGCTAAGGAGAGTGGTCACCAGAAGCACAGCCTAGACTGTTATCTGTCCATGGYGCCTCTCTCTYTCTGCCTCCTCCCCCACCTCCCTTGATCTCCCTYCACTGGTTGCCATGAGCTGAGAAGCTTTCCTGCCATGAGTCAGTGAATCATGGATTACTCCTCTGAAACTAGGAGTTCAAACTAAAGTCTTCCTCCTCTAGGTTGTTCATGTCAAATATTTTGGTCCCAGCAACAAAAATGCTGATTAACATGTGATCTTGCAATCTCACTACTGACTAACTAACTCCAAAGAAATGAAGTTATTATATTAAAAAGATACCTGCACTCTCATATTTATTGCAGCACTATTCATAATAGCCAAGATAGAGAATCAACCTACATGTCCATCSATGCACGAATAGATAAAGAAAATGTGGTACATATATACAGTGGAATATTATTCAGCCATTTAACAATAATGAAATCTTGTCATTTGTGATATCATGGATGGAATTGTAGTACATTAAGTTAAATTAAATAAGCTAGACCYAKAAAGACAAAATCTGCATGTTCTCACTTATTTGAGGAAGCTGGGGGGGGAAACGTTGATCTCAAAGGAGAGAGTATAACTGTGGTTACTAGAGACTCCAAGTGTATGAGAGAGGAAAAATACAGAGAAAGGGATTGAACAATAGATCCCAAAATACAACTAGATAGGAGGAATTGGATTAASTGTTCTATATAACACAATAGGATAACAATAGTCTATGATAATTTATGATATGTTTCAAAATAACTAAAGGTTCCCAGTACAGAAATGATAAATGTTTGAGATGTAAATGCTATTTCACAGATTTGGTCATCATACAATACAACTAGATAGGAGGAATTGGATTAAGTGTTCKATATAACACAATAGGATAATAGTAGTMTATGATAATTTATGATATGTTTTAAAATAACTAAAAGTTCCCAGTACAGAAATGATAAATGTTTGAGATATAAATACTAGTTTCACTGATATGGTCATCATACATTGTATACATGTATTGAATTACTGTACTGTTACCCCATAAATATGTAAAATTTTATGTGTCAGTTAAAATTTAAAAAAAAATTATCAGGTCCTCTGATAATTAAAAGTAATTTATATTTGATCTCCTGACCCCACATCTACATTATTGCTGCCACCAATTATTCATAGCCAATTACTCTATAATATATCATCTGTTTCATTTACTTTATAAAATTTATAGTAAAATTTTAAACTGTCTTATTTACTTGTGTGTTTACTTGACTACTATGTATTTTTCATTAAAGTAAGCACCTTGAGGACAGTGATTTTATTGTTTGGTTCACCAGTGTGTCCTTAGTACCCAAAATTATGCCCAACTCAGAGCAAAATCAAATAAACATTTATTGAATTAATTAATTAGTTAATACCTTTCATTTTCTGGAATTTCCAAAATATTTGGATTTTTTGAATAAAAATCTCTTAGAGTTTCCTTTTTAATGTTTCTTTTCCTTGATGATAYATCTGTATTCTTAAGGAAATAATAAACATGTTACATATTAAATTTAAACTTTGAACACAAAAGARTAATTTATTCATACTTTAATGATTATATCTTGACATTGAAACARGGTGGTTTCATTATATCTTTCAATTAAAATTACTATCAAAATTAACAAAAGTACTCCAATAGAAATGTTATTATAAAAATATCTAAATGATAACTGAATAATTTAYAATGTAGTATGGAATTATAAAATTATGCTTGTTGGTATTTCTGTCTCATATTATAATAAGTTAAAATATAGTTAATCATCTTTAGATATGTAATCTCTTAATTAGTTTCATCAATTAATTAAAATTCACAACTCAAAAGAAACTTACTCTTCCAATCTCTAGTACTACAGCTTTAAACTTCTTTGAAGGTACATTTGCCTTTTTATAAGCAAAATTGTCCCTATATTTTATTCTTCTTTGTCCAATTAGGGATTCATTCCTCCTAATACAAAAAAAAAAAAAAGACAGTCAGTCAAAAAGCTCTTTAAAAATTTGCAAAATTACCCCAAAGTAATAAATATTTAAAGCATGTTGTTATTAAAATTATTCAAGAAGGTTATCCCAAAYTGCTTGTGTCCCATGCATAATTAGACAGTGATCTCTGTTCGTCAAGAATAAATGGCCTCTCAAAAGAGGAAAATGTAAATACATGCAATGAGACCTGATGTGTCTATAAGAAAAGGAAGAGTGGAAAGCACAATGTGGTAGAACGGAATTGGACTGAAAATAAAGTAACATGGACACTTCTCTTTATAACTGAGACAAAAATGTGACCACAGACAAACTATCATTGTTCCAAAAKATTTCAATATTTTTTTGTTCCATCCTGTGCAAGTTCCCAGCCACTATCACTTTCTAAATACCAACAGAAGTTAAGCATTTCAGATAGCTGTTGGACTTTCTCCCATCCCCAAGCATCTACAGGAGTTCTTAAGCTTATTTTCTCCAGTGGATTCCACTCTCCAACTACTGTTAAGTCTCTCATTATACTTCTATTGATACTAACATTCCTGARATTTATATATTTTTATGGAAGTTCTCTTCCTTTTGCAAGTACTTGCCAGGTACAGCATCCTTCCATAACATGATAAATGGGATCCCAAAACTTAAACTGAATAAAAGGTGGAGACACATCAATACAAAGTTATTAAATGACTGGATGGGTCTGAATAGCTAGTTCAAGGGGTTGAAATATAGTGTATGATCCAATTCCATCTTGGTCCTGGTAGAAGCTGGCCTCTCGACTTTAATTTTTATGAAGATGGTTATGGATCCTGTGATTGATTGGAACTCCAGTCCAGTTGCAGAAATCCCATTAATCTCCCAGTTAGTTCACATCCATTCTGGAAAATGTTTTAGAATGCTTGGACCAATGATTACCGAGAATTTAGGTACTCATCCTCTGCAACTTCATCCTAATACTGGTTGTCTGCCATTTACCAACCACATCTCTTTTTTATGTCCTCCCTCTCCCACACCACTGAATACTTGATGGTTGTTATGTTATTCCAGAAAGAAATGAGAAAGAGGGGAGGTTAAAGGTGCATACATTTAGGCTACAGTCTTACCAACCAGCTCTACATCTACCACCATGCCCCCAGCCCATGTWCTGCTACCTTCATCCATTGAGGACATCAAATGATATTCCTTGACCTCTTCACAGCTCTGTGGAGTTCTGACTGATACTTTTTGAATTGTTTATGGTGTTTTGATAAGTTGTATTTTGCAACTTTCATGTAATCACACTAGTGATCTTTTATTTCATGGCTTATCGATTGTTTTGATTACTTATATTAATACTATTTCTAACAAAAAAGTCTCAGTGGCTCTCTGCCTATTATTTCACAAGCACAACTCTGTTACACTTTATCTGACAGTACAAATCCTCCTTCTTTGTTCACTTTTCAAATAATTTTCATTATTCCAACCCATTCTAGATTCTTCTGCTTGGAATTTTATTGGAATTGCATCAAACCAACRAGTTAATTTGAAGATAACAGGAATCTTTAAATTTTCAGCAATATTCTGTCTRCCAACCAAGTAATGTACTATCTCTTCACTTATTCAAGTCTTTTTAATAATTATTATGTTTTAGTAGAGATGTTTGGTCTCCTTTATGTTAGTGTAAGTACCTTCATAATTCCTGATAAAGTTAAGCATGTACTCCTTAGAAATGAGATCATTTTTCTATTACACCTTCTAGTTGTTATAGGAAAACTATTGATTTTTGCACCTAAACATCTCATAAAATTCTATTATTAGTTGTAACGGTTTTCTATTAATTATCCTGAAGCCAAAAAAATAATTATTTGCAAACAATAACTTCACTGTGGAATTCAATCTACAACATTTTTTTAACACCCTSTGATGTGATAATCATGAAAGTACTAATTCTAATTTCTATTTTTTAACRTACTTGCAATAACTTTAAAACCAGTGTCAAATGACAGAAAGAATAACACATTTCCATGTTACAGAGTTTATTTTAACAGAAATCATTCTTCTAGACGTACAGCGTTACCATAGATTAGGTATAAAGAAGTGATGGAAGGGAATGGGATGGGATTTGGGGATAGGAAAGATAGTAGAATGAAACAGACATTATTACTTTATGTATATATGTGACTACATGACCAATATAATTCTGCAACATGTACACTCAGAAAATAGAGAAATTATATCCCATCTATGTATGATATGTCAAAGTGCATAAATGCATTTTACTGTCATGTATAACCAATTTTTAAAAATTAATTWAAAAATTTCTTCTAATCCTAATTTGCCAGAAACCATTGTTGAATTTCACCATGTTACTTTTTAGCATCTCCTAGAGGCTCCTTGTTTACCAGTGATAATTATATTTGCAAATTTCCTACTATATTTGCACTGAGAATAAAATCTACATTTTCACTACTCAACTTACATGCTAGTCTTTTATTTTGGACTTTTGCTTCTAAATACTACCAGGTAAGATTGTTTCATTGTTTTCTGTTTTCTATCCTCTTTTTATAAAGCTCTGTTATCAGAGCCTGCTGGACTCAATTTARTAGAAAACTTAATACCCATGTTTTGAAATAGCTTTATGTGAAAAAAAATTATTCATATCTTTAAAATACAAAAGAATTACCCTAAAATATTTTGAAGTAGCCAAAAATGTTTACTGTTTCACTCAATTCTGACACATTTTTTCCAAATAATCATCACTTTTGACTAGATTTTTAAATTTATTAATATTAAATTGTACATACTATTATCTAATGTTCATTTAGCCACTTTCAAATTTACATTTATTTTCTCCTTGGATTATTTGTTTTTCTCTTAKTCTTAATATGCTGCCAAGATATTTACTTAATACATTCATATTCTTAAAGAAACAGCTTTAGCAGTTATCAACTGGACTGTCTTAAAACCAATTTATAATTAATTTCAATTTTTAAATTTTTTCATTCTCTTAGATTTGTTTTATTGCATATCTAATTTCTCTTGTTTGGGATTAAACCCAAATAAGCTAGACAAGTGTAATACCACTTAAGCTACATCCCTAGTCCCTCTAGTTTCTTGACTTTGACAAAAGTTCACTTATTTTTATTCTTGCTTTTTAATAGAAGTTTCCAAAGCTGAAGAATTGTCTCTGTCTTTGGGTGCATTTGATACTAAGGGTTTCTCATTTTGAGGGTGCTTCAAAGTGTTTAGTCTCCATTGGCTAAACATATTAAATTAATCTTATTAATTATATTATGTATATCTTCTATGTCTTTCCTACTTTAGGGCAGGTGAATCACAAACTCAAGGCCAACCCACTCACCTTAGAGAGACCCTACCACAAAATAAAATAAAAAGGAATGGGATRTAGCTCAATGACAGAGTGCTTAGCATTCATGAGACCCTGGGTTCAATCACMGCACTACCACCACCTCCAAATAAAGAGGATTATTCTTTCAATATTACCAGAATAACTGATAAACTGGGGAAAACTGAAGTTAATTCAAGTCCCCATACCAAAATAAATTTTATACATATTAMAGAATTGAACTTAAATCATGAAATTTGGAAAAATGAAGTTGCATATTTTTTCATATTGAAAAAGACAGAAAATTTCTGTGTACTAGAACTTGTTAGGCATATAAATAGATAGTAGTATATCTTTATACTACTATCCAATGTGGAAATCAAGGTGTTGCATCCGMACCTCTTCCTATATTCCCTGACTTGGTGAAGAACAACCTAAAACATTGGCTCAGCTTTGACAATTGAAATCATTACCTTTGTTTCGAATTCAGTTATACTGCTCCATCTCCATCCTCTGGTCTTTTATTATGCTACTGTTCAATGCTTCTAAGCCACTTAGTCTGTTTTCCCTTTTGGAATATCTATAATTATTAGGTTGGACCACATTCAGCCTTTCAAATTTCCCAAATTTTCCATTTTCACATTGAAAATGTCTTCTGATTTYCTTTGGTATCAACAGTATTATTTGAAACTTCTAAATGCCTAATTTTGATTACATCTTTTTTAATTGAATGGAACTCTCCAGATCTGTCCCATTCTCTGATTACCGTGGYTTGTTTCATTTCACAGAAGCAATTTCCTCTTTAATCTCTTGGTCTAATTATATTTCTGTGTGTTTTTAAATAAACGATTCTCCTCTCTTTTGCTGCCATTTTCAAAACAGTTTTCATGTTATTGATATTTACTTTTTTGTTTTTTTGTGGTTTTTTTGGCTGTACTGGGCATAGAACCCAGGGCTTGCACATGCTAGGAAGGAGCTCTACCATTGAGCTATATCCCCACTGATGTTTATATTAATTGAAATGGGATGAACAGATCTATTCCCAGTTGTGAAAGAGAAGCCCACTTGTGAAGAAGACACATTGGATTTATTTGACATCTCTCGTAATTGGCATGAGACATGATCATTTTCTTTGGGAACAAAGACAATCATTCAGCCTTAGAGAATGAGAAGGACAGCCTAAAGCTATCTATTGAGGAGCTTCTCATTCACAYACACAAATGGAAGCCCCAAAGAATGGCTCTGCTCATTATGATAGAGGCATTAGAAGCACATGATAAACAACCMAAACTGGACTCTAACCCTTATGTGAAAGGGAGCTGATAGATASACAGATGCTATTATCCCTCCTAACCAAATAGCAAAAGACAATCTATTTCCTGCCTGAAATCTGAACATGGTCTAGTCTCATTTCTTAGTGAAGTTGTATAAATATTTTTACATTTAGTCATTATTTAAATGCACACACACAAATCTTCACTCTCTCCCATGTGGTAACTACATACACTACCCTTTTTCATCTACCCCATGTATTTGAAAGGGACAATGCTGCTCATGTTTTTGGAAGTTGTTTCCATGCATAAAACTGATATTACAAATACCTTTTCAAGAAGTCAAGGACAGGAATTGTTATCTCCAACAAAAGGGAAAATTTTTCATCATTCAGGCATTTAAGCATAACTTGCGTAAAAAATTCCAGGAATCTAGGTCTGTGCTTAAATTTCATAACTATAAAAACAAGAAGTTTGCATATAGTTACCAATACACTTAGTTATTAGCATTGAAAGTTTACATTTTAATACTAGATTAATGTGATGTGAGCTATTGTTTTTTCTAAGATCAACTAATCCTTTACAGTCTATGTTTAATTTATTTTCCAAAAATCTCAGTGCTGAGAAAGATTTCATTAAAGTCATTTCTAATGTATCACTAACTGCAGAAAAAAAAAAATACTGATAATTGTCAAAAACAGTTGTCGTAATTTTTACTATATTTTACTCCAAATTTAAGCAATAATGTTGCTCTCTTCATAGATGAACATAAAAAAAAATCACTGGTGCATTTTCTTCAATGCCCTCATTTTTGTAAGTTTTGTAATAACTGTTCACTACAATAAGCCATCATGAAGGTAGTCTTTCTAATCTTTAAATAAGKTACCCATTTAAGTCTCTTTATTACTTGGCAATCAAGATACTTCATTATTCATGAACAGATAAGAACCCCAAAAAGTCTGCCTAGAACAGATGAAGTCTTTATATAAACAACAGACACAAAATCTACAGAATAACAACTTTCAGTGGGAAGTCGAGTGAGCAGCACACAAACATCAGGTCACCTACCTTCTTTCACAGCACCTTTCACTGACCAATTTAAAACCACAGGGTAAAGAAATATAGGGTCTTCTGCTCCTGAGAGTTCAGCCGCAACATCTAAGGTTTAAGAAAATTAATAAGTTGTAGTTCTGTTTAACATGAACAACCAAAAATAAAAAAATTCTTTGGAGGGGATGGAAAAATAGGAAATACTCAAATATTCCTTCTAAATTGTGTCTTAAATATCAATTATAGCATTAAATTTTGAAAAGAATCCAATGATTTTCAATTATTTCATTATTTTTTTTCCAAAAAGTTAAAGGTTCACCACCAAAACCTAACAATTATATTAATTCCATTGTAATAAAATTATCTTTAAATGACAGTAAAGTACCACATAGGTACTAGAGCCAGACTGGGTTCAAACTCTAACCCTGACACTCTTGAATTGTGAGACCTTGGGAGGTAATTTAGTTTCTCTTTACTTAAGTTTCCTTATCTTTAAAATGTGGCTAATAACAATACTTTCCTTAAATGATTGTTATATATGGGATAGGCTGAGTTTTAAAGTGAATAAAAATACTTAAAATAGTGGCTAGTACACAGCAAACTRTATACAAAACTTATTTTTATCATTGGTGTTGTTAGTGAACTGTTTACTTAGTAATCTCACATTGTGTTTCTCATTAAAATATTTCTGTTGGTATCTGAAAATTAGTTCATGTTTCTAAAACATTTTCTAATTTAAGGAATTATATTTTTTAGGTACAACGAGATAATTAGTTTTTCCAAAACTTGGTTTACTAATTATGGAAATAATAGGCCACTGGGTTCAATTTATAAATTCAGCTTGAAACAGGCATGGAGTATATGGAAAGAGAGAGGGAAACAATTCAGGTAATTCAGAAACAGTATGACCACCAAAGTACAACTAAGGCACCCAGTAAGATAGTTGAGGGAGGGACATGCAGTTCTACAGATACAGTCCATTCCCAGAAGACCTTGGGTCCAAACAAGGAGCCTCACACGTGGGAGAAATTTGGGTACTCTCTTGTTCCTTTAGAATATTATATATATATACTATATTATATATACTAACCAACATCGGAAACTAAATCAGTTTCCCAGGCAGATTTCCAAACTGCAAACTCCTAAATACTAATTGTTCCATTAACACATTAATCTATTTTGAAATTACTACAGTACAAAGACCCAAAATTAATCTCTCTCTCTTTCTGCTCTAGTAGGCCAAGGTTCAAGCCACTTACCATCCCTCACACTACCCCATCCTTTCTCAATTGCATCTTTGCTCTCAGTAATTCTCAATTTTGTGCCATCCTACCCCTACCCCCACCAYACCGCCAATGCTTTTGACATTTGCCTCTTGGTTGGTTGTCACARCCAGGGGTTTGGTGTGTTATGCTTCTATGAGTAGAGGCCGAGGATACTGACCAACATTCTACAATGCCTAGGACAGTCCCCCACTACAAAGAACCARTGGGCCCAAAATGGCAATAGTGTCAAGGTTTAGAAAACCTGTTACGGAGTCAGAAGACATGGGCTCAAGTCCAAGCCAGCTACAGAACTCTGAATAAGTCACTTAATATTCATTAGCCACATCTGTAAAAGGCAGTTAACAATCCCATATTAATAAGGCATTGTTAGGATTAACAACATAATGTAAAGGCACTGTGTAAACCTTATTGGGTTTACCTGACACTAATCTCATTTTAAGCCCTTTAACAAAATATTTTCCCAGTTTAAGAAAATTGCTGCATAGACATATACAAAAGAGAATTTTACATTGTTTTATCAGTTTGAGTAGGTGTGTCTCCAACAAGTTCAATTGTTCATTTAATTTTTCAGGCAACAATATCTGTTGTGGCTTCTTAGTTTTTACAGATTTCTTAGACGAACCCTAGAAATATTGATTAAATGTCAGAATGCTATAAAAACTGTCATTCTCAAATAACTTTCTTCAAATTATTCCTTCATATTTGGTAGGCAAAACTAAGATATACATGATTAAACAATACCAATTAGTAATTAATAATAACAGATATTATGTTCTAACTAAAAGCCAGACACTGTACCAAGAGTTTCATAGAAAGTAGTCAAAGCTCTTTTCTTAAAGCAGATGAAGATATGTCTCTAAAAGTCTTTTCAAAAGAAAATCCCTAGGCCGTGTATTCATATATGAACATAGGAAAGTTATATCTGATTCATTCTACTGTATTTCCCCATCCTAGGCCACCCTCAGGAATGTATCCCTTTATTCGTTTTTTCTCAGATGGAGCTTCTTTACAACTAACCTAATTGCCTTTGATACTCTGCCTTTCACTGAAGTATAATGGGATCTGTAATTAGTGGATTAAGAACTGGCCTGTCTATACTCAACTCCCCATCATGTTTTCTCTGTCTCAGCCTATGAACTGACCTGTCTCTCTCTCTCCTATTCCCAAACATCTTCCAAGCCTTTTTAGGTTTAAAGGGAACTTGAATGGCTCTAATGATTTCAGACTCCTTACAACTGTCCCAACAACCCTACTCAGAGGGAAACATAACAACCTTCCACTGGATCAAGAGAGTGGTGCAAGGTCCTGCCCCACAGTAATGTAAAATGAGAGTCTTGAGTTAAAGCCTGGACAATTTAAAGGGGCTAGCTGAATGGACTCTCAGTAAACACTGGGTGAAAGACTCCAATTGCCAACAGCTTAGTCAAAACTCTCTCTAGATCAAACAATGCCATCACTACCACCAACACCACCACAAGAGTGGTGCATTAGAATTTTAAAAGTCTCCCAGTAATGGAGTGGTGCTTTGTGGAGCTTTTTTGGCTAACAAATGCTGACTTAAAAAGTAATCAAGTAATCAGATAACACTTTCTTGTTTTTATCTCAAAATATAATGGAGATAGAAATGGGCATAATCTCAAACAGGGCTGGAGGCAAGTATCTCGAACCAAGTAACAAGGGGCTTCAAGTAATTCCTCGCGTGCCTCAGCAACCCAAAATATCAAGTAACATTTCAAAACTTGATCTATAAAAACATTTAACACACATATTTCAAATAAAGGCAATAAAGCATAAGCTCTTACAAGAACCATGCTTAGGAAGCACATATTAAAAATTAGTCTCAAAAATTAGCAGTCTCATATAGAAGAGAATTCAGATATTGCAATGAGTTTCAGAAATCTACTTTGAACACAAGCTAAAAAGCTCAGATGTGTATTCACTATATTCAGTGACCCACCCAGAATGTAATCTTAGATTCAAAAGGGCTTTTAGTCTAATGTCCAGCTAGGTGTAGGAAGTTCAGTCATCACCTAACTGATGGCCAGTATTGTAATAGTGACCATTCGGCACACTAACATAGATGCTCCCTTTATTTTCTTGACCACAACTCAAAAACAAAGAAACAACAACAAACAGAAAAAGAAACTCCTACCTATATTACTTTTCTTCTATGTGAATATGACAAATCAAAAATAGATAATTTTCTAATATGTTTAATGATACTAAAAGAGACCTCCAAAGACCCCATTAAATACATGTGTAAAAATGAAAACCAAAAACCAATTACCTCATCTGGTATTTCTTCTGGATCATTCTTACCAAATAGTGACCTGCAYTCTGTTGTGATGTCCAACATCTTTTTTCCATAATTTATAACCATTGCTGCCATATCATATTCCTTCCATGAACGTAGAATCTAATTAAAAGTAAGTATTAGTTATCTCTGTTGGATGCTTTTGGTCTGACTTCAGTGTGATGCATCATCTTTCAAAAATTTGAAGTCCTATAAGTTTGGGGGTCTAAGAACCTCCCTGTTTTTGTTAAGGAAACTGGAAGTTTCCCTCCAGATTCTATTTCCCTAGAATTCAGTGTGCACTATTTTAAATGAACTAATAACAGGATCTCATCAATAATGAATTCCCCATCTCTCTGGGTCAGATGGTCACATGCCCTTTGGTACAGTAACTATTTAAAAAAATGCTATGTTGACACATTTTTGAAAACATATAAGCATCACCTCTTATTTTGAATTGCTCTTTGTTAGAAATGGCACAAAGACTGACCTTGTGGTATCTTAAGGCCATTTATGTCAATCAATGATTTCTAAGACATCTGGTAGAGGACTGGGTTAGAGATAAGTTGGTTTGGGCAGATTCTCCAAGGATACTAGGGGAAGTTTACACTGTGATCAAAGAGGGAAAGGCCTACCCTCTCATTCTCATTTGCATTTCCTAGTTCCAGTGGTTATTCTCTGGCCTTCTCCTACTCTGGCCCTACCTCAATTACCTCCTTTTGTTTTAATCTTACTAAATGTGGAGCCAAATATATGTCTGACACCACACTTCAGGACTTCATGCTTTCCTACCTTGTCATTAAGCCTGGGCTCTAGTATCAACTCCAAGAAAGCTTCCCTGCCAGTAATCTGGTTTGTATATATCCTGTTGTGCTCATGAGTCTGAGAAAGAGGACACATTAATCGTGAGCCTGTGGGGTAACTTAAAAAAGTATAAATAAGTTTGCATGAACTTGCTAGGTGTAGAGTAAGTTAGTACTTAAGTAACAACTGTTACTTCTTATGCAGGGAAGGGATATATAAAGCTGTCAAAAAATAATGAGGGGTTGTCTAGACCTGATGGGACCTACCTATTGTTAAGAAATTTAAATATCTCTGCAGAACCAGGACAATGTGAAAAACTAACGGTGACTGTGGAACAGACTGTGGGAAGGAAAATGGTGAAATAAATTTTAAAAAGCTAGATGGGGTTATATCTTACAGTACCTTGAATGCTTGGCACATTGGTCCAATCTCATTTAAAGGAAATATGAGAGGGGGCAAGTTTTGTTACTAGAAMAGGAGCTAGTAAATTTTGCTCTCCACTCTACTTAATTTTGCTTTCTGATACAGTTATAACCTGAGCCTAGAAAGAAACTGCATAACCTTTTCCCTTATTTCTATATGCTTGTAGAAAATAGTAAATGATAAGGGGTTTTTCCCAATTATGAGTAATATAATGGAATAATTGTATTCAGCATACCAAGTGATGGACAGAAATCAAAAGAATACCAGATGTTTAATGCCCCAAAACTTTAAAACAATGAAACATTTAAGATGATAAACCTCAGAATTGGCCCTTTATTTGGAATTCTGGTGACTTTTTTAGAAGAAAAAAAAAACATTGCTGTTTAAAGAAAAAAGATTGAGCCACGTGAAAATATAACCAATTTTTTTAAAACAGAGCAATGAAAAGAAGCAGAGCTGTTTGACTAACTGCCCTTTATAAGCTCTAAGAGAAGATCTATTATTGTTAACAGCTAATAAACACCTGAAATCTGGGACTCAGGAGCAAGCCAGGATTCTGGAACTGCAGGCCAGGTCAAAAGGAGCTTCTAGAATGGCAACACKGAACATATCAACTTCGGACTAATCCAGTTCAAGTAATAATCCACTGACATTAATTGATTCTTTTTTTTAATGTTCAAACCACATTTAGGGTCTTCCCTAATAACATCACTTGAATTTCAGGGATTCCGCAAGTGAGGGAAGAAGCAGGCAGGGTCTTGGATGGCAAGTAGAAGGTGCACAGGGTCATTCCCAACACCCCTCTGTACTAAAATCTGTCCAAGGCTAAGAGAGGCAGTATGTGAACTCAAACATGGTCTGGAATCCTATTTCCACTAAGCTGGTACTCTCCGCTGTCTTCATCAGGGAGTGCCTAAGCCCTTCATTTCTCCTCAAATCTCTAGAACTCACAACTAGTGTCTACCTCCTCACTGTCAGAAAATGACTGCTTCCTTTCCCTGCTCCTCTCCACCAGTATTCAAATGTTTTGAGTACTCAGATAAGTAGAATTGGCTGGTTGGTTGGTTGGGTTTTAGTAGAAAAAGTGCAACTGGCAAGTGGTAAGCTGGCTTGGAAAAATTTCTCCTTTCTTCAAGAAACATGTCATAGCCCCTGTTAGTTATATAAATGTTCAGTGAGTAGCCATGTCCAATGTCCTAGAAGGAGAGAGCAACCTGGCCCTTCTGTATTTGAAAGAGACACCCCCACCACACCCCCATTTCCTTTATGGGAGAGCCTGGCAGGGAAGGTCAAGCAGATGAAGATATTCTAAAGAAGAGTAACCCTGGAAGGAGTGCTCTGGGCCCAGTACAACACTAATTGATATGCAAGTGTAATTGCAGCAGTGGAAAAGGAGAGGGGTGCTTTCTGGGGTGCTTTCTGACAATGAAAGAACTGACATAGCAGGAAGATTGTCAAGGCTAGGAAAGAAATAGGAATGGCAGAACAGCTTGGGACTAATCAAACTCTCCAGTTCTTCACCCTACCTAGAGTTTGGAAACACTTATTTTTCTATATTTTGGCCCCTTGTATTACATGCACCCTTGAGATTCTTAAATAACCCTCTTCCCTTCTCATTCCACATACTGTCCCGGGGTGACAACATCTATTTGTACTGAATATGCTARTGACCTCCTTATCTTTATACATATTTGGCCTCTCCTGTACTCCAGGCCTACTGGACACTTCTTTGGACATCCTGTAAACCTCAAAATTCAGTCTGTTCAAAACTCACTATCTTCTCCCCTTTACCACACAAAGTACTCTCATCCAGGATCAACAAAAAATTGTTATTTATGCCCAAGTGCCCAGGCAAGGTAGCTGGATATTACAGTTGACCTTTCCCTCTGCCTCCTCTACACCCTATGTTTGATAGGTGTCTAGCTTCTCAATTCTATTTCATAAGTTAACTCTTGAATCCTTTCCATTTTCTCTACCTCCCACTTTTCCACACTAGTTTAGTTTATCATTTCTCCTTTTCAAACTATCCCCTGACTCAGGTCTTATCGCTCTCTAATTGGTAGCTATTGTTCAAATAGAATAATTCCTTTTTTCCTAAAATGCACACCTAATTACATTATTTCTGGGTTTAAAACCCTTCAATGGCTCCTGTCTACCTCAGAAGATGGCCCTTCATCTGTTCTACCTTTTAAGGCAACTTGAATATTTAATCATATAATTCTGTATCTGTCACTTATTTTTCTATATATCTATATGCCTATATAGATATAGATATATATATCATCCTATATTTGTCACAGATTTTAAGCTCCACTTACTGTGTCTTGCCATAAAAATGTTTTAACTATCAGGTAATTAGTTATCTGTGTTTTTCTGTATATTATTCTGAGCCTTGTTGAAGAAGGTGTCCCCTGATTCCAAGGTCATACAAATGTTTTTGAAAGCATCTGGACCTTATTTGTGCTGAGGCAGAGCTCTGGCTTTTTTTACTTTCAGAGGAATAGTCAGTTACATCAACACCTTCCATTAAATCAACTATTATAATAAACCATTATTTCCTCAAAGAATCAAATTGCTAACTTTGTCATATATTAATTTCTTCTGTAGATTTGGAGCTATTCCTGTATCCTCTAATCCCTTCCACTGAACTATCTGCCCACTMTTCTGTTAATGCCAATTTTTTTTTATTAAAATGGCCTTATGGTAAATTTTAATATCTATTGAGAACTTTTAAATTATTCTAATAAGTTCCAGAGAAACCCTATTGGGATTTTGATTAGAGCTGCATTAAATTTAAATGTTATTTTAGGAAGGATTTACATTTCTATGACAGTAAATCTTCCTCTTCGGGAACTTGGTATGGCCTGCCATATGTTCAGATCTTATTTTATATCCTTTGATAAGACTTCACAGTTCTTTTATTTAGGTTCTTTGACACTTTGTTAAGTTTCAAATATCATGTATTGTAAGTTTCTCCATTCTAACTACTAGTAGTGGGGAAAAACTATCAGTTTATAAATGTTTCACATATAATCATTTGACACACTGTCTTTATAATTCTAATCATTTTTGCTAGTTTCTCCTGRGTTTTTGAGACCTTCATAATTATAAATAAATGAGGCTTTCTTTCCTGTTATCATATCTTCATCTGTTGCATAAGAGAGAACCTCTGAATATACTAAATCTCACTTAAAAGTCAGCATCTCTTTTCTATGCCTGATTTTTAAGAAAATGACTTCAGAAATTTGCCATTTAATATGATATTTGCTATAAAATTTGGGTAAATGTCTTTATCATTGTTCAACAGCTTCCTTCTATTCCTAACTTATTAGAAATTTTATTAGAAAAGGTTGCTAAGTATTATTAAATGCCTCTGTGGCATTTTTCATATAATCTTATTGTTCTCCTTCTTTAATTTGCTGTTATAAAAAAATGAGTTTTGTTTTAATTCAGACTTGTTTTCTTTTTCTTTTCTTGCTTTCTTTTTTTTCTTGCAGCCCTAGGAATCAAACCTAGGGCTAGCCTTGATCTTTAGTACTTAACAATGAGACAGCCCTCACACTGACAAATGACAAGATGCCATCCAGGRGCAGGGAAGGGTACATGACAGATTTGAAAGACACTATCCAATGCCTTTATTTGTCCTGATAAATGTTTGGGGACCTTAATTCTTACTTTGTCTGATATGAAAATTGCCATTTTCCTCCTTTATTTTTGTTTGCATTTGCTCAGTGCCTTTGTCTATCCATTTATCAATCAACATCTGTCACTTTGTTTTATGCAAGTTTCTTCAAGTGATAAACATTAGAGCCTGAATTTCTAGCCCGTCTGGCAATCACTGTCTTCTAAGACCACTCACACTTAGTGAACCGGATAATACACTTCTATTGATTCCACCAAAAATACTATCTCCTTTTCCCTTTTCTTACTTTTACCTAATCATCAGTTTTCCTCTYTCCCATTTTTTCMTGTTCTTGTTTCCTCTCTCTGATTCTTCCCTGTTCTTTTTTTTTCTCCCTATCAATTTGGAACTCCTACTAGGCTTTAAAGYTCTGCTCAGGGTAACATGTTCCCAATAATCTTTAAATGTGTGTGTGTGTGTGCGCACGCATGCGCAAGTGTGTGTACACACACATATATATATATTCTATCAAAGAAAATAACAGTTTTATGTTATATGTGTTTTTATGTAAAAATAAGTTCATACAACTGTAGTCCACAAATCCACCTGCTCACATATGCCTCCATCCCGAACAGGATGCAAGTTTTAGTCTAGGTTACAAATAAGTTTTCCCTTCAAGGATGACTCTACTCTTTGAAGAATCCCTACTTAGCATTTATATTACAAAGTGCTAGTCATGTCATTATTGTCTATTTAATTTTAATAATACATACATTGCAAGATTCAATGCTCTCATTATTCCTCTCTTTTTTGTCTTTCCCTATCTTGGGATTTCTGTTCTGATTCAATTGTCATTTGATAGAGTATTTCCCCAAGTGTTTTCCTCAGATAAGTACCAGGGCAGAAGACTTCAAATACTTGCACTTCTGAAAATGTTTACTTTTGCCCTGACAAATGAATGATATCTTTCCTGGTTATTAATATTTGAACCTTAGTGTTCTTCCCTCAGGACTCTACCAATGTTGTTTTGGTGTTTTAACTTCTAGAGTTGCTGATAAAAAGTTTGAAGATAAATGATTTTCTTTCCATCGCAAATAATCTGTTCTTTGGGTCTCAAACTTTAAATTTGTCTTTTCTCTTTGAAGTCAGAAATTTCACCAACATCTCTCTGCCTGGGATTCAAGAAGCCTATTACCTCCATTTGTTTCTTTTTCTACCCCCAGACTCCTGTTATTTTCATGTAATGACTTCTAGATCTGTACTCTAAATTTATTTACCATCTCTGGGTAATTCTGCTCTACATTGTGAGGTATTTCTTGAGCTTCCAGATTTGATTTGAGAAATTTCATTGTCATATTTTCAGGTGTTTAATATTTCAAACATGTATCAGATTTATTAAATTACATTTTTATTTTAGGAGGGGGTGTTTAGTTGGTTGGTTGGTTGGTTGGTTGGTTGGTTTTGGACCATCTCACTGCTTCCCCTTAAAAGTTTTGTTTTTTTATCTCACCCCCCCCACACACACACACACCAAGTCATCTCTAATCTTTTTCCAACATGGTTAAGAGTAAATAACACAATCATTTGGAAGTTTGGCTTGTTCTTCCTCCATCAAGGTACTAAGTCCCCTTCAATGAATTATTACTTTTCTCTCCTGCTAATGGCTACATCCTCTTAGCATTTGCAGAGACCAGGTCATGGAGGTCTCTCCAGTGGTAAACTGGTGGACAAGGAAAGGAATATTATTTTCTGCTCTTGAAGTCAGGCCATAAACAGCCAGCAAATAATAACTTCTTTGCTGAGGCAGAGTGTAGAAGCTTGTCTGTTGCCAGACCTCCATAAAGGCAAACTTCCTAAAGTGTTGTACCAAATCAGCCCACCTCTGTAGTATTCTTCCAAATTTCTAACAAATCAGAAAGGTCCTACGGACACCACATAAGATGAGCAGGCAGATGTGGATGCTCTTCTTTGAGGATATCCATTGGATTCTGTCAGTAAGGCTTCAAGGGATCACACAATGATGATGGTCTTTGAGTCAAACAATGAGGATAAAGAAATCTACCTCCCTGCCTCTGGTTTCTTGGTTCTTTCTTGTTTCCAAGGCAAATGAGGTCCTATAAAATGCCCTTCCCTAGATAACCTGGCCTAAGACAGCCCCCAGGCTTCACCAAGGGGCCCACTCAGGCTGCTCTAATGTCCTGAAAAAGAAATTCAAAAGAAGTCAGGGATCTGTGCTTAAGCTGCCATCTATCAGAATTCCTCCATTTCTTTACATAAAAATAAATAAACAGCTTTCCCTAAAAATTAAGCTACAGTAACTCTTCTCTAGTAACTCTTCTCATTAACTGAAAGCTACAATAAAAATAGTTAACTATTTCAACTATTTTCACACATATTTGCAAAAAAAAGGCAAAATGTATATGTGAGACAAAGAGTTCTAGGCACACCTATGGATGTACAAGCTTCTTTCAAAAGCTCTCAGGTCAACAGGTTGGAAATCAATGCTCCACCACTGGTCTACCCCATTTAGACTACTATTATTATAGGCTAAAATTGGCCTTGAGTCTCCGTGTATATTTGCTCACATAATTCTTCCTGCCCTCTGCCTACAAAGCTGTTTCTCTGCCATCTGTTTTAGTTCTACCCTTCCTCTTATGTAGGGTCGTCACATCTAAAGTAACCCAGCCCCATAAACCTCTCTCCCTTAACCGCTTTTCTATTTTAAAGCTTCATGGAATTATATTTTATATGTGTATGTGTTTTCTGCCTCCCCCACTAAATTATAAGCTCTGTGAGATAGCTTTGATTTGTTGTTTTTTATTTGGTTTTAACAATTTAAAAAAAAATTTATACAGTTGTAGATGGACAGCATGCCTTTACTTAATTTATTTTTTAATGTGGTACTGAGGATCAAACCCAATACATTCCTCACACATGCTAGGCAAGTGCTCTGCCACTGAGCTACAGCCCCAGCCCTTGTTTTAACAAATTTTAATGCCTACAGGTAAGTCTGACTTAGAACCCAACAAATCTAGCCTTACATCCAACAAAATCACAATTTTTTTTTATATCCACATGGTCTCAATAGGCATTTGAGTTTGTAATTCTTGCTTAATGCATGTCTAAGTCTCATTTCCTAGGTGTTCCGTCCTTGGTAATCTTTCTGTCTCCCTGTTCTGTGTCACCACCAACCATTCATTATGCAAGCTAAAAATCTGGTATCATCTATGATTTATTCTCTTTCAGCTATTATGAGGCTCTCCTCTAATTTTGGGGGCATATGTCATATATTTGTGACATGAAGAAATGAAATAAAGATGAAAAATGAGCTTATATTCTAACCACACTTTTGCCTGCATCTTTTCTCCTGCTTAGATCTCCAGATAGACAGATCTCCAGATAGATAGATAGATAGATACATAGAYACATACATACATACATACATCTTCCTTGATATAGACTGAATTCGCCTCTTTTCAGGTCAGGGTGCTGCACATCAATCCCATAATCATCCTTAGACTCTACCTACTCTGCCTTTCCTTCCGGTCTACTTCATGACATTATCATACCCCTCATTTACTGATTAATCCTTTAATCAAAACCATGCTACAAAATCTCCAGATAACTTCTGAGTCCCAATGCCCTAACCCAACTCCTGGGCTCAAATGCCACAGGTCTGCCTGCAGGTGCCTCTGAGATCACAAGCTGAGAAGATGATGTGCAGGCTGACTGCAGTAAAATAARTATGTAATTAATGCTTTAGGGTTTTGAAACATATTCTATGTGACTATATTTATCACCTAAAAATATATGAAAGCTATTTCAGTAACATCAAGTTTTTGTTTGTGAAGTGCCACAATTTTGTCAAAAAGTTCAACAACAGATAATTCCTTTTGATCTAAAAATGCTTTGGTAATGCTATTTTTAAGTGTTCTAATTAATGTGATTAAAAGTAGTTTGACTTTATAAATCATTACTGGTCCTAAATTCTGTAACACTAGACAAAGAATGAGATAAATACCTTTGTTACATAGTAGATACAACAAGCTATCATGTGCTGTATACTTTCAAAACTCGAAATATTTTTCTTCAAGTGGACAACATTCAGAACTCCTTGCAAAACCACTAAGCACTTTATCAAGATCTAAAAAACATAAGCACAATGATTTTTGTGTTAAAATATCATCCTTACCCATTAYACAATTTCATATTCAAATCATGAGTCTTAAGCCATAAAATTTTGTTACCAATAATTATTTACTATTTATTATGCATAAAAGAATGTGTATATATTCAATTTTCAGATGAGCCAATTACCTAAAATAACTTGAAAGATAGTGGAGAGTACAGAATAGGCATGCAAGTAACTATAAAACAAAGCATATTTTGACAAGTATTATAGAAGGTAAAGGCTGAGTGTCACGTGTATGTAAGAAACTAATGATCACATTCAGGCTTAGGAGRACCTTAAAAAACCATATAGAGGATTATGTGGTATATTAAATATTATACAGTGATTCCAGGAGCTTGAAATGCAGTTTTCTTGAGAATTAAAACCATTCATGCCCCCCCAAAATCAATTGATATTGATGTTTACTTCCTATTCTCCTTGTTTCATATTATACAATCTTGAATTTGATCAAGAGCTAGATGATTAAGTTTAGCTTTCAATAGTGCTACACACTTCTGAACAATGTTAGCATCAGAAAAGTAGAGCTGAGATGGCAGCCATCTATTCATCATTCAGATTATTCCAAAGGACAAATTAATACATGGGTACTAGTTCTTTTGAAGCATATTAATTGCTTTCAGCTACTATTCCAATGGCAAGTATTTTTAACTTTTTAAATTCCTACTCTCCATGATCACCCTCTGCCACCACACCACTCCATATCCCCAAATCATGCTAACACCCTTGTGGTTTCCCCCACAGCTTCTATAATTAGTATATAATAATAATAATAATAATAATAATAATAATAATATAATATACACTCACACATCATCATACACAGAAGGAAGGTTGTTATTATTTTACAAAATGGGATTTATGCACACTTTTCTGAACTCTGCATGACTCCTCCAACTCTGTCCTGTGAACAGTCACTCCAAGTCTCCAGAGACAATGCTTAGGCATTGCTGCTAATGTGCATCACTTCATTTATTCAGCCCTTTCCCAGAATCTCACATTGTACACTTTTACAGCTGATGTTTAATATCTGGCACTTGTCACTTGTCCTTGTACCTGACTTTTTTTTTTTGCCATGACCAAGAATACCCCAGCAAATACCCAGGTACCAACTCTAAGTAGCAACTTCATGAGCACCAGCTTTGAGGCAATGCCCACAGAGGATGAGGCACCACCCTCCAGGACACAGTGCATACTCAAATCAATGACCACTGTGTGCACTGTGTCCCCAGTAGGTAGATCATGTGGATCCAGGCACAAGGGGTGGAACAAGGCAGAGCAATTTGCCAACTAGGAATTTTATCCTAGGGGATAAAGAACATATGATAATATTGCTTTGTCAGATAAATATATTTTTTATTTTATTAAAATTTTATTCTATGAGATAAATTATTAGTAGAAGAATTAYAGTCAGGTATATTTGTTTTTAATTTTGTTTAAAATTGATTTAATTTAATTAAAATTAAAGTTGYTTTATCAAAAACCAAAAGCTTATAATAATTCACATTTCCCTCATCAATGAATGAGAATGCCTTTATCATATATTTTCACCAGTAGGAGTTACAGATCTTATTATATTGTTAATTTAATATGCACTACTAAGAATATTCACAGTTTGAGCTTCTTTTCATGTTTCCCAGCCACTTGGATTTGCTCTCTTAAGAACTGCCTATTCGTATCATATGCCCAATTTTTTATTAGGAAWTTGTCAGTTACCCTTAATCAGCTTTGGATATCTGTTTCCCAAATCTATAGGTTTTCTACAATCTTTTTATGGTCCCTTTTGTCACACATGTTTCTTGTTGTTTCTAGAAATTCAGTTAGAAAGGCCCTCTACCCCACAAACCCTAGACTGCACATGATCACCTCTTGGGATTTTTTCCCCTAAGTATTTTTGCTTTATTTTGCATAGAAGTCTTTAGTACATCTAGACTTTCTTAAAAATCTAATAAATTTATGCTTAAAAGCATAAATAGAAGTCAAACTCCATTTTCATTCAAATGAATATTTAGATGTTTCATTGCCATTTATTAAAACGTCCATTCTCTTCCCATTGAATAGGAATGCCAACTTAACCAGTAAACTTGCAAAAAGAACTTCCAGCTTTAGATAAAATCACAGGCCCAGCCAACACCTTAATTTCAGACTGATGAGATCAGAAACATACAGCCCAGCTAAACTGTAYTCATTCTCCCTGCCCACAGAAACAATGAGAGAGTATTCGGATGTCTYTTTAAGTCACTAGGTTGATGGTTATTTGCTCAGAAGCACATTCAACTAACATAATTCCCTCTGCTAGATCTCATCAATCCTTTGTCCTCCTCCATTACCACATATGCTTCTAAGGTTATTCACAATATTTTCCCTTTGATGATGGTTTTAATCACATGCTTTGGATGTATACTATTGTTTCTAAAATTAKAAGAACATGAAAATTGAATAAATAACTTTAAAAACTAAGAAAAGTTTATTGCCAATATTTAACTACAGATAGCAAAGCTGAATATTTTCAGAGAAACACATGTTATGTCCCTATTTATGTTTGCCCAGACATAATTTATTAGAATRTTTTTCAGTTAACTGCTGAAATTTTATAATACTTTTTCTTGACCTATTTGTACTTATAGGAGACACACGGCTTTTCTTTTCCAAAATGAGTTGCCTATATAAAATTATCCTTATATAGGATTGGGAGGATACCCTTACCTGTACAACAGGTACCAAAACAATATTGTGATATATTATAGGAGCAAGGAGGCCATAACACTGAGTCACAGCTTGAAGTACATAACTGGAATCATTCAAAAAGATGCTAAGTTCCAATGCCACTAATATTCTCTCACATTCAGTCAGTCTAGCAACCTGTAAAGAAAAGGGCTTTGTTACTCAAACTGAGCTTGAAGTGCTTAACTATTTTCTTAAAGAGGAAGGGTAAGAAATGTGATCCTTGTGGCTTATAACCAGTAACATGAAGAAAATCTAAATTCAGAAACAATTCTAATTCTCCAAGAACACTACATGTAAATAATACAATCTTAYCTCAAACTTCAGAATTTTTTTGTAAAACAATACAAGTACCACTAATAACAAAAAGGAACCAAACATTTTGTATTGGTGCGATAAAATCTTGGCTATATTTTAATATTAGAAAAAATCTAGCTTTCAAAACCATAAATTATAACAAATAATAATGAAAATATTACATCTCTATAACATTGTCCCAACTTGATAAACAAGATTTCAATTTCCCTTTTTGATTTGTGAGAAAATGGTAAATTTTTAGTAAAGCAAACTAATCTTCATTATACTTCTGCTACTTATGCTTTTACTACTTAAATTAAAATGATAGTAAACTATGCAATTAGCATTTTAAGATTATTGTAACTTAAAAAGAATAGGAATCCTTCCTTCTCCTTTCCTTTCCTGGGGAAAGATTTCATTATTTTCCTGCATATACATAATACATTATGTACAAAGGAAGCTGTATGATTGGTAGCCAAAAATTTCCATACAACTAGTTTTTGCTAGAATGGTAKTTTAGCATTCTGGAATTCACTGAAGCACTGTAAAATTCTCTTTATTTTCAGACTGGATATGATGAAAGAAGAAACAGAAAGCAATGTGTTAGGTACAAGTTAATGGTTGTGAGTAATTGGACTCTACAGGATAGTGAACTTGTCTTCAGCAAAAGGTCATGTTTTTTTTTTAACTCTCACATCACCAGAAACAAGCACACACTCATGGAACAATTTACTAGGTAACTAATTACAAGAGGAAATAGAGGTACAAAAAAAAACTGAAAAAATAAACAAACAACCCAGATGGCAAAAACATCTATAGTTAAGGTTGGTTTAAAGAAAAGGGAGGGCTGGGGTTGTGACTCAGTGGTAGAGCACTTGCCTAGCACATGTGAGGCWCTGGGTTTGATCCTCAGCACTGCATATAAATAAATGAATGAAATAAAAGTCTATCAACATCTAAAAAAAATAAAATAAATTTTAAAAAGGGCCAGAACAGAGACAACTTCAGACTAGAATTTTAAAAATTAATGTAGGATCATTAGTAAAAGTAAGAGCATTTCAGGGTTGCAGATGTATGTAGAGCAATGATCATAACACCCCTGAAAAATCTATCATAGGAGATAAGTTGAAATCCTGCCTCTGCAAAAGGAATGCAATATTATAATTAAAGAGAATATGGCATTGATTGATATATGACAGCATGAAACTATGTCCAAGTTTTATTATAAAAAGTATTTGAAAAGAAAGTTGCAGAACAGCAAGTTGATCAAATCCTATTTTTTGTAAATAATAGGTTTATCCATGCATATTTTTTAAAAATTCAAGAAACCACATGAAATGAAATCATAGTATTCTTACAAGTGGTAGAATTACACTGAGTTTCRCTTTACACATTATACAGTTTTGAATTCTGAAATACATACTACTTTTGTACACAGAGGAAAAGAAACATGATAAACTGAAAAGAAGAGAAAAAAAACATAAACTCGRGTCCATAAAAACTTATGTGGAAAAATCAGATTAAAGTGACACACCCATACAAGGGTGTCTCATTACATTCACAAGACAGGACACACAATCCCACACTTTTAGTCACTTTAACTCACTTACTTGCTGAGCAGGGAAAACCTCACTGCCTTTGATATTATCACAGAAAAGATTTTCTTCTTTAATTTTAATGTCACTTGTGACAAAGATATTTCTAAGAAAAAGGTATAAAAGGATTGAAGAAGTCTCTGCCAAAATATCTGAATATAATCTGCAGAAGAAATAAATGATGTTACAGGTAGAAATATAAAATGATCTATTTAGCACAAGAACTTGCCTTTTTWWTTTTTTTTATTGTTGGTTGTTCAAAACATTACATAGTTCTTGATATATCATATTTCACACTTTGATTCAAGTGGGTTATGAACTCCCATTTTTACCCCGTATACAGATTGCAGAATCACATCAGTTACACTTCCATTGATTTACATATTGACATACTCATGTCTGTTGTATTCTGCTGCCTTTCCTATCCTCTACTATCCCCCCGAACTTGCCTTTTTAGATTCATTTGTTCTCTATATCAACACAATGATCCCACCAGCAACAAACATGCATGGAGTAGCTATTCTTCTACAGCTGCTTAAATTAAAATTAAAAACTATCCTTAACAACAAGTTCACAACTAAGAGAATTAAGCTGTGGAAATATTACACCACAGCTACATAAAAATGACTATTAGCAAAGTTTTCTGATTTTTTTTTAATATACACAGTTATTTTCTATCAGTCTAACACAATTACTGTAGGTAAGGTTAGAAAACAGGGTCATTGATAGCAAACTCAGTTATGGTTAAAGACAGAGAATCTTAATAAGTCTGAGTTTATATCTAATTCTCTTTTCTAAATTACAGTCAACAGTGCCAACCACTGGTAAAGCAGTGAAATCTGCAGTTTTCCTTCTTTGTTTTCAGTATTCTTCTATCGACCTTAGGATTTGTTAGTAACAAAGCTCCTCTCTTAAGCTTTGGGTCCATCGACTCTCTATACTCCCATCCCCTCAAAATAGGAAGGGATCCAACATTAGTTAATTCATACATGAAGATGATCCCCACCATGTTGAACTCTAGAACTTGACTTTGCCTAGAGAACTTCAGTTCCCTTGTCCTTGCAACTTGAACTAAACCATCTCATCATCCTCATGATGAAATTCAGAAACTTATCAGTGCAATTGGTCCCACCTATCTCTTCCTGGCTCCATTTTCTTCTTTCTCCAGCTCAGACTATGTGCAGTCTTTTCAAGAGTGACCTTTCTAGCACCTTAAGTTCAGCTACCCCTTGATTTCACCCAATAATCAATTTGCCTGCTGTCACTCAAAGAGGTGTCACTGCCCACTTTTTCTATCCCTGCCACAAGTCAATTATTTATTCACATTTTTTTTTTGCTCATTCTTTCATTCTCTGAAAGCCTATGATATACAAGACACTGTTCTGGGCCTTGGGGTATAAAGATGAATCAAACAGKCCCTTAATCATTAAAGAGCTGGGCTTCACTACAAATTCATGGCACATTAGCACTTCTTAGCAACTCTTCCATTTATTCCAATTGTGTCTTTGTTCACATTCTACAGCCCCTGCTGCACATCCCAGGTGCTCTTCTATCCTGCAGGCTCTGCCACTACAGTGCCACTACAGTGCATTTATTTGTATCTTCATTTTCTCCCTTTTTATGGGCTCCCTACCCTCCACATTCCAAAATTATTCCCTTAAGTCTGTCTTTCCTCTCAAGCTTCTGCCTACTTCCCTCTTGTCTTCACCACCCAACTCCACATAAGYGGCCTTATCTTGTTGTGATTTTTCATTTTCATTTATTCCTTAGCCAATTAACAAATGGTCTCTGRCCCATCATGCTACAGATATGGCTCTCTTGACTCCACCAGTGGCCTCCTAATGGCCAACTCTAAATGCCTCTTGTTAGTCTTCATCCTAGTCAACCTCTCTGGACCATTTTTTTGAGCCTGACCTCGAATCAGCATCTGATATGACGGGCCAGTCCCTCTGGTGATGCTCTCATTTCCCTTGGCAACACATTTTCCTGAACTTTAATTCCCTGGGCAGCTCCCTTTCAATATTCTCCCTTGATTCCATCTCTTGTTTCTGCTCCTTAAATGTAAGCAGTACCCACAGTTGGAGCCTACCTTCTATCTTTTCTGCTAAACAGTCATTCGTGGGGAGATATTTTTCTCATTTTGAATGAGATCATTTCAATGATGATCTCCATGGACAATTTTCAAATCTCTACCTCTAGCCTTGACTACCTCTTGAGGTGTCAACACTAAACAAATACATCCACTGGCATCTCGTATTCACAAAGTGATCTTGCTGGAAAACCAAACTCAAAACATCCCCAAATTCATTATTTTCCTCTAAACATTTGTTCTACCTCTCACATCCCCTTAGTAAATGGCTTCCCAGTGCCTTGACACTAAAAATTTTGCTCCAGGAACCCAGTAACATAAAACCTAAGCCCTGTGTCTTTCTCCTCTAAAATACCTTCAAGGCCTTCCCCATGGTACCCAGCACCCTTGTTCATGTTAAATAAGACTATATTTGTGTAATTGAAATTAATTATATTTTTAATGTAAATAAGCATTATCGATTGTTTCAACCATCATTTGCATTTTTTATCTCATTGAAGTAAAAGATTTTTTCTTCTTATTAAAGAAATCTCAGGCATTAACAAAAAGATGAGAGAGAGTCTGGGTTTTAAATTTGCTGGTAAGACAACCTGAAATTATACTAATGCTTATTTTTGAGACTACTCTTAAATTTTATTCCTTTAAGGAAAAAAGACAATAAAGCCAAGTCAAAAGACAGCCTRCCATATTATATGGCTTCCACCAGACTATTTATATTTGATGATGTTCTAATCCTGGGAGCCTCTTCAAGCAAAGGAAAAGCCTTCAGATTACAATAGTCCACCCATCAGACCCTCACCTTCAGCCCAATCTGACCTTGACCTGTTATGAAAGTCTTCAGGGAGTATTTGTGTTTTCTGGCATAACTGATACTACTCCAATTAGCATTTGATATTTTTATTCCATAACCTTCATCCACGTGCTTTCATGTAATTTTTTTGTTTATGGTGTGTGTGTGTGTGTGTGTGTGTGTGTGTGAGAGAGAGAGAGAGAGAGAGAGAGAGGGAGATTCTAACGAGGAAGTTTCTAGCAAGGACTCAAGATCCTGGAATGTATGCCCTTATTATAATTCTGATTAGAAATATTTTACACGGACTATCTTAACAAGAAATTGAAAATAAATTAATTCAAAGCTTCAGTAAGCAAATTAATATCTTAAAATAATATTTTAATTACCTTCTCTGTGTAATAGTCATTACATTTCTCAAACAAATAGAGGAYTGTTCATCCTGGAGTGGTGAGGCAACAAAATAATCCCAAACTGGTGAGAAAACTTTCTTAGCCAACTCATAGTTATCAACCTGATAGGCAACCTACAACACAAAGCACATTGTCTCATGCAATATTTTTATTTAAGAAATGCATATTTTAGAAAAGAAKTCTCCTAAGTTCTTATTGCATGTTAATTTCATCTATAGTTATTCACATTTGCTGTTCTGTTCAGCAGTGCCATAGTGAGGGAACACTGGGCACTGGCAAGGGAGACAGACACATTTTGAAATCTCTTTTATTTCCAAATTGCATGGAAATTTGAAACTCTGTAAGGATGTTTTGAATCCTCATAAGCAAAACAAAGATCACTTCTGAGCCAAATTAATTTCATTTTCATCTATCTCGGCAGTGCACTCCATTTATTATAGATACTGTTATAATGAACAATCTGTTCCAAGAGAAACAATCAGATTTCCCGAACCCAATATATGAAATATACTTCATTCTTTTCTGCTTCTGACTGACACTTTCAGAGCTTTTGTGCACAAAGAATTCAACACTGAAAAGAGTAAAGAATAAAATAGAAATGCTTTCCAAGAAGTCGTGATACCTTTTAAGTTTAACAAATTTAACATTAGACAAAATAAATTATTTTATTGGTGAAGCCTAGAGGCTCAGAAGAAAAAAAGAYAATCATCAACTTACCTATTTCTTTTAGTATGATATATTTCTTTAAGGATATTTCTACAAAGTATTCTACTTAAATATATGTGTAAAAGTACAAAATCTTACCAAATGATTTATGTGCTGCTTCAATCCTTTATRGAAACAGGTAAGAGACAAAGTATAAATAAATTCATTGAAGTAAGCATCTAAATGACTCATTACTAGAATATGTTCCACTTAAGGACCAGAACTTTCCTAATCTGTCAAATGGTTACTCATATAATCAACCAGCCAATATCTTTTATGAAGTTTCTTTCTGAGCTAAGCACTGAATGAGTAGATTCCTCACAGCTCAGRAACGGTTTCATAGTCTATGAAACTGGAATCAGGTAAAAGACTTAAATCACATGAAATCATAGAAAGACTACAAAGGATATCGTAAGTGTTGTGGAGGCTTTAGAAAAGCAGAAGACTCCAAGGAGCAGGCAGAGATAAGATTTAGACTATCACAGCTTAGACAGAATCCGTGAGGAATCTGTATTGGAAATGACCACAGAGTATTTAAGAGAAACTGGAAGGATAGATCAGACTTTAAAGAAAAAATGGGCAATATGATGGACAAGTTAAAAACAGGACATGATTTCTACCAAAAAGCCCTGAAGCCAAGACAGAACATTCTCAAAAGTCAAATCTGGTCTAAGTGTATGTACTGTTTCATTGACTCCTCCTTACAGCTCTATGAATTGGACTCTATTACCATATCTATTTTGTAGATGAGGAAATTGGGAAACTGAGAAGTTGAATATTTGTACAAAGCCTGAATGTTGGTAAAAGTAGAGAAACCAAGTCTTAGAGGGGCAAATGAGTCACTTCTTGAGGTTGCATCTATCAGATAAGAGTTGGACTAAGTAGTCACTAACATACCATCTAATTATAGGATTTACCATGGAAAAGAATAGAAGATGGTATGTAGGAAGGTTGTTGAGTTAATAATTACCTCTCTTCCCTCAGTACCTCATAAACAAATAAATAAATAGAGGTTAAATTTTAAAATAATAATAATAACAATATCTGTTCAATTAATGAACATTGCCAAACCAGAAAAGATGCCATGGTAAAAACTAAGGTTTATAAATTCTGGATGCTTTGTGGGGTTTTAATAGAGTTTCATGATACAAGTATGTTCATGGATGGTTAACCTGGTAGTGAGGTGCAGAATAAATCTGGAGAGGGGGTGTGAAATTAAATGGAGCAAGCACTACTAAAGAGTAATACAATAATTAAGTTTGTAGCTACCTCCTCTTGACACTCTTGACACATAACTTTCAGCTGGCTTCCAGAACTCCACAYTCCTAGTTTTCCTTTCATTTCAAAGGCCACAATCCTTTTCAGTTGCTTTGTCTAGTTCCTCCTCTTTTCCCCACCCTCCTTGTGTTGATACCTCCCAGGGCTCATTCAGTCTTTGCACTTCTCTTCTCTTTTCCTCTTCTGACTCATTCCTTAGTGATGTCATCTAGTCTTTTTAATTCTCACATAACTATCCTCAAATCCTTCTCCTGCTCAGATCTCTCTCCTAAACTCCAGATTCATACAATTTATCCTCAGCATGCCCCAAACTAAACTTCTGATCCCCCACTGCCCAAAATCTATACCATTCACAACTTTCTCCAACTCTGTTGATATCAACTCTATCCCTCCCATTAGTCAGCTATTATCTTAGAGTCATCTTTTATTTTTCTCTTTATATTTTTTTCCATCAGGAACTCTGGTTAACCCCTTTTCCAAAACATACTTAGGATCTGACCACTTCTCACCCATCGACTACTGTCACACTGGCCAAGCCACCTACATCTCTCATTGAATTACAGCAAGAGATAGTGTTTCCCCTTCACCCTTTATGGTCTATTCCCAATTCAGCAGCTATGGTGAACCTTTAAGAAGTCATATTATGCCACATCACTACTCAAAACCATCCAATGACTGCCTATTTCAGTAAAAGTAAAAGCCAAGGTCCTCATAATGTTGCCCACACACCTCTGATCTTTCCGACCAATCTCCAGCCATTTTGGCCTCCTTGCTTTATGAGACACAACAGTACACTTCTGAAAATCTAGGGACTTTTGCTCCATTCCTTTTGTAGAACCACTGCTTCCAAGTCTCTGCTCAAGTCTCAACATCCTTGATCATCCTATTTAATATTTCAACCTACCTTCCATTCTTCCACTTCACATTTCCAAATCCCCCTACCATACTCTACTTATTTTTTCCCAAAGTATTTATCATCTTCTGACATACTAGATAATCTTCTTACTGACTGTGTTAGTTATTTACTACCTAGCTCTTACCATTACATTTTTCTCACCTTGCTGAGAACAGCAGTACTCAAATATGATCCCTGGACCATCAGCATATCACCTAGATCTTGTTAGAAATGCAAAATCCTCAGGCCCCAAYCCAAACCTAGTAAATCATGAACTCTGATGGGGGAACCCAGAAACCTGTTTAAACAGCATTCCAGATCATTTGGTTGAACAGTCAAGTTTTGGAATCACGAACCTGTAATCAAGTTTGGAGAGTAAGCACTCAACAAATATTGTGTCAATTTTTAAAGTCCTTTCCTGATAGTTTCTATCTCCCCATAAAGGGGGACATTCAGCAACTTCACTATACTGTAACATGGTTTACTGGCTCAGAGTGAGTGCCTGACTCAAGCTGAGCATCTCATAGGCCCCTGCAAGGCCAAATGGACCTGCAAGCAAAGTTTGGTTCTGATACCAAGGCCAATATATTCTAACAGCCAGGTGAATTTGAGAGAAAGTTTACCACTTACACAGGGACTCTTGGGAAGAGGTGAGTAGGCATTAGCAGGTATGGACTGGCTTGGGCAGAGCAAAGAGAGTGGTTGGGCCTTTAGAGGGGCTAGGAGTAGGACTTGGGAAGACCATGCTGGCTGGCAGTTTAAACTTCCCTGGCACTGGAGGAGAAGGTGAGAGATCATAGGCTCCCTTATCAAACTATCCAGATGGAGTACTAAGGGAAAAGAGAGGGATAAGGTTAAAAATAAGCCAGTGGGTAAATATCAGAAATGAGGTTAGACACTTCATTACATGGAAGGACCAATTAGACTATTTCCCAGGAATGTGGAATTAAGATTACAGGAGCCAGCTAGTTGATCTCTAAAGCTGAAATGGAAGGAAATACAAAAATTCAGGAACCGCCATTTTTCCTCCAAAGATAAAGTATTAAAGAGAGCCAATTTCCAGAAAAGAGTAAAAAGAATGCAGATATACAGAGAGAACCAAAAGTAAAAGACCTAGAGCTGGCTGGACCACAGAGCCTTCCCACTACCTCGATGCATAACCCTAGGTAAGACTGGTCCCTTACCTACAATCAGGATCTTAGCTGAAATCATAAGTCACAATTATCTAAACAAGGGTTACTGATGTGGCAAGGAGATGGGTAAAAACCACATTTCATAGAAAGGAGAGATGACATCTAGCATAGTACCTGGCATAAAATAGACACTGAATAATTAACCAACAAACAGATGAGCAGAGAGAATGATAATACTTAGAGAATAAGAGACAAAAGAACTGAAATTTATTAARTAGGAGATGATTATCTTTTTACCCATTATTCTACTATTTTCAAGTTTAAAGTTATCGTCCAAAGGCAGACCTTTGTTAATCAAAGAGTTCTAATAAATTCATCTATAAAGTGGGCAAAATGTATGAACTCCATTTCCCTTGTTCCTGTCACTACCATGACTGCTGACAAAGCCTTCATGTCACATCATCAAACTCTCACCAGTACTGATCAGGAAGACCTGCTAACCAGCACCAGCCCAGGTAGCACAGAATAAAAGAAAAACCATAGSGAAAGAGGTACAGAGAGTAGTGGTGAGGGGAAGGAGCCAAACAGTAGACAGGGAGCAGAAAGAGGGTCACTTAAAAATCGASGGCAAAGATGAAGGCTCTGAAAGAACTGGCACATGTTAGATGTCCGATATTTGACTTCCTAAAACCTGAACAGAGTCGTAGAAAAACATGAGCTGGTTCAAGTGTCAGGCTGACCATCTGCTGCCTGAGCAACTTTGGGAAAGCACCTTACCCTCCCTGAAATATCCTTTCTAGAACACAGTGGGATCAGCAAAGAAAAAGGATTAAATTTATCTCAGTTTCCTCAACTATAAAGTGAAAGCAATCACATCACTTCACAGACTTACTGTAATGAATGAAATAATAAATTTTTAAGTTTTATTTTTTTCTAATTAACAAGTGTATATATTTATAGGATAGAATATGATGCTTTGTTTAACAAACATATACATGGTAGAATGATCAAATGTCTATCACCTCAAATATTTATCATTTCTTCRTGGTGAGGACATTAAAATTTTCTCTTTTAGCTCTTCTGAAGTACACAGTATCTTATTATTAGCCTTAGTCACTGTATTGTGCAAGAGCATTAAAACTTACTCCTATTTGAGAAAAATAAGAAATGTTTTATAAAGGGGGAGTGAGGATCCCATGAACATAGAAGGGAGAATAGTAGAGGGAGGGGGAATGGAAAAGGGGAGGAACAGAATGAAATGACCAAATGATGCTGTGCACAGATATGACTATATCACAATGAATTCAACTTTTAGGTATAGCACCAATTAAAGAATAAATTAATGGAAAGAAGACTAACAAAGTAAAAGAAATGGACTAGGAAAAGGAGCGGGAAGAGGGAAGATAGGTAGTGCTAGGGATTGAAATGCAGCAAATTATATTACATGAATTTATGAATAAGTCAAAATGAACCCCACAATTATKTATAACTATAATGCACTAATAAAAGCATTAAAAATAATAAAAATTAAGATCACTAGTGGGGGAGGACTTACTTCTAACTGTARCTATACTATACTCATTGACCCTGTCTCCCCTTTCTCTGACTACTCCAAACGCTTGGCTCTGATAACTACTTCCATTCTACTCTCTCCTTCTATGAGCTCAATGMTTTTATATTTCATATATAAGTGAGATCATATATTTTTTTATCCTCTTATGACTARCTTATGGTTTGTTTCACTYACAGTCCTCTAGGTCCATCCACAGAATTTCCTGGTTTTTAAGCCTGAACAGTTTTTCACTGTCTGTGTATCATCAGAGAAATGCAAATTAAAACCACAATGAGATTTCACCTCACACCTGTTAGACTGACTATTATCAAAAAGATGAAAGATATCGAGTGTTGGCAAGGACGTGGAAAAAAAGGAAACCTTTATAACACTGTTTGTGGTATTGTAAATTAGTAGAGTCRTTTGGAAAACACTATGGAAGGTCCTCAGAAAACTAAAATTAAATAAACAGTCCTAATACTGAACACAGAAGGGAGAATAATACTAATACTGAACAGATACCCAAAGRAACTAAAATCAGCATGCCAAAAAGATGTCTGCATTCTCATGTTCACAATGGCCAAGATATGGAATCCACCTAAGTGTYCATCAACAACAAATGGAATAATGAATTTTAAAATGCCATTTCCTTATCTCAAAAAGCCATTGTTTCCCCTCACTATTTGATTTATAGTTCAATAGTTTATCCATTTTACAAACAGGAAAAACAGGATGAAATAATTTGCCTAAAATMATAATCTCTAAAGTCAAGACTAGAATACTTTCCACAGATTTCTAGTTTTCAATATAAAATATAATATTTTCACATCATCTAGCCATTCTCTACTTAAAGAAGAAAAATAAAAAGAAATGATGCCAAAAAGAGAAGAGAAATATTCACACAAAGAACCTAATTCAAAAAATTTCCTAAAAAAATTTCAGGTAGACTAAATTACTAGCTTCTGTGTTAATGGAAAACCTGTCATAGATAAACCTTGACTTTATTAATGTTTATAGGATAATGTCGAATAAAAGTACAAACTAAAATTTCAAAAGTTAAATTAATCATAGGCATCTAGTAAAATTTCTCTGCATTTTACTTCAAAATATTTATGATAATATGTTTTAAAGAAGAGAACTGTCCTGAAACTAAAAACTAACCACTTTGATGAAAATTAGATTGCCCTTCTAACAGAAAGGCATGTGAAGCTAGAGTTTAAAAGCTTAAACTTAAGTTATAAATTAAGGWGGTTTAATAAGTGAGAAAGTTTTGCTTCAGCCACTTAACATTATGAGAGAGGATGCCCATAAACTGTCGTGAATGAACTATAGAACTGCAAATAYAGTATCAATAAAGAAACACAGGTCATTACTTCATGACACTTCTCATTATCCCAGCAGTATAGCTTGGACTTTTATTAACTTTCAATGAGAGTTCTGCCAAACGGAGCCCAAGAGTCAAAACCACTCCCTGGAGAAAAATTAGGCCTTGATGAAATATTCAGTTCCTCACAATAACTCCATCACTGCAAATTAGGGGACATATTAAATTCCAAAGAAATCAAAATACCAGAAAACCATGAGCCAATATGACATGCTAAACCAATGGTAGACRATTCCTAGCAATTTCCTCAATTTAATTTTCTGTGAAAAATATGATAATATAAAATGCCAGTGAGATCTAAGCTTATCGCACTAATCAACTATTAGGAGGAAAAATGTCACCATAGAATATGATAAMATTTTAGAATAGCCATCAGCTCTACAGCCAACAATAGGCTTAAAATTAGAGGCTTGAGACCTAGGTCAATGAGTCACTCTAGTGTGCTTTTCACTGGTGACATGTTTTAAGTCAGCTTTGCATTGCAGTGACCAAAATACCTGACAAGAACAACTTAGAAGAGGAAAAGTTTATTTTGGGCTCACAGTGTCAGAGGTTCAATGCATGGTCTTCTGACTCCATTGCTCTAGGCCTAAGGTGAAGCAGAGCATCCTGGTGGAAGAGTGTCACAGAGGAAAGCTGCTCAGATCATGACAAAAAAAAAAAAAAAAGCAGAAAGAGGGAGAGAAAGCAAGAGAGGATCCAGGGACAACATATAGTACCCAATGGCATGCCCCTAGTGACCTACTTCCTCCAGCCTCCCCCACCTGCCTGTAGTTACCACCCTGAAGCCCACTYAAATTATTAATCCATCAAATGTATTAATCTACTAATGAGGTTMCAGCTCTCATAATCTCATTATTTCACCTCTGAACATTYCTGCATTGCCTAACAAATGAGCTTYTGGGGGGACAACTTACATCCAAACCACAATATCAGACAACAGTTACTTCAGCAAAAACATTAATTTATAAGTATATCCATAACTAAAAACAAGAATGGAATTTATTCAGTGTTTACTGTATGATAAATTCTATAGTTAAAYATATAAGATACATATAATATGCATTTATTATTGATACATTATGATATTTTAAAGTGATATTCATTTATATATGATATTCATTTAATACTTATAATGCCTCTGAGAGGTACTATGATTATTCCCACTTCACTTGCTTAGTATCACATGGTTATTGTGAGGAGCTGTTATTGGAATTCAGGTCTGTCTGCCTTTATTGATTTAGAAAATTCTCTTTTATGAATTTGTCCTAAGAAAGTAATCATGGATGCAAGTAAAGGTTAATATTCAATGATATGTATCAAAACTTTTTAATAATAGTAAAAACCTGAAAATATCTAAATGTTCAGCCACAATTACTAAATAAACTATGAGACATCTATAAGATTCAATACCATGGAGTTATTTAAAAATATTCTTGAAGAATATTCTCAAGGAATGAAAAAGTGTCAATTATATATGAAATGAAAATATCAGGTTGTAAAATAACATGCATCCTATGATTTAAATTGCATATTATACATAAATTCATATACTTGTGCATATACATGTGCACTTATATATTTATAATAAGTATAAACGTAGATATAGATAGATGTAGATAATAGATAGATGGACAGGTAAATTGACACCTCAAAATGAAAGGATGTCTCTGGATCAGGGTTTCTCAACCCTGGCATTACTGACATTTTGTGCTGGATAATGTATGCTAYGGAAGGCTGTCTCCTGCATTGTAGGCTGCTGAGCATCCCCAGCCTCTAGATGCCAGTAGCATCCCACTAGGTTGTGGCAACCCAAAATGTCTCCAGACATTGACAAAATTGCCCCAGAGTCAGAGCTGTYACTCTGGATAATAACAGATAATATATATTTTCCTATACATTCATCTCAGTATTTTCCAACATTTCTAAAATTATTATGTATTACATTTGCAAGCCAGGGGGAAAATGTTATTGTAAAGAAGTAAACTCACTAATAGGAAAAAGAATGATTCATATTTTATATGACTAACCTGCAATCATGGAAAATATGAATTAGAGGAGCTTTAGAATATCTGCTGTGATTTTTCTTCCATCATAAATTACTTAGTAAATACTTAACAGAGAAACCATAGTGGGAAAAAAAAAAAAAACTTAGCAGAAATCTCTTCTACCTGTGTCAGGTACATCCGAGCAGTAACAGCAGAAAGAGGTGGATAAACCAAAATTGGTTTAGTTGTCTCCCCAATAGCATCCCCAACAAGCTTCCCATTAGAAGAATAAGCAGCAACCGCAAATATATATTTTTCATTAGTTTCCAAACCTTTCACTTCAAAAATGCTTTTACCATCAGCTGGAATCTATTAACAAAAACATATTTCAAGTTATACATGGAAAATCAAAATACTGTGACTTTTAAAATGTAATTAGGTCAAACTTATAAATTAAAAAAAAACATTTTTTCACTGTTGGATTTTAGTTATGATCTGAGTTGAAATTAGAATAAATTCATTGAAATAATGACTTCACATGGGGAAAAAAACTATTGTCATTAGTGAGACTTTGGTAAGATTTCTTGACATTTAATACAACATACCGCTTCTCCTGAATTTGGGAGATGGTTGTTATTGRGCCTCACTTTCCCATAGCTTCCTTGTGCTTTACAACCCAAAATGCAGTACCAGGCCACCTGCCAAGGAGAGAGATAAGCCCATCACTTGCAGTCTGTTTAAAAGACATTTAACTTCTTTTATCTCAATGTAAGCAAAAGGAATACTTTTATAAATAAAAATGTAACTATTCAAATTTTAAAATATGACATAGYCTTATGAATATTCTTRGGTTCAATCTTATGAAAGTAAAGACAAATTTAGGGCTAGCTTAGCTGGGATAATAAAGACTAAAATATTATAATAATAATWATTATTATTAATGACATTRTTTTAACTAMCATTAATTACACAGTTCCTAWGTGCTAAGCATCACTAGGAAATTGACACATACTTTCTAATATTCATAGCATCCCTATGAGATGGCATGACTATTGYCATAAAAATGGGAATGTGTTAAATAATTTTGTCCTAGATCAGATAGTAGCAGAAGGTGACCCCAAAGATAACTTAATCTTGATGGACCTGAGTTATGAACTAATGAAAAAAAATATCAACACTGAAATGATTTGCATATTTTATATAACAACATATGACAAAAAAGCAAGTTAAAAAAATAATCAAGTTACCCAATTAGAGTATTCAAAATAAAATGTAAAWATATATATATGAAAAAATCTGGAAGAAAATGCTGCTAAATAAAGATAGTGGTGGAGTTTGAGTAACTTTTTTCATGACCTTACTTTGATAATTTTTAAATACAGTGCTAAACCAAACACAAAGTACAAATCACAGACACAACCAAATTTAAACTTGATTAAATAGTTAGACTATGGCCCTTCTGCCAAGATGCTGAGATAATCGGAGTACATTATTGGAATGAACTATGTTCTCACTGCAGAGAAAAAGGGAACAAGTTGACACCTGAAAGAGTGATATTATGAATAAGACATACTGTTGCGGGTCATTTGGGTACTACTGTAGCCTTCCCTTTTTCCCAGAAGTAATTTCTAAACTGCAGGGAAGCTGGAAAGAAGGGAAAATATAATTGTCTCTAAAAAATAAAAAATAAATACCTTTGACACCCTATGTCTGCTTCTCCTTCCTCCAAGTCAAAAGAAAAATCCTAAGAAGGGAGTTGGGGGTAGGGGGAACAGGGAGTCTAATCTATACAGTGGGTCCCAATTCTGTGTACCAGAATTACTTCTTTAAAAAAAAAAAAAAAAAAACCAGTTTGTACAGAATCAACTGTTTTTTAAATTGCAGATATCCAAGTCTGCCTGGCTTCAGTGAATTAGAATTTCCGTTACAATTGTCTGACCCCTTGTGCTTTAAAGGAAATTTCTCAGGTGATGATATATACAACTAATTAAAGAGCACTATTCAAAGGCAGGAGAACTGTAAGAAAGAAAGTACACTGAAGGAACCCGGAAGATGGAGGTCAGGAGAAAAAAAGGCAGATGAATCTCACCAGAAAATTGGAATAGACTTCCCTTGATTTCCCATGCAAAAGACCACCACTTTTAATAGGGTTTTTAAAAAAAAAAAAAAAGAAGAAAGAAAGACTCTGTTATATGACTTAAACAGTTATTGTTCTAAGTTATACCATGTAAAACAGAATCTGCAGGATAAAACTCTCTCTAAAAGCATTTTTACAAGCAGATTTTATGTTTTTATTTTGTTCCACTGATGGAAACACCTTAGTTTGTGTAACTCTAAGAAGAATGTATAATTAGAATCTACATCAGAATAGAGACATCATGAACCAATCACTAACTTTGGAAGGAAGATTTCATAAATAATATAAATAGCATTAGCATTTTTAACTATAAAAACAGATTTTRATGAAATGAATGTCTGAACATGAGGTTTAGATAAGACAAAAGATGGCTGAATCTGCACACCAGCAGACTTATCCAGGCCCACGGCACCACCTAGTGCTGATGAGCAGGCAATTGTAGGTGATCTTGCGAGGAACAGCTCTCCTGATCTGTCCTTTACATCAACTTCACATAAAGGGTCAACTGACAAATACAGGCACTGCAGGCTAAATATGGGACTCTTGTATCTTCCTACTTCCAAGCATTGTAAAACAAACTAGCCGCTAGTTTAAAATATGCAACAAATAAGATTTKGGTTACATAAGCCAAGATACTTGAAAACAAAAGTAAACCATCCATTCTTCATTCTGTACTTATTTTCCCAAATCAGTGAAGTTCTACTCTTCCACAGATTATCAAAAATATCCAAGTTGAACTTTAAAACTGCTAGCAATAAAAGTAATGCATTTAAAAAAACAAAAAAAAAACAAACAAAAAAAAAGTAATGCATTTATTATGGCACAATTAGATATAAAATGAATGTTACTTTTAGACCCACAATCAAATATCACTATGAGTGCTACTTTTAGTTCTACAATCCCAAAACACTATTATTTTTAATTTACCACTAGTACCTCAAAGAATGAAACAGCACTTCATCCATGTTTAACTTTATACTTCAATTACCTCACACAGAATTTGACAGATTTTAGACAAATCTAAACAGAATGTCATGAAGATTATCACAAACTAATGTCATCAATCACAACTCCACTAATTGCTTTGRTAAACTTTATTATATATGTTCAACAAAAGTAGTGGAGAGACATCAGTTGATATGACAAAACCATTTTATATTATCTCATTTTATTTTCACAGAAAACACTTTGCAAAGGAAAAATATTTTCAGAAAATGTATTTCACCTCCCTAAAGTCATATTGATAGTAAGAAGGGAAGCCAGAATTTTCAACCTAAATCTATTTAACTTCAAAGTTTTGCATACAAAACATGCTAACAAGAATCAGAGGTAAAGCTCTATTTTTGCATACATCATCAAAGAACATGTTGTTGATCATCCAAAAGAAAAAAATGCAAAATTTTAAATATAAATTAAGTGGAACCAAATTCTTGTTAGAATTTCAAGTTTTAGTCACATTTAGGCCAAGTTCCAAGACACCAGGGATGGGAGAGAAGACTCATCCTAGAAAATACATGAAGATTTATGATTTATGACATGGCTGAAATTGTTACTTGTTTACATTAAATGAATCCACATTTACTTGGAAGAACTTTGGGCAGATTCACCATCTCAAAATTTCTACACTCTGCTGCCTCATCTCCACTGCTGACTGTGAAAATAACTTCTACTTCTACTCTCTTCAAATGTCTGATTCTACTTAAGAAAAGGACTTCATCTTGAGCATATAACCGTATCATGGTGACAAAGATACCTAGAGAGAATTGCTTCTTTATTGTTTCTCTTTACCATATATTTGGAGACAGCATGGGTATATAGAACACATGAACCTTAGAAGCATATATATCTTAATCATTGGATGATTTTTGCATAATTAGAAAATGACTACTAAGTTAGGCTAAGCATGATCACCAATACCATCAATAGAATAAAAGGGAAATGTCATTAAAAATATTCTATGTAAGACATACTAATCCAGAGTTCAGTGCCTATAAATAAGACAAATTGGGTCCTAAAAACAATAATAGTATGAATCATTATAATCATAAAAGTATTTATGTTGCTTTTCATGAGGCAGAGATCATAATGGGCACCATACCTTAACATCAGAAATAAATGGAGTAGGTTTCAGTGTCACAGAACAATGTGTTCGGGATAACAGAAGAGGGGGAGGAGGGATCCTGGTCTTCTTTCTTTTTAAGCCTTCCAAACATTTCTGATATGAATATAGGGCATTTTGTTCTGCTTCAACTTTCTCAATTAAAGAATATGCTTCCTATAATGAAGTGTGGAAACAGGAAAACACATTTCAAGAGATTGAACCTCCTTTATATTTGCAGAAGACTGGTTGCATTAAACAACATTATCTTTCTATATGCAATCATTTTATATACATATACATATAATTATGCAGAATTAGAAAATGGTTACTAAATAATGCTAAACATGACCACCATATGTCTAAATGTATTATCATAAGTTAATATGAGGCATTTATTTTTAAATCAAACCCTGAATATCACAATCATATTTCCCCAAAGCATATTTATACATCTAAATGTATTATCATAAGTTAATATGAGGCATTTTATTTTAAAATCAAACTCTGAATATCACAATCATATTTCATTATGCTTAAGAAGTTCATAACACAATCATATACATTTATACTGACTAATGCACTTTGAGGTATGACTCTTAGGTAATGAAACTATTGAAACATGAAGTTTGTGATGTGAACATTAAGAGTTTCCTAGATACCAGAAAAATGAAGAAAAAATAGACAAAAATACTTATTCTGTAAACCTGAAAGAAAAGCAATCACTTTTTTCAAAGGTTATACACAGATAACATATAAAACAAAAGAGAACATAAAAATAAGATCTAAATAATACTTCAAAGGTAAGGTTAAAAAGATTCATCAGTGATATTTAAATTTCCTAATAATACTTAGTACATCAGAACTCCTAAGCTAATAGTTAAAATAATTTATAATGAATAATATTTTAGTCTTGATAGTCCCAGGTAAACTTGCTCTACTAGTTTTTACTTTTCTAAGATATTTAAACATTTTTAACAATAATTACTGATTTTTTATAAACATGATAAACTAGGAARGTATTCTCTCTAGAATCATTAAAATATTAATTTAGTTAATGTCAAAATATCATAAAAGTCCAAATAAAGCACTCTTGGTGCAAATAGTGAAACACTAAAAGAATTATCAATAAAATTAAGAAGGACACTATTCCCATTTTATTCTAGAAGTTCTATCCAATTTAACAAAACACAAAAGAAGAGACCCTAGAAATGAGAAGGCAGTATGTCTGTCTATCAAATTCGAAGTATATTTCACTCTGATACAAAAACCTGTGCTGTTTCCTCTACAGCAGACATGTTGAGTTAAAATTTTCCAATTGGAAATCTTAACCTCAAACTCAAAAGAATGGATGAGACTAGAGATAGGATTTGGGTGTGCTTCAAGCAAAGGAAAACAAAAGATATTCTATTTTGAGCATTTTGTTAATATGTCTTCAATTGCATCACAGGCTATAAAGATCAGGTAGCATAACAGGTAAAATCAGATTAAGGAAAAATTATGCAACTACAGGGAAGGAGATCAATACCTTGAAAATCTGGAGACACGTCCTTTCTCTGGATTATGTTTGGAGCCTAGAAAATAAACCAGCATTGCTGGCCCACATGCCCTGATGTTATCTCACCCTGCTTTCAACCCCATCTCAATTTACTGGTTACCTGCCCTGGGGTACCCACATATTATCCCAAAATTGTGTTAGGGAGCTCCTGCTCCAGTGAGCCAGCTATACATGATCATCTTCCAACTTGACTCTAGCATCTTCTTTCTATGCYTATGAGCCCCAAAAGGATCAAAACCTGCTTATGTTCTCTGTCATGGGCTGTCACACAGACATTTCTCAGACTGGCTATTGATCAGTATCATCACTAGAATTAAAAATTTTAAGATGGTTTATTTCTAACTCAAAATTAAAATCTCCAGGGTAGGGCTTGAGCATTTGTCTGATTAAYGGATGCCAAGGATACGTCTAATCAACCCCTGCTCTTCTTGCCCTTCAGTGACTCCTCCARTACTTGATGCATAAATTACAAACCTTTCTATTGGCCTTTCATTCCAATCATGRTCATATTTATTTTCTAGCCTTATCTCCTTTTCTTTGTTTCCTTCCCTCTCTCCTACCTCCCTCTCTATCAAACCTAACCTCTGAAGCCACAAAAGAAAAAACTTCACTCATCCACTGAGAACACTACATTTTTTCATGCTTCTGAGAAATTCCGTCTTCCTAGAGGTTCTTACAACTTCTTCTCTGCTTCAAGACCCACTTGAACATCATCTGACACTTCTAAGACAGCACCATGTACTTAGGTATTCCAAGTTCTTCGCTCTTTATTTTAGCAGATATTTACAATATGTAACTTGTATGTATGACTGTCCACAGCCTCTAAACAATAAGTGTCTTATTGGAAGAGGCACTGCTTTATTTACCTCTTTGGGTTCAATCAATGTGTTCTGAATGAAAAACATACTAAATTATAACAGAAGAGGAGATAGAAGAGATTATCTTTTTATGATGTATTTAAACTAGCATGATTAAAATGTTCTCAYTGAGTCTTGATCCATTTTAACTTAAGACCTCCTACTCAGATTCCATGACCTGATTTGAAACAGGTTAKCAAAAAAGCATTAAATTTTTAATAAAAGGTCATGAAATAAAAGTTGAAAACACGGCCCTTGGTTTTGGTAAATTAGATAAATTCTATACTAGAACTCAAGACCAACCCTAATGCCAAGTAAAAATTAGAATTCAAAATTAGAGTCAAAAACTGACCTGTTAATTAGATTTCATTAGTAAGAAAATGATTGCGGATTTCTTAAGGGGATTCTCCAATTAGAAACAAGTAAGTAGCATGGGGAAGTGGGAATCAAGAAAAAAAATTCCCTTGTAACCAGCTACCCTCAATTTTGAGACAGTGTCATCAATAAGGATATGAACGTTGTTTGCAACAACTAATGTATTATAATGGCAAAATCTAGATAACCATTCCCTCTTCAGAGACTAAGAAGTAGATTTCCATGGCATCACACAATGGAAAAGAACTCAAACCTCACTTTCCCTTGTCTAGCACAAATTGGGAAATTACAAGGGCTCACTAACTTGAAAGAAGAAATAATCCTTTTTTGTATCCAGAGAAAGGTTCATCCAAGGAACTTCAGTAGGAAGGGACTTCTACAACTCACAAGGGGAATAAGTTCTGAGTTGTTCTTTCAATGATGATATGTGCTGCAGTGTGCCCTGCAAAAACAATCAGGTCCAAAGCATCTTTATCTGGATGTAAATTTCTCTGCCTACAGCTTCCATTAAAGAAAACAAGATCTGCCTCTCTTCACAAGCTACCCAGTGCTGACGAAGACAGGTTGACATTAAATACATTTGACACAAGCTTGACACCCACAGTGCAGCCAAACACTAATGGAAAGATGTAATGCAATCTTGAGGGCATGATTAAGACATATGTAAACAGCTATCACAGGACTGGAATGATAAAGTGCCCCATTTACTCCTATTGAGCAGACCTCCCTGAGGTATAGTGTGGTTTCTCAACATGATGATGTACATGGCAGAAGAAGAAGAAAAGTAGATTAAGTCATGTCCAAGAACCCTGGGAAGGAATATMGCTGAGATTAAAATAGGCAATTTATAAGATAAACCTAAGAGAAAACAAAGAAAKAAAAGTGTAGTCTCATAAAGAGAAATATCTAAAGCAACACATAATAGTTCAAAAAGAATGTTTCAGAGTGCTGAAAGTGAAAGTAGTAATAATAATAAAGGCTAACTTATTGACTGCTGACTCTGTACCAAAAGCTAAGCATTTTAAATGTAACATTTCATTGAATCTTCCCAAGAACCCCCACTTTACAGATAAAGGAATTAAATCAGAGCATCAATAATTTGACTTAGGTCACACAGCTAATCAGCAGCTGAAGCAGAACTCTRTTCCAAGACTTTATACTCCTGTCTTGTCTCAAAACAAAGCTAAGTTTAAAAAAAATATGGAAAGGCAACCTAGATGAAGTTTCCCAYGCAGGACCTTTAAAACACTTGAAAGAAAAACAAAAATACATAGCATGCTAAATAATGTGTAACTATGCTAACACATAAATATGCTAAAATATTCTGTCTGTAGTTGAAACCTGGGGGTCAAAACATGACCTCATAGGAGGAGAGGAGCCAGAATGAGAAAGACTTGGCTCTTTTATAAGGAAGATTTCAGCATGGTACAATTAAGAGGTGAGAAGATGTCTGAAATCATATATATATATATTCTCCTCCTTCCCCCCCCCAAAAAAAATAGAATTGACTTAAATGCTACAAAATCGAAAARAAATAACTAAATCCATTTGCTGCTAGCATAGTCAATAGAGTGATATTTAGGGGACACCAACATGTAAATTTGAAAAATATTAAGTCCGGGAGTTATGGGCTTCATCATTAGTTCAGGTTCCAAAATGGGACTACATAATTATATTGTGTAATTTGTATCAATTACAAAAATAATAATAATCATCTGMAAAACATAATAGTCCTTTGCTTAGAGTTGAGATGCTATTACTGGAATCTGGAAGTGTTAAACTCATCRCAACTGCAGATTCATTTACATTCCAACAAATAGCTTTAGGAGAAAGCTAGATGCAACAATTGGGGGTTTTTGCAGCAGAAACAACWGGAGAATCGGGTCTGGACCAAAGCATTCCTGACAGGTAGAGGACCTACTGAACGTAGTCACTATGTGATCAGGACACACATATTGGGAAGAATGACTTGACAAAGTTTCATTCCCTAAACAAGACAAACAAACTTCTTTTCCTCGGTAATCATTTTCTACTGAGGTGTGCAAACTAAAGTTTTAGTCTTTTCATCCCAGTACTGAAGATCTGGACTCCTAGGACATGTCAATCATGTCAATCTGGCCCTACTGGCATCACTGGTCTTCCTCTTGAGGACTAGGGTTCCTCATTACAGAAAGTCCTCAAGGTAATGTTTGGATGCAGTACAGAAAACTAGAGAATGGAATGCTGCCCTGGAAACCTTAGCCCTTAGATTGAGGGACATTCCTGTCTCTTTCCATTGAGAAATTTCTTCTGTAAAGGTGCTAGAAGTCCGGCTGGTGGACTCTGGTGGACTGGGTGCAACAACAGAAGCCACAGGATGAAGCAGATAAAATGGACTTCCATAAGTCAAACAATGAAGACAGAAATATAGGAAAMAATAAATCTCCAAATCAAGAAAAAAAGCCAGTCATCTCATTTGGAAGGTTAATAAGTTATTACCAAAGGTTTGTCCCTCATTCATGGTAAAAAGTTGGTCCACTTTTAATTGATTTGAAATAAAACAGACACCTGATGGGATTATCTGGCCCACAAGGATAGGAAACTTTTGAAAAACTGAGACAAAGTATGAATTATTTAAGARTTCAGAAAGAGACCCGAGTTTTTTATACCTTTTTATGGTACCAGGTGACGCATCAATTACTGATTTGGGGACAATTTTATTACAAGAGCATGATAATGCAAAACATTCTGTAATATACCCAGCGAAAAATGAATGTCAAGGGAAAGAAGTTTATTTGTCTTCTTTAAAGAAAGAAAGTTTGGCAATTATTTGAGCCATAGCATCATTGTTTAGGAGAGTACCCTGAGGACTGATCATTAAGCCTTAACACTTGGATAAAACTGCCACTGAGGAGCAGAGGTGGCTACAGAYGGTTACAGGACATTGAAATAAATATTCAGCATGCCTCCACTTGGTGAAAATMCTTGCAGAGGATCCCTCATAAAAAGCAGAACCTCTAAACACATCTCATGAGTCTATCCTAATAAGATACAATACTCACAATTTTTCTTAAGTTAAAATAGTTTCATTTAAGAAGCAGAAGGAAAAGATATGCCCTGGAAACTTGAGATTTCCCATCTCTCCAGGATGCCCCCAGCCTCAGTGAGAGGAAGGAGTGCATTATGGCAATATAAAAACAAGACTGAGTCATAAAAAAAAAGGAAGGGGAAAATCCCAGAGGTTTTACTCTCCTCGGGATCCAAGAGCCCAGGGATTGGTACTGGGAGAATTTCTAACAGAAAAATAAGGTTTATTTTCCATAGAAATAGAACTGAAGCATCAAAGTCCTCCAAGCATATGATCTTAGAAACACCTGCTGGAAAAAAAAAAAAACAGGATGGGAACATACCCCAGAAGATCATTGTCCCCTTGGCCTTGTCAGTTCGGACTACCCAATACTGCCAAAACTCYATCTTTCAAATGTTAGAAATTCAAATTTAAAGAAGCTCTTCCCTAATACTGCCAAGGACAGATTTCTCCCACCTTAAACAGTGGCAGCATCTGTTCATCTACAGCCCTTGGCCTGATGTAAAAGACTTGTCATGACTCATCTCTACTTTCTCTCTGGTCTCATATACATGATGAGCCTCTCCCCCACCTTCCTCCTACCCCTGCTGCTTCTAAGCCAGGTACTCTGAACAACCCGCAGAATGGCAAGTGCTCTCTGCCCTTGGTACCCTTGGGCCCTTTGGACACATTTTTCTCTCTGCCTGGAATATCCTTTCTGCTCTCCTCTTTCTCTGGCTACTTGGTATTCTTTCAGTCCTCAGCTTTATTTAATACCATGTCTTTCTATATTCACCTTTGTGTCACCTGTCTTTCAGGATTCAATGTCACCTGAGYTCTCCTGGAGGTTTCTTTCAACACCCCCACTGTTGAGTTAGGTACTCCCCTGAATTCTCCTAGCACTCCTGCAATTAAAGCTCCTATACAACGGACCCACAATCATCTATTTACTTRTCTATATTTCCACATTCTGGATTTATCTATAAATAAATTTCAGGGACCACAAAGAGCAGGTGGGGAMCAGAAAAGTGGGACCACAAAAAATAAGCAAATTCATCAATATTTGTTGAATAAATAAAGGATTTCTTGTTTGTTTTTATCTCTTGTACTCAGCAAAATACCAGACACATRGTGAACTTTCAATAAATATTTGCTCAATGAATCCCAGGCACTCAGAATTATTTGTTGGATGGATAAATTGATGGACAGATGACCGAAAGTATTACATAGAGACATCTTAAATTCCTATATTCTACTTGTTAATCTCAAACATTTACCCTTCCGGCTGTCTCACACCCTCATTTCCTAGCCCCTGATTTGTTCTCATAGAGATATCGAGTCTTTTGATATTTCCACAGTTACCTTGATGGTGTTACTTTGTTCCCCATTCAATCTGCACTCATTTCTTCTTTTCATACCATGAACATTTAATCCCTACCTTCATTCAAAAAAAAATCCTGCAGAAGTCTTCGCTGTCATAAACATTCTGATTCACTTCTACTAAAACACCACTTCAGGATAATGTCATATCWCTGTGAGTATGGGGCTCTTGCTCTCCAACCTCAGCAAGAACTTCGTGATGCCAGACAGTCCTTTTTCTTGGTGGGAGCTCATCTATTCTTCCCCACTCTCCAATCATCTTCACACTCCCCATTCCAACTGCCCCACCACCTCTATTTCTGGCAGATACCTACGCCTCCTACTTTATCAAATTAATGTGATAAGAAAGCATCAACTTGGGCTGAGGTTGTGGCTCAGTGTAGAGTACTCACCTGGCATATGCAAGGAACTGGGTTCAATCCTCAGCACCACATAAAAAATGAATAAATAAAGGTATTGTGTCCATCTACAACTAAAAGTATTTTTAAAAAAATAAAGAAAGAAAGCATCAACCAACTCCCTACTTCATGCCTACAAACTTTTTATATCTGTCAGTTGCTCCTTCCCTGCTGTATCAAAGCATGAGGGGTTTGCCCTGCAGCCCACCCTCAACTGAAGATGGTCCCCTTTATCTGTGCTTTCAATCTCATTCTCTTCCCTCTCCTGTAGGACTTTACCTCATACATTAACTTCATATGTTAACTTTTCATATCTTCAATTTMTCTCTTTGTTCTGGCTTTTCATCATTAGCATAGTAATATACTAATTTTTTCTCTTAAACCCCTCCTAACTCTGTATCCCCCTCCTAGCTTYAGCTTTTCTTTCCTTCCCTTATCAGCAAGTTACTTGTAGCATGACTCTCTGTCTTCTTCCTATGACATTCACATTTGGATTTTGAATATCCAAAGGTCCATGTGTTAAAAGCTTGGTCCCCACCCAGCCCATGGTGCTGCTGGGAGGTAGCGGAACCTTTAGTAGACATGGCTTAGTAACGGGAAGTCAGGTCGTGGCCCTCAAAGGGGATTTTGGGATCCTGGCCTCTCCTTGCTCTTGCTTCCCAGCTACCATGAAGTGAACAGGTTGTTTCTGCGATACACTACCTCCATGTTGTACTGTCTCGACACAGGCCCAAATGCAAATGGGCCAAATGACCATGAACCAAAATAAACTTTTCCTCCTTTCAAGTTGTTTATCTCAGGCACTTTGTCACAGCAATGGAAAAGCTAAGTAACACAGCCAGTGCAAACTTTTACAGATCATACATAGAGGCAAAATAACTTGAAATGTGATTGTCATCAGGAAATTAAACTAATATCAACATTTAATAAACCTGCAAGAAGACAGAAGAATTTCCAGGCCAGAGTGAAACACAATTAAAGGAATCAACAAGTGTCAGACACATTTTAGTATGCACAAGGCCCTGGTTTAATTGCCAGCACTCAAAAAAATAAATAAACAACAACAACAACAGCAACAACAAACAGTATCAATAAGAAATGAGAGGATCTATTGTTATGTATATCTAAAAAGAACAAACTTTTAAAAATTAAAAGACTGGAATGTAAATTTTCAGTATCCATCTGAGAGAGAAGGTACTTTAGCCAAAGGACTTTTCGCATTTTAATTCCATGGTAAGAAATGCACTAGGCTGGCACAGTGTTGTGTCAACATTGTAATTTCCCTCACTGTGACTCCTGATTTTATTTGGCTTCCCATAYAGCTTGTTCCTATAGAAAGAGAATCTCGTATTTTAAGAAAGTTCAAGACAAGAGGAATAGAACAGTACCCCTGCTTAGAACAGACTACATATAGTTAATARTGGAATATAAGAGCAACAAATTTTTTTGGCAGGGGGGTACCAGGGATTGAACTCAGGGGCATGCAACCACTGAGCCACATCCCTAGCCCTATTTTGTATTTTATTTAGAGACAGGGTCTCACTGAGTTGCTTGGTGCCTCACTGTTGCTGAGGTTAGCTTTGAACTCATGATTTTCCTGCCTCAGTCTCCCAAGCTGCTGGGATTACAGGTGTGTACCACCACGCCTGGCTGTCACAAATTATTTTTAAGAAAGAGAAATAAATGTAACATAAATTGTACATCAGTAATAAAGAAATGAAATATTATTACCATCAAAAATTTCTGTGAAGTTGTACAGGTTTCATCTTTCTCATATAATACAAGAGCTTTCTGCATTAAGTAAATTGCTTTGGATAGTTTGTTCTTCTTTATTTTATTCATTACACTTAATTCTGCAAAAGCAAACATTTTACCAAAGGGAAAGATGAAAATTATTATTCAAATTCTTCTGGAAATACAGGTTATCCCCATCTTAATTACCTGTAAAACAATCATCACTTCTGGATTGTTTTTGCTTTTCTGAACCTTTGGCAGAAATGTTTTTGCTCGCAGTTGGAATCTGCAAAACTGAAGAAGACCTTCATTACAACCAGATTTGTGTCCAAGACAGGAAATAGTTTTAAAACATTAAAGAGTAAGTATCTCTTCGTAAAATTATTGCTTCCTCTATTATATCTTTTTTAATCAATAGATAAAAAAATTAAATATATTTACTATGATACAGTTTTTTGTCAGATCATCTTTTATTTGCCACGGTATACCTCAGGACATAGAATTTCCAAATTGTAAAAGGATTTCATTTCTTTAACTTCACCTTAAATAAATCATTGAGAAGGTGAACTTTTATTCACTTTATCTTTTGCATAAAATATAGATAGCAAGTCCTGATACGAATCAGCCTTTCTAGAGAAACTGTTTTATCTTGGTCCCTGCAAGAGCTCCGAGTACCCAGGAAGACCAAATGCTGCTCAACTGAAACACAATTGGTTGCCAGTTTGTTAATCTTGGTGTATAACTGGGACTGACCATCATGGTGGTCCAGAAAAGAAAGGAACCCAGATGAGGGAGAAAAGGATGAAGCTATGCTATCYCAAGGAGATAGAAACCATTGGCTTGATTCTTGATTTTCATATCCAATCCTCAAGAGACCTGGTAATATCTTCTTTCTGTCTTTCTGTCCTTGGAAGGTATTTCTGGGTGCCTATAATGACCTTACAATAACTCCCTTTCATAGAGTTTTAATTATTTGTGCTAATTCATATGCATCACCCTGGGGTGGTGACTGATGAAAAGATGGCAAAAGACAGCATTAAAGAATATAAGGTTTCTTTAATGGCAAAGAATAAGGAAACTTACTTGCATGGGGATAGCAATGCAAAACAGAAAGTAATGCACCATTCTCTCAGTACCTCGGGTTTTATAAGTGCTAATTAAGCTCTCCTGATTATAATCTTTGGTGATAAGGAGAACAGGATTTTAAGAAAACTGAATGCCAGACTCAGATGAGTCATATTTAATAACATGGTCATATATCGGCAACCACTGTGAAGTTCTTGAATCAGAATGATATAAACAGTACTTAGGGAACATYAATCTGGCAGTAGCATACTTAAGTGAAGAAAGACAAGAGAAACAAAGTGCTAATCTGTGCTAAGGTGGTAGTTCAATAAAGCAGAGGAAAATTCAAGAAGCCCAGAGACATTGCAAAAAATAACGAGTAATTCCATTTAAAATTTAACTCAGTTCTACCATCAATATTTTTAAATGGTTTCTGATTTTTTTTTTAAAAAAATGGCTTTCAAAGACTTATGGACGACAGAGAATATACTATTTAGCCATAACTCCATGAGTAAATAAGACCCAATTTCTGCACAAATGAAGATAATACTAAATGAGAATGGGGGCTTTTGTTGTTGTTGTTGTTGTTGCTGCTAGGGATTGAACCCAAGACCTTGTGCATGCAAAGCAAGCACTCTGAGCTATACCTCCAGTCCTAAGCTATATCTCCAGCCTGGGCTTGTTTCTTAAAGGAAACCTGACACAATGATTTTAGACATATTTTGAAATATATTTCCTAACTAAATTTTTTCAGCCCAAAGAATGTTCAAGATTATTATTTTGAGTAACCTCAATTATGTATTAGGCAAACATAATCAAGTTTTCAATTTTATGATGACACAGAGATATTTAACTATTATTTGTTTCTCTTAATACCCAGTAGGTCATATGGGAAACAGTTTTTAAAATCACATAAATGTTTAAAATAAGATGTGAAAGGAAGAAAAAAATAAAAGGATGAAAACAAGGATTTTGGTAGGCACAAAATAATTGTTTTCTTGACTGAATTTTTWAAAATGCTAATAATTTCCTATAACTCTAGGAAGTATAAGTATACTTTTTAAAGAAGTTAACTGATTTGATGTACAAAGTGCAAAGCAATGGAAAATACAGATATTAATCTGAGAAATGAGAAAATATAATCAAATTTATCTAGAAAACAAGAACTCAGTTACACATTTAACTGATTCTATAATTGAACTTGGCTGAAAAACTGATTTAGTTTAAGTTCTTTGCTTTGATGACTACTACCTTGCAATTGGTCGAGAAGTACAACAGCTATCCGGTGCTGAGCTTGAATTAGTTCAAGATGCAAATCCATTATGAAAGTATTTGCTGTGATTGGTTTGTAAGAATTTCCATCTACCTCTGGGGCATACTTTGGTCCAGCAAAGTTGAAGTAGAAATAAAAATAAATACAGTTATCAAAACATCCAAACAATAGCCATGTCCTATTATCACTCAAGTTATCATCTTACTCATAGCCATCAAATTCTGCTCACTTCTTAACCCCAAGCACGTGGCTCACATGCCAATAAATACGCTCCTAGAATTCATCAGAGTGATCTTCATCGACATATCCAAAGACTACTTGCTCTTCTTAATTTCTTCTGGGAACCGAGGAATATATTTCTGTCCCATGAAAGGAAAACTACCACATGCTTATTAAAACCTACTTGTAAGGAAGGTCAGTCCTCTTCCACCTTAAGTAAAACTTCAACCCAATATAAGATTTTTCCATTCCTACCTTGACATAGCAGTGGTCAATTACTGGTGATCCGCTTGGCAAAGTAGTTAAAACACAATTAAAATTCATCACACCAATTACTTTGTCAAGAAGTTCATAAGCAAAAAACAATTGTTCCACAGGACTTTTCTAAAATAATTTTACAAACAAAAAAGAGAGAAAACTTCAGCAAAAGTCATGTAAAATTTCTAAACTCTCTAACAATAATCAAAACCAAACAATAGAAAATTATTTAACAGAATTTAAATAGTCTAACATCAGCAATGCCATGTCCCTTTACTGAATGTCTTTATCTTAGACTGAATGTCAAGTAGTAGCAATGAACATGAAAATAAAAAAGATATTTTCATCATTTTTCCAAGCATAAGTTAAACTTTTCACAAATATGTATAACTTCTATTTGTTGTTTTCAATCTGATTTGTTGATTTTGAAACCTGTACAAAAATGCACAGGTAAATTTTAAAATAGGACTCACATACTTAGTTGTTTTCACATACTTAATTTGAAAACTCACATAGTTGTTTTCACATACTTAATTTGAAAAAAAATATATATTATTTTTGAAAGCTCAGAATCCCAGAACTAAACGTTTAGACATATAAGAGTCCCTCAAATCCAGCATCTAAGCCATGATTTTCAAAAAGTAAATATCCTTTAAATGTAACTATTCTCACAGAGAAACAAATATAGAGAATAATATAAAGAACAGGCAGCCTTATCTGAGTTTTCAAATTCTCCACATTTTTCCAAAATTTTTTTTAGAAAACAAAGCATAAACATATATGCATAAAATAGAAATGCCCTATATAACTGTCCACAAAGCTATTTCTCTTTTCTGCCTCTAGAGGTAGCCATTGACCATGAATTGGTTTTACCATCCTTTTTCGCATGCTTTTRAACTTTCTCCATGAATGTGTTCTTAACAATATGCAAAACTACTGTGCATAATTTTTAATTCTCTCTTATAAAATTCTGTAGACTGCTTTTTTCTCTCAACCATATGTTGTTGAAAGTTACTCAGGTCGGTGTATGTAATTCAGAGGGTCAGGTAGAGTTTGGTTGTGAACACAGAAGCACTCCAGGTATTTTAAGCAGAAGGATATTTAATGTGCAGAATTAGAGCTATCCATCACCACTGGAAGGCATGGGAGAGGAAGGATCAAGAAAGCTGCCAGTGACAATCTGACTTCATGCAATTCTCAAGGGTTCCTCAGAAGCCTCTGTGAATTTAAGACTCTGGGAGATAGCTGACAACAACCTCAAGCTTCTACTGCACTGAAAGCAGGTGAATTCCAAGGACTTGCTGGGTATTGCTGGTAAATTCACACCTCCCATCTGCCAATGCACAATGAGAACAATATCTCTCTCTCTCTCTCTCTCTCTCTCTCTCTCTCTCTCTCTCTCTCTCTCTCTCTCTCTCTCTCCTCTTTTGCTTACAAATTCATTGAAAGACCAATAACCTAAAACACATGGAAATGAGATGCTGGGAATATAGTTCCAGGCTTCCCCGCTATAATTCAAAGGTTACTATAGAGGGGTCCACAATGATACCAAGCTGACTCTAATTCAAGGCCACTCTAGCCATTCATTCCTATAGCTACAATGAACTGGTGTTACCGTGAAGAGTATGCCACAATTTATTCCCTCATCTGATGAAGGACATTTAGATTGCTACTACTAAATATACTGCAATGTCTTGCATGTAGCTGTGCATAAAGACAAAATTAATACTTCCCTTATAGTCTTTATATCTTTTTTTCTGTTTTCTCTTTTATTCATCTAAAATTTCCAGGACATGTTGAACAGAAGAATGACAGATATCCTAATGTGGTTACATCGGTTTTAATTATTGTTAAATTAAAGGGACTGCCTTTAATGTTTTACTCTAGGCATGACATTCACTGAGGTCTGTGGATGACACTTTGTATAGGATAGGGAAGCCTTCTTCTATTCCTAACTGCCAAAAAGAGTCCTTTTTCAAAAGGATGGCTGTGGAATTTTGTCAAATGAAGCTGCACCTCTTCACCTAGTGATGTGGTCATATTTCTCTCCTTTAATCTGTTAATGTTAATATTGCATTATAGATCCTCCTGTGTCAAGTCATCCTTGCATTTCCTGGAATAAACACAATTTGACTGTATTTAACCATTCACAATATATATCTCCACTAAAGAATCACAAGCTTAGGGAGGTTCCGGAGTAATCCAAGTAGTATAAATTCAAACAGCAAACCTCCTGGAGGACAGACCCAAGATTATAAATCAATTAAGGAGAGAGATTTTCTCCCATGCACTTCTCAGGACCCAAATTAAGTAAACTCTCTGTATAAACAGACAGTTTTTTCTTTTTTTTTTTTTTTCTAACAGACCCTTTCCTAGGATGCAGTCTTATAGGTTCTAGCTTTATGTGAGGGTCTCAGTGCCAAGCCCATCAGTCAGGTGCCCAAGCCTCATCTCCTACCCCTGGACGGCCAGTAAACATCTCGGCTTCCTTAGCAGTATGCCCAGCAACCCACTGCAGCTCCCACTTCTGAGCTTACCGTTCTGGTTTTCAGCTCACTATTTCAGCTTTCAATTTTGGCCCCTAGCATTTACCTTACTTTCTTGTGAGCTCTGAAATGTGCCTAAGAGATATTCGTCCAATGTTGTCCAAAATTCTAGGTGTTTTCTAGCAGAAGGACTTTTAAGACATCTAGGTTGCTATTTGACCAGAAACAGACATCTCTAAGGATTCCTTTTTAAAAYTGAAAAATTTCAAAGACCACACACACCCACATATCATCATTATCACGACTACTTCATTATCAACACAGCTAAAATTTAATTAAAATGTGCTCCTGCTACTGGGCTAAGTGCTTTACACAGACTAATCCTTTAATTGCCATAGCCCTATAAAATATACACTCTAGTTATCATAATCTTAAAATCCATTTGTTGAAGAAATAGATGCTGTGCATTCAATAAAACTATAAAATAGTTTCATGTTATATAATTGGGTACTGTTGGGACAGTACCCAATCTATTTTTTCACACTGTAACTTATACTTATGCAAGATATAGAACTTATTMCCCTACAGACTCTGCTAGGTAAGCATATGGATTTTGGATTCTCTTTATGATAAATACTTGGTCTTGTTTCCCCACTTGGTTCCCCAAGGTGGGTCTGAGAATCCCACATTGAGATTTRGTGTACCACATGAGACATAAAAGAAACCATGATCAGCTACCATATACCAGATACTGGTTTCCACAATGTTACCAATATCTCCTTTAAACAAGATAACAACCCAATAGTAATAGGGACTATTAATAATTTTACAAATGAGGACATATKAACAGATTAAATCATTTATACAAGGTCATGTAGTCAATATCAGTCAAGATTCAACTCCAGGTCTAACACTCTTAGGTCACACCAATGAATCACTTCTACCACATCTACCATACTCCAGTAGAGCTAAGCAGGCTGTGCACTGCACAACTTTAGGACCTACCATTCAAACTGCTGTCATCACAGACTTATACTTTTATTTAGACAATTTCTTAGCAGATGGCAAGGAATAATCTTGAGAAGAGGATACGTGTTTCTAATTTAAATAATAATAGCAATAGTTCATTAATGGTCTGTTTCTTTGTTCTAAGAAACCCACTTCATTTAGAGGCTTTAACTGCCAGAACATTTCTATCTCAAGCCAAAATCTAGCACTTATGACTTCCACTAGGATTCCTATTCCTGCCCCAAGGAATAAATAGAGAGAATGAGAGTCAGCCTCAGAGAATAAGGGCCATTCCACAAAGTCACTGATTCTCAAACTCTAGCGTCCTTAAGAATCTACATAAGGAACTTTAAGAACTCCACATCCATAATTCTGGTTGAATGTGTCTGGAGTGAGAAGCAGGAAGCTGTATGCTTGGCGAGCACAAGAAGTGATCCCTAAAAAACCCTGTCAAACAGCTATGAGGTCTTCTCCACCTGTTATGCAGGACAGTCTCTTTCCAATTTRAGATTTCTCAAATCCAAGAGCAATATAGAATAAAGAACTGAAACTTAGAAGATGCACATTCGTTTGAGAAAGTAAATTCAGAATGAACCCCTCCCCTTTTCTTCCTATACGTTCATAATGATAACTGGATTAGCACCTAATCCCTTAGGACTTTATGTACTGTAACAAGTATGGCAGAAATGTAGCTGAAACAACACTTTTTAAATGATCACTTGTTCTTATATTTCAAAGGGCTGCTACAAATAAAGGTGACAGGAGCAGGTAGTATATTATTAAAGACACTTAAAGTTATGTATTTCTATGCATTAGAAAAATAAATATCCTGAAGACTTCTTTTTAATCAAGAGGCAATGCAGCACAGGGGCTAAATGCCGGGACTATGAGGGCAAAACATCTAAGTCAAATCTCCAACCCTTACCATGTGACTGAACAAGTTGGATGTGGTGAAAATGAACACCACKAGCACATGAATCTACTTGGGTGGATCTCAAAAAATACAATGCTGAGTAAAAAGCAAGCTGAACAGGAATACACACGGTATGACATTAATTACACAAATTTTAAAACAAGCAAACAATACTCCATACTGACTCAGAACACACACATAGGTAATAAAAGTGGTAAAATGCCTGAAATTTATAATCAGATATAAGTAGATATTCCACAATGAGAAAAGGGGKTTTATGCTCAAATAATGGAATACATGGTACTTTATATTTCTTTGGAAAAACACATTKCTCATAAACAAATCAATTCCTCTGAGAAATTTCCCAGCAAAGAATTCTACTGTGTTCAATCCAAAGCCACTCAAGGTCCATGATCATGGTATCATTTTCTGATACACAACACCAGCATCACACAGGACAGAGTTTGCTAATGTTCCAGATTTTGCCAATAAATAAGGGAATATAATGAATGTAGGTAGTGGGTATGGGAATAAGAATGATAGAAGAATGAATCAGATATTATTACCCTATGTGCATATATGATCACATGACCTCTGTAATCCTACATCRTCTACAACCTGAAGAATGAGAAGTTATACTCCATTTATGTATGTTGTGTCCAAATGCACTTACTGTCATGTATAAATAATTAGAACAAGTAAAAAATAAGTGAATATAGATGTAGATATRTATCAGTCCCCAGAACCCCATTCAGATCTATAGGACAACACAATGCATGATGTACAGAAGTAATTCAAATACTGTAAGAAAAAGAATAATAAAGAAGAGGAATAGCTACTCATCCCCCACTCCTTTCTCCTCTTAAGTAATTGCTCACTGAGAACTTCCCAAGGGCCACAGCTATTCTAAGTGCACTGTGAYCAGGTAATAACTCATTCTACCTGTCAAAGGCATTTGCTGAGTAGGCCATCCCCTCTCTATAAATCTATGAATCATAACACATTCAACWATAAATCTTTTTAAGATGTTTAACTAGCTTATGTTTTTAAATGATTGGATTTTTCTAGAGTAAAAGCAAAAGGTAGAAAAATGTTCCTGTAATGCATACAGAAACCATAAATTCTCAAGTTTTAAACATTTAAAATTACTTCTACAACAAACTACTGTGATTTAGTTYTATTTAACTATATTCTCTACAATGTGTTGTAATACCTTTAATATTGGAAGAACTTCCTTGATTCTTTTTGGAGTYCCAGGGAATATCTTAATCTCTGTTTTTAAAGGTACATCTGGGAAAAAAAGAAAAGAAAGAATAAARCAAGGAAAAGAGAGAGGAGAGAGTAAGAGAGGAGAAGAAGAAACAAAGGGGAAGAAGGAAGGATCAGAGAAGAGAAAAGGGGACATATAGCAAGAAATCGTAATCATAATAAATTCTATTAATTGCTTATCTTTTTAATTATAATGATCTTAGAAATGATTCAATACTTTAGAATATGACAGAATACTAATTTGCTCCTCTTGTGTGATTACATTTTTTTCTGTATATGAATCCAGCTAAAAGTGTCTGGCAGAGCCAGGTGCAATGGTGCCCCTGTAATCCCAGCACTTGGGGCGGTGGGGACGTTTAAGGCAGGGATGACTTAAATCCATGAATTCGAGGCCAGCCTGGGCAACCCAGTGAGTTCTCATCTCAAAAAGAAAAAAAAAAAATCTCATTGTAATACAATAAACCAAATAAGAATCTTGTTTATCAACAAAACAATATCATGGTAGACATTGGTCTTCTTAAACCTACTATAAAGTCTASTTTAAAATACTCAGAACAGAATAGTATAGAAGCCATATAAATTTAGACAAATATCAGAGAAGACTAGTTTGAATTAGAGGGATATGAATCATAAATATTTATATGACAATGTTGATTTTATAATTTTAAAATGTATTTAATAATTCAAACTAAACAATGTATTACTTAAAAATCTAATAGACGTCTTAAAGCAGACTATCGTAAGTAATATAGAAGAAGGGCTTATACTTTAAGTTCAATGTGCCAATAAGATGATGAGAATAACATTCTTAGAAAARTTATAAGAATTTATATATCTAGCCCACATTACATCAACATATTAGTTCCCAAATTTATAAAAAGGATTTCGTGCTCCAAAATCTACTAGTTCTTTAGAGGTGAAACATTGTAACAAAGAATTAATACCTGAGATTATATTTTGCCCATTTAAAATTAACAGAATAAAATAATAGTCTTCTAAAAGTAACTAGTAAACAAAACAACACAATTAAGTAAGAAATGGGTTTTTTAAGTATTTTTTAGTATTTCAGTTTTATCTCAGATKATAAACATCAATGAAGCACAAGGCTGACATGCCTAGTTTCCCCTAACCCAAGTTATCCTGTGCTCTAATTTATGCTTGTCTATTTATATTTAAATGTGTATCAGTTAATAATCTCATCTTTCATTCATTCATTCATTCATTTTTAAAAAACCCATTTCTTACTTAATTGTATTGTTTTGTTTACTTCTAATAATAGAGAATCTAGAAAACGTCTCCTTGCTGGAAATAAAAACTAGACAATATTTTTTTATCTGAAAACTAAGAAGACAAACTCAGGCAAGGATCCTGGAAAGGGATGACGGCCCAGATCCTCGCAGGGAGCCAGGGTAGAATGGCAGGAGAGCAGCCTTTCCCGCTGAGGCTTCTGGCGGTTCTGAAGAAGGAAGGTGAGAAGCTGAGGGGTGATTTGTCAGCCTTCAGGGGCTGAGGCAACAGGGAATTAGGACAGGAGAGAACAGAAAAGGAGACAAAATAGAGGAGGACATGATTCATTGCACTGATCTCATGAACTCCCCGCTTCAGGGAAGGTGGTGGGGGCCAAGAACATAACCACAACCSAACGATGCTCCCCCTTCAAGAAGCATGTGCTCCCTGGAGAAGTGGGAGAGGAGAACACAGGAAAGGGGATGAAAGGGAAGAGAGAAAGAAAATAAAGATTAAGATAGGAGGAAGAAGAGGAGATGGTGATTAGGGATGGAGAAGGGAAAGAAATGGGTGAGGAGAAAGCACAAAGGGATGTGTCTGCCACTGAACCAGGGAGCATTACCTTTTCTTTATATGCACTTGATTTAATCTACATCATTCCCTATCTCAGATGATAAACATCAATGAAGCACAAKGCTGACATGCCTAGTTTCCCCTAACCCAAGTTATCCTGTGCTCTGATTTATGCTTGTCTCTTTATGTTTAAATGTGAGTAAGTTTCATTCAGTATTTTACCTGGATATTTTTTAAATTTTCTTCTTGGGCTTCCTAAAAACTCTAATATTTCACTTAATCGTAATGTGACCTCTGCCACCACTGCAATGTCAATGTCTTCCAATTTATAGTTGTGAATCACTTCATTTATCTGCCACAGAAGATAAAACCACTAAAAAGAGAAAATACAGAGCAAAACTTATTAAAATAGATTACATTGTAGAATTAGACATTTTTCAAAACTTAGTACTTCTTTAAAATCACCAAGTTTAAGTATGAAGAAACATTATACAAGCCTCCTTATTAATACTTCCTAATTATAAATAATATAGTGATACTAAAACATAATATCTAATAATAAACCCATATAAATTGATAAAGAAGATTCACACACACAGAGCTCTAATGGCAAACTTATGATCTGTTATTTTTATACATCATAAAATGTTATCTATATCCTCAAAATTCTTATTCTCCCTTTAAAGCAAAATTTGATCAAGATCAAAGGCCATCAAATTAGTGGGGTTAGATAAGCAGGTGTTTCAGGTTCCACTCTTGATGCCTTAGAAATCAACTTTCACGCCTATATCCCCAGCTGAGCATATAAAACCAACCATCACACTTTGGAACCTAAAATGATAAAGCAACATTTATGCACCCACATCATTACTTGAAAGAGCACATAATTTAAAAAAAGAAAAAACACATCTACGTATCTTCATGTAGCTAATCTTAGGAGACTCAGAATCACTAGAGCTAAAATATTTATTACCAGAATATCTTCTCTTAAATTTCCAGTTTATAATATTCAAATGTTCAACCCTGTTCTTACCACAAAATAAACAGCACTATTAAACAGTCCAAAAATATGATTGCAGGAAGAAAACATGAAACTACTTACTTATTTGTATTTTCTATTATTCATCTTCTTAATAATTTGTCCAATCTCCTGTGACCTTCGACATACTATATTTATTCCTCCCTTTAAAACTGAAATACAAGCCCACTCCTCAAAACAATATCAGGGCAGAGGTTCAGGAAAACACATTAAAGGAAAGGCTCATTCATCACTACAAAGAATATCTTTGCAACACCATCCATCTGCAAATGATTATAGTTATTAGGGGCATAAATAGGGAAATTCTAGATTTGAAATATATATTGAAACTTGAATTAACAATAACAAAAAAAAACATCTGAAGGGAAACAAAAAAGAAATACCTTATTACTGTGGATTTTCTGGGTGAATTTTTTATAGTCGTTTCTGGACATACTGATCTTCTGAATTCCTAATTTGCATTTCTGCCATAGGAACATTATCATGTCCACAACGATTTCTTTATCAGGCTGAACATCCTGAAAACAAAAGTGATGAAGTAAATGAACAAGGATGATAAGCTGTATGTATAAAAAATTACAGTGTGCCAGGTGACACTCCTCAAGCTTTATCTATATACTGACTCATTTAACCTCATACCAACACAATAAGCTGAGTGCCGTTACTATCTACCTCACAAATGAGCAAACTGAAACACAGGAGATGAAATTGCCAGAAATAATAAGCAGACCAAAGGATCCTCACTCTTAACCAAGGCTTATTCTGTCTCTCTAAAAAGTCCCAAACACTATAGGCAAGTATGAAAATCAATAAGTTCCATCCAATTTTGAAACTTTTCTCTTTTTCAGAATCTTGTATTCAGATAATAAAGGATTGGGGAGGAGGATAGTAATTTGAGAGGGAAAGGTGTTGGGTAAAGGATATAGTAGACAAGGTATGGGAGAACTTCATACCAGGTATGAAGTTCAAGAGCAATCCAGAACTAGTATGCTTCTTGGCAAATCAAAGTTACTAAATTCTTTTCAAAAGAAAACCAAAGTTGCTCAGTATATGAAGTTCATGATTTAAAACTACCAAACTCTGAGCTCTTTTGAGGCAGCTTTAGGATTTAATTTGATATATATCACACTGCAGTACAATGCTTGGGAACATAAAAGTTAGAACATCAATAAATGTTTACTGAATTTAATTGAGCTGAACTAAGACATAATTATTTTAAAATGGACAGATGAAAGTCCCTTACCCTTTCAAACCTTAATTGTTATTTTTTGTTAAGTTCTCCCACTATACATTTGGCTGAAAATTACATTTTCAGCCAAATGCTTTCCTTTCAAAAATTAAGTACTTGTCACATGTTATAACACATTCTAATAAACCCAGAAGAAATGGGAAATACTTTAACAGCAGAACTTCTTATATCCCTTACTCAGTTTCACTTCCCTGGGCAAAAGCTTAGTATAATGCTCGGTAATGGTGGGTCTCAAATGTAATTGTATATCAAATCAAACTTTCAAACAAAATTCCATCAGAATCTCAATATTATATACAGAATTAGTAAAAACAGGTTAGGGTGCTGCTGCTCAAATTTGGGCTTCTGAGGAACTTCAGAGAAGCCCTGGGGACCCCTGGAATTCAGATGGAAAACTAGTTGTACTAGTTGTACATGAGCATTCATAGCCATGTATAGACCATTTCTAAATGCAGACCATCATGCGAAAACAACTCCTAGCAATAACCAGGCTTTCATCAGGGGCTAAAGAGCCCCTTCTCACCAAGCATATTAGCTCTCCCTTTAATTTAACCACTGCCCCATTTCTTTCATCATTACAAACACAGCTGGCCTTGGGATTTCCCAACAAGAAACAGAGTAACACCCAAAATCTTAATTTTCAATAATGAAAAGAAACTTAAAATTACAAACCATGATCTAACTCAAGAATTAAATAATACATAACTTTAGGTACAAATCCTGTGATATTTTAAACCTGGTCTTAAGTTAGGCATAATCTTGTTCCACATTATTAAGTTATTCAAAAGAGATAATAATTCACCTGGGGAGAGTTACAGACACAGACATACAGGACAGCTGCCAAATGAAAAATATCTTCTGAATATCCATAATTCCTCACATAAGAATCTGCATTCAAAAAGACAAAGAAAACAAAAAGTCAATCATAAAACTTCAAATGCCAAAGACAGAGAAACACAGAAATCCTTCAAAAAAAAAATGACCCAAATGATATCTGGGCAAACACCATGTCAATAATTTAAATGCTTCTATATCAAAATGAATCGAAGCAGATCTAACCCAATTCAAATAACTATTACTAGTATTAAACCACTATATGTAAGCCAACTATATGTTACACTATATGTAAGTCCAAAGAGAAATTGAAGAGGCTTACAATATTAAAGTACATGTAAAATGGGCAGCTGAAAGAAAAATGATAAGAATATCTATTCAGAAACCACTAGAAGAAAAAGTGCCTCATGACTTGATCCAAATGATTTACTGCAACTGAGCAGCCATGCAATGCCTTAAGAGCAAGGGAAAATATGAACAATGAAATTAAGTAATTCTCATTGGTCTAAAAATTAGATCAGGATTTCAATTACATTAACAATAACTTTTAAGTTATTTAAATTCTACAATGGAAAGTGCTACAAGCTGGAGAGAGGGGAGACCAGACTTGCCCTTACTAAAGTGAACCAGTTCTTTTGTCCTTTGATGCAAAGCCCTGCTGGCCTCTCACTGCAGCAAGTCAGCAGCTAAGAACCTTGTTCACCTTGTCAAAACTGTCACCAGAATGGCATCACCAGGTATCCACCTATTACTCTGATCTCGCCACCTATCTACTCCCAAACTCCACCACTTCCACCGGTGCCCTCCAAACACATACGCCCACTGGCCATTCCTTCCATTGCTAAGTACACCCTTTCCTCAGGGGCTTTGGACCTCCTGTTCCCTCTGCCTTGAACATTCTTTCTCTCAATTCACCTAGAAAGAGCATCTTTTATCCAATAAAACTAAATTTTTCAAAAAGGTAAATAATGACTCACCATGTGAAACTACATGCTTTAAATAAATTTGAGCTGACTCTCCTTCTTTATAACTGTCCAAAGGAAGTATCAAACCTTTGTTTTTCTTTAGGTTGATTAGTGGTTCGATTGCAATCAGAAGAGTTAAATCCTTCTCTGCTTTCTTTGACTGTGGATCATCCTGCCTCTTAGAGAAGTACATCCCACAAGTTAAACAATAATCCAATGTCATTTTAACAAAACAAAAACAAAATGAATGGTTCTGCATATATTACCTGGAGAAAATTAATAAGCTGCATAGCTAAAGATTCAAATAAACCCCATTCTTCATAAGTAAATGCTAATTTTATAAACTTTACAGCAGCATCCAGAGAAATAACGTTTGTTCTTTCTATCATAAGTTCCGTAAGAGGTGTGTTGGGAAAACCAATCGTTCCACTTGGACCAATACTTGAAACTAGAAAAGGAAAGAGAGAGGTTTGAAAAAGCATCCTTGCAAAGAAATGTTGGCTAAACATTAGCTATCAGACACTGCCAAGCACTAGGAAACAATGTAAAGGAAAGGACACAATCCCTACCTTCACTGAGTTACACTCAAGAGGCACAAACAAGAAATCTAAGTGGGCAAAAACAGGCTGCTGCAGGGACAAACAGGAAGAGCAACCGACACAGGCTAGGCCAAGGAAATCTACCCAGAGATGCACGGAGAGGCAAACAGAATTAACAATAGTGGACCYGATAACTGGGCAGCTAAGTGTGGACTGGAAACTCAAGAAAGAGATCTTTAATTGGAATATATAACTTGTAGAGTCACAATTACACATTCATCATAAATGGCAGGATCCACTGTAGGCACTGAATAGCTGCAGAAGAAACGTCAAAATTTGAGAGAAGAGCAGAGGGAGAAATGGCACAAAGGGAAGTGGTCAGTGGGAAAACTACCAAGAGTGAAGAGGAAAAGCGACCCTCGAATAAGCAATGAGGTTGTCCAGGACATTCTCTGTGGGGTGTGAGGGACAGAAGTTTTCTGATACATAAATTTCAAGAAAAGAATTTAGAACAGTGAAAATAGCCAATTCCTTTAATAAATCTAACTGAACCAAGGAGAAAACTTATAGTAAGGAAGCTTGAAGGAGGAAGTGAGATAAGGTGATTGCCTGGAAGGAAATAACTGTCAGAGAGGAAGAGGAGGAGGAACCGCCCTTCCTTGGAAAGGAAGATGCAGAGGGGGCAATCATTAGGGTTTGAGTGAAGGGAGTCAAGGAGATTCTCACCAAGAACTTGATTTTTTTTAAGAGATAAGCCCTAAACTGGCACCAGAGGTTCTCTGCCTTCAGATGAGTGCACAGGCATAACACACACACACACACACACACACACACACACACACATCCCACACACATACAACCACACAGAGGCACATGTCATACCACAGATGCACCACACATAAACACAATCTCCACCAACATCACACATGCAATTATATATATATATACACTCATGCCACACCACACACACACAATGCACAATGTACACACGCCACATACAAATGACAGAATACATACACACCACTCACAACCACACTCAGAATTATGCCATATCACACAAAACACATACACAAACCATGCATTACACACATGCCACATCACACACAGCACACACAACACACATACGCATGACACATTCCACACACATGCATGCCAAATACACTACACACACCAACACAACACATTCTGCACACATACCACACACATATCTGCACACCCCACACCAACACACACATACACACCATGCCACATACACATATTCATACTACACACCACATACAAACCATACCAACACACCAACACACCTACATTACACACACCACACCAGACACACACACACACACCACATGCATGCCACAGGCATGCCAACACCACGAACACACATATTGCACACACATATACACCATATGTATATACCACATAATTCAACACACACTATATGCACACCATATACACACTAATGAAATTTGTAGACACCTGGTAAAATTGATGAAATAAGGGAGAAAGCAAACAGACCAAGGTCAGGAATGAAAAAGAGGACACCACTGCAGAGCTACAGAAATCAGGATCATAATGAGGTATTATGACTCTGACAAAAATTGTAAGATAGTGGTTAAAATATAAAATTTTCAAGCGATAAATGGTATAAGATACCATTTATCAAACTGGTAAAAGATTTAGAAAAAGAATGAAAATGAAAGCTGAATAATTTCATATTTATAAAAGAAATTGAATCCATAGTTAAAAACTTCCACAAAGGGAATTCCAAGTCCAGATGATTTTACCAGTAAATTCAACCAACATTTGAGAAGAAATAACATCAATCCAGCACAAACTCTTCCACACAATAAAGGAAGAGAGCACAGTTCTCAACTCACTTTATGAGACCAACATGTTCTTGAGAGTCAAACCTAAAAATAACATCATAAGAAATGAAAATCTCTCTCTTGAACAAAGAAGCAAAAATGAAGTAAACACTAGCAAACAAAGCAAGCAATATATAAAAAAGTCAAATCCTCACTTAGAAATTAGATCTATTCCAAAAATACAAGGTAGCTAAAAATTAGACATTCAATGCAATTCACCATATTAACAGAAATAAAAGAGAAAGCCCTTTGGTCAACACAGTGAATCTTGATAAATACAGAAAAGACTTTTGATAAAATTCAACAACTTCAGGATAACAATCAAACAAAAAAAAAAGACACTTGGAAAACCACAAATAAAAGAAACTTCTTTGATCTGAAAAGGCTCTCTATAAAAATTCTTTAGCAAATATCTTTACATCTTTTTTTTTTTTCAGTGCTGGGGATTAAACCCAGGGCTTTACGCATGCTAGGCATGTGCTCTACCACTAAGCTACACCTCAAGTCCCAAGCAAATATTTTAACTAATGGCCAAATGCTGGAAATGTTCCACCTAAGATCAAAAGTGAGACAAGGATGACTGAAGACACCACATCTTTCCCATGTGTTCACTGAAGATCCTAACCAGTGCAGGAGTCAAGACATGAAAGAAAAAAGAAGTTAAAAGATTAAAAATTGGAAAAAAGGATATAATTTTATTATTCGAATTATCAATTGATTAAAGCAAGGCTCCTGAATTCAAGGTCAATATATAAAATGCATAAATTCTTTATCAGTTTCTCATAACTATCATGTTAAAATTTTTGTTAATCACTGCTACCATAAAATAGTATCTTAATATCTTGTTTACTTATTAAAAGTTCTTTCCCAGCTATAAACAGTTCTGAGACAACATCACGAAGTTCCACTTCATCAGATACAACAGGACCAGTTTGTAATATTCGCCTGTTTGGATCAGAAAGAGCCTCCAAGACAGCCAGAAAGCGGGATGCGGAGTTATCAAACATTTCATCTAACAGCCGGTCTGTGATGGTACGTGGCCACGGCAACTGGAATTAAAAAAATATGCAGTCCATTGTACAAGGCAAACAAAATAATGTTCATTTATCTAACGCTGAAAGAAAGAGGTTAGTTTAACAGTGCAATGGCTGCTTCTAGGGTTTCCATTTTTTGAGATGTCACTCAACTCCATTTAAGTTTATGTCATGCTGCTATTACATCAAGACTTTGCCGTTTGTTTCTATGTTTGTGTTTCCAAGGTTGTTTATTTTGGTCTTTTTATTAAGGCAGCCTCATCTCCATACACTTTGTGGTACCTTAATTACAGCCTTAAGGGACCAATACGCAAATTTCGGTGGCCTAACTATGACTTGGGTGCTTTTCTTAGATTCAAGACCAAATCTCCAGACATGCCATAGATCTGGGTAGGGCACTGTTTCTAAGCACTGCAGGAAATTCTAATGTAGAATGTCTCAAACTCAGATTTGAAACAATGATTCACATTACTAGACTTGTGGTAGTTAACTTAAGGAAGAGCTGATCAGCTGTGTTCTCATAAGCTAGTGACTAGGCCTGAGTTCCCAGCCACTCTGCTCTGTACTGCCTTGGATGGCTTCACCGCCTGCAGATAGCCCACCTCCACACTTTATTTTATCTGACAAATGGCCTGTTCTCTGCATTTAGGTTGCCTGGAAGTTAAGACCAGTAGCTCTAGTTGGCATTTCTAGAATCCATATTCTAAAAACCATATTTTTCATAATTCTCTTGGGGGGGGATTGTTGTTTATTTATTTTGTTTTTGTTTTTTCCTCTTCTTGAGGCTTTGGACTATTTCCCCCCAAACATCAGCTTCTTAGCTTCAGCTTCTCTAAAAACTCAATAAAACTTGACCTCCATGTTTTGCCCTTTCTTTCCTTATAAACAAAGGAAAGGGCTTCTTCTAAGATTTGTATTGTAGATTAAAGCAGAGCTTTCAAGTATATATATTCAAAAAGCACAATGAACTTTCTAATAATTAGAAGTATTCAAAATGAAACCATAGTTTTTCACCAGTTGGTGAAAAGAATGAATTTGTTCACAAAAATATAATAGAAAATAAGCAAAAATAGGAATAGAACATTTATCAGAACTATAGACAAATACGAAGTAAAATATTTTAAAATATAAATATTTATAATATCTATAAAAATGTAAATATAAAATATAAAGCTGAAGCAATAAAAAWAAAGGATTGTCAAGTATGACAAATTAAATATGAATTTCTATAAAAATAATAAGTTAATGAGTCCATTCAAATATATCTTAGAGTAAAATATCTAGTAGATCAATAGATTGAAAGAAATCATTAAAAAAGGAGATAAAAAGAGTAAACACATTTGTAAGAGAAAGGATCAAAGAAATAAGGTTAAAATGACAAGCCATTCAATTGTATAACTGAATTATCAAAACACATTTAAATTTGCTAACTGATTTAATAAAAAATTTCCAATAAGTAATATCAAAATAATAATACCTTGCAATAAAATTGGTACATGCAGGTTACCACTTTGAAAATAAGAGTACCCATATTTGAAACACTTTGGCACTATATGCCAAGAGAAATAAAAATATTTGTATGCCTTGATTCAGAAATTCTACATTTTTAATTTTATCCATAGGAAATAAAAGAAAGAAAAAATAGCATTCCTGAAGATGTGAGTTACATCAATATTTATAATAATAAAAAATGGAAATAACTAAAATAATAGCAGTAAAAATAGACGATTTGGGTTACAATCTACTGCTTAGGATATATATTATACAACCTTTCAAAATGTTAGAACGGATGAGAGTCTAAATAACACAACCCACATAGTCCATTCCACCTCTAAATGCTGTGGTCTCCGTGAATCTACTCCATGAGATATACTATGCTAATTCTCCAACATACTACACCTCCTCCAGTTGAAATCCACTTCTTGTCCCCAACCAACTTTGCTTACTTTGGCCTCAAAACTATGATCATGCTCTGCTTCTTTACTCAGAATGTTCTCTTCTCCTTTTCCAAGACCATTCAAAAAGCCAAGACTGTGACTTAGTCTTTTCAGCATTGCACTATACTTAAAAACACAGGTATCCAATACATGATGGTTGAATGCATGAATGAATAATAAATAAACAAGCATAATAGTTAATATTTACTGAAGACCTACTGTGTGCAGGAAAAACTTTGTATAAGTCATTTAATCCCCACCACCATTATTTTCTTCATAAAACTTTTCACAAGATATAATTTTGTTTATTTATTATATAGTTTCTCCACTAAATGTAATCTCACCTATCTTGCTCACATAGCAGACATTTTTAAATTTTTTATTGAATGAATCACTAAATATTTCATCTTTAGGAGTCTGAATTAGTAGTTCTTCAAAAAAAATTTTGAAAGTCAAAATAATTTATTGTGAGAAAAGAAATTAATTACAAATAGAAGTGTTCTCAAAAATAGATGTAAGGTATATTGAAATTTCTTTATTTTGTGGAAACATAATAAAATAATTTCATACTTATAAAAATAGGACATTCTGTAATACATGTCAAGGTAATATGACATTATTTTAAAAAGGGCTAATCTCTGTTAGCTAATCTGTCAAAACTACCCACTAAACAATTATAATTGTTTTCTAAAGAAAACATAGCACCAGAATTTCTCATACCACAATCATCTTGAAGGAAACCAGGAATAAATGAGCCTTTAATGTAATTTAAATGGAATTTTATACATTTTTCTTTGAAAGTATATTTATTTTGCTATCAGGATGACTGCAAGTAAGTCATGACAATCTTGATGACAATATTGAATTTTGGTTTGCAGAGAGGAAAAAAATAAGGAAAAGAAATTACACCCTAGCCTCTCACAAAAACAACAGCATTATTATTTAACAATACCAGCAGTTCATTCAAGGCATCTATGATYTGTTATCACTGTCACCAGTTACATGCCATTGATCAGTATGGAACAGGATTTTAAAGGAATATATGATATGTACTTCTAGGCTGGGTATTCATAGACACACTAAAATTGCATTCAAACAGTACCATGATCAAGTATCACTACTTAATTATCATGATTTCTTTAAAAGAACAAGAAGAATTTTTTTCTAAATGTCATAAGAACTGAGGAGAAATAGCCCAGTTCTTAGAGTAGTGAGACAATACTGGACTGAGATGCAGATTTTCGTTGTAGTTCTGCCAGCAGTTAGCGTGTGAAGTTGAGCCAGTAATTTAAATATTCCAAGCTTCATTTTAATCATCCGTAGCAGAAAAGAGCTGAATTAGGTGATTTCCCAAGTCCCCTCCAGGTTCTGAGACTCAGTAATTCTTCTCTTGAAAACTACTCATCTTCTTCCCCCTCACTTTCATTTTCAGTCCCTACAGAGAGTTGGTGGCCATATAGGACAATAAGGGACAACTTCCAAGAGACACCAAACTGGACCTTGAATCATATGGAGCTCAGAAAGGCAAAGGGGGGGCAGGGACCCCCACAAGGCATAACTTTATCTCACTCCCTCCCCTGTGATAGTCCCTAGTGCTATTTGCCAAAGATACACGTTTTTGGTAGGGGCTGTGTGACTAGTTGTGACATGAAAGAAAAGGCTCAAGTCACTTCCCTGCAGAGCATCATGACCCAGGCAGGATCTTCCAGAGCTCCCTTCCAGATCAACAATTTTCTAAATAAGTGCTGCTGCTCAGCCTGGCTCTGAGCAGCTGCCAGAAGTTCAGAGCCCTGATAACTCTACCAGTATCAGGCTCCAGTGGGAAATCACCTGTTTTAAGCCACCTAAGGTGCGAGGCCTGTTTTCTGCTGCAGTATAACCTAGTTCCTGAACGCTCCCAAAGGAAAACCCCAAAGTGATTAGAATGGGTGCCTCTTCCTTCTGTCTTCAAAGCACACTAAACCAACACTAAGCAGTCAAAGCAAGGGCCCATGCAGACCAAGTCAGAAGCCTGCTCATTTGCAAGACCCTGTTCATTCACACCTTTCCCAGGCGCTCCCTTACCCTCTCAACTTAACATTGCAAAACCAGGATTGTGCTAAGGAACGAAAAACTTTTTAGAGAAAGGAAGACAGTGAAGCCATATCTAAGGTGGGAAAACATTCTTCTCACTATTTGCCTATTGGTGCAGAGAATCTAGGGCAGGATTTAATCACTGATGACTATTAGAAAATACAGAATAATAATACAAATGCACTGCAAAAAGAGTCTTAAATAGAGAAGAATTTTTAGACTTACACTTTGAGCTTCCTTTAGATTAAGTCTTATCTTTGGTCTAAAGATAGTTTTGACTTTTCTTCTAGATTCAAATACTCCTCTTTTGAAGATCATCACCGCCATCTGCCTCCAACAGAAGAATATATATGAAGTAACCAYGGAACACATTTCTTCACGACTAATATTAAGTACCTAATCAACTGTGAAGTGCAGTAAATTTCTTTTATTTCATGAAATTTTTATACCTTTATTGTAGCCTCTCTAAAATATCTTTTGGATTCATCCTGTGATTGTGAAGAACTCATTAATTCCAGTTGCCTTAACTCATCAATTTTAGCTAATCCACGCCGAGCAAATGCCTGTGCACAATGAAAATAAATTCAGTTCATAATAAGTTAGAACACAGTGATTAAAAATGTATGAAGATAATATGTTTTGTCATCCTAGACACTTGATTTAATCTGTGAATTAAACTGCAGGCTGCTGCTGACTCCTGGTAATACAGTAGCTATCCAGTCTATCATTTTCTTTAAGTACCACTAAACTCTACAGGTCTAAACTTATAAACTTTCACACAGGCTAGATTTATGAATCATGAAGTTCAAAAAAAGTAAGGAAAGCTAAAATAAAGGTAGGATAGTACCTTTAGATTGTCATTTTCTTGGCATTACTTACACACACACACACACACACACACACAAAACCATCCTCAGGTTCTCTTCTCAAATCCTAACCTTCCTATTATAACATACTGTATAATCTATTCAATTGTTCACACTGTCCACTATATTGTGAGGTCCTTAAAGGTCTCATTCATTTTGCACCCCAATACCCAGGATACAGGGAGTATTGAATAAATATCTGAGGAAGGGAAGGTGGGAAGAAGGCAGTCTTATCTAATCATGTCACCAATTTATAATTCTCTAGAGATAATCACAAGAGTTTAAAAGAGATGTTAGAGTTCAATAAAAAGCATTCATGCCAATTATTTTAACATTTCTTTGCAATATTTTATTCATAATTTATGATTTTTAATGAAGATGCTTCCAGACCAACTGCATATTTACATGCATGGAGGGTTAAATTCTCCAATTAGCAAGAATCCCAGTAGCTATCAAATGATCAAAACTCCACAAATGTTTCATTCCCTGATAGAACAAAATGTGCCACCCCTGGTATACTAAAGATAACTATCCATGTATGGTGAATAGTTTCTAGAATGTATCCTGGGCTATAAAAGTTCCCCATGAGGGTTGAATTAGTCTATTCTTCTGCCCTGAGGCCACTGCCTTCCMACACTTCAGAATTAGTCCAGGTGGGAAAAACTAATGTAAAGAAACCTTCAGTTAGGCCAGATGATTTATTTGTGGTTGTGAACAGAATACAAGCAGGTATTTGTGCAGCTCTGAGGGCTGTGTCCTGCACAAGACTCCCACACCAAGCTATTGAATAAAGACTGAGAGCTCCCCCGTACCCTTTTGGCCCAGAGGCAGGGGTGCCTGTTTCCAGTTTTCACCAAGATCTGGCCCAGTGACCAACTCAATACCAAATACTATAGAAAAATTGACCTCCCTCCCCSCATGGTGCTGGGGACGGAACTCACAGCCTCAAGAGTGCTAAGCATGCACTCCACCACTGAGCTATACCCCCTTTTTACTGTACACAGAGATACTGCAGGAGCCAATGGAAGCCCTTGCTGAGGTAAGTTGTATTTCAAGTACAAAGAAAGAAAAAAAAACAGAATGTAATAACAGCGGCTGGAAGCAGAGGAGACGCAATGTAAAACAGGTGGTACCGAATACAAAGCTAAACAGGAAAGGGCTTACATGTGTGAACAAAAGGAGGAAAGAAAGATACTAGAAATTATTTTCAGAAGACAAGTGAAGAGGGTGGAAGTTAATTGAGCATAAAGGAAAGAGCAGAAAGTACAGCAGGAAATCAACAGCATGGAACGGCCACGCAGACTGCTTCAAATAAAGGCTGGAACTGAGGCCCTGGCTTCATTTCAAGTCTTTGGTTGTTTTTGTCTTGTTTTCTTGAGGGCATCCCAAAGAAGAAAATGCCAAATAAGCTGTATTTCAAATGTCAGAACCACCAGAATTTAAGTCACCTACCTCCCCATGGACACCCCCTTGGCAGTCATAGTAGCACTGGCAGACAGCGGTGTAAAGGGTGGCTCTCCATGTCAAGTACCTGACAGACAGGAGCGAGACCGAGGACTCCATACACATGCTGGCCCACAGCAGGTATTCCAAGGCCTGGGAAACAAAGGGCACAATTGAATTTATGGCCATTTTAATGATGATTCTGCTGAATATCACCAAATTCTAAGTCGTGAGCAGAAGGTGCTGATGACTTAAACCAAAAAATACCATTAACAGTGAGTCAAGAGAAAACCAATATTAATAATTCAGAGAACTCAGGATCTCAAGGTAGCCATTTTGGAACATGTTTCTTAGCTCCTAAACTCAACCTGTGAGTCCAGTTCATTTTTATTAAAATGAATCAAGAGCCAACATTAGTCCAGGAGTTCCCTCCAAGGATACAATTGTTATTGGCTGGCCTGGAACCAGGATCTTATTCTAGTATAGGAAGGTAAAGAAAATAGGAAAAGCTGGGATCCAGCGATGCTTAGGAGAAACAAAAATTAAGATCAAATAAATCTGGGTTCCAGTCCCAATTTTACCTCTCCTGATCACAACACAGCAGAGCTATTATGGAAAAAGAGATGAATACATACTAGTATGGTATTTGGCATGTTGCAAGCATTCTGCTTATTACCAACATAATTATTTCAAAGGTACAATTTGAAACATAATGGTGGGAGAACGATCACAAGGCTACTGCTCTGTCCATAGAACATACATAACAGCTTCTGATGCTCTTCTAGCTGAATGGCTTTTCCCTACAAGTCCACTGGTTAATTCTTCCTTGACAAATTCTTCCCACAAACGCTTGATAGGGAAACACTATGACTGTGATCTTTACCCTTTCTTCAAAAAGATTCCAAAAGCTCAAAGGTTTACTGGATTACATTATTTTTCACTTGATTTACTATAAGAAAGGAAATGTGGTTTCTGCTCCACATATTATTATAAGAAATATTACTGGGGTAAAAATAAGAATCTGTTGAGTTAAATGTGTCAGAATCTCAAATTCTAAATTCTATCCATGAATATTTCAGCCCTCACTAAGTAGGTGACGACCTGTCTCCCTGGACTCTTAGGATACCCCCTGTGTTTACATATTATATGTATACATATTATCCACATAAATTTCTATGCACATATGTACAGGTTAATTATCTCTGATCCAAAATGCTGGGAGCAGAATTGCTTTGGATTTTGGATATCTTCTCATTTTGGAATATTTGCATTATAATAATGAAATATTTGGGAGATGGGACCCAAGACTAAACACGAAACTTATTTATGTTTCATATACACTTTACATGCATAGTCTGAAGGTAATTTCACACATTATATTTAGTGCATCTAAATATATTTGACCCATCACATGAGATCAGATATGAAGTTTTCCACTTGTGGCATCCTGTTGGTGCTCAGAAGTTTTAGATTTAGAAGGATTTTGGATTTTCAGATTAGGGATGTTTATCTGAATCACACATCATATCCAATTGCATTAACATTACATGTGTGACTCCAAAATTAAACTATGATCTCTTTGAGAACTGRAACAGTGCCTTATTTATTTTTATATCAGCAGTACCTGGAATATGGCCAGGTACATAGCAGATATTCTCAAGTATTATTAAATGAATTCCATAAACAACCTCGAAGTCAACAGAACCAGTCACAGGAGAGCTGACAAGTATCCTGGATTCTTGAATAATGATAATAAATTTGTATAACAGAATAAAGCCTCTCTTCCAAAAACCAAGTAGATCTTCAGTAGTTGAGGAAATATTTTTWAAAAATATATCTGTAGTGGGTCAATGACCTACCTTAAAAAGATAAATCATTGACATCCCTCAGCTTCACATACATAAAGCAAAACTACCAGCTTGGCAGGATTGTTTCGTACCAAAACAGGCGGGTGGACCAATGGTACAGAATAGAGGACACAGTAACCAATCCACAAAACTACAACTATCTTATATTTGATAAAGGGGCTAAAAGCATGCAATGGAGGAAGGATAGCATCTTCAACAAATGGTG